AAATAAGACATTTATCTCACAAAAATGTCCAGCGCAGTGCCTGGGCAGTATGACCCAGAACTGCCGGTTAACTACTGTCTTGTTCCATCACTCGCTTCTCACACCCCAGCACCTCAGCTCAGCTGGGGGGACCACCCTTTGTCCTGTATTCCCCATAGGGACCACACAGTAGGTGCTCAAGGAGTGTGGTTTGAGCAAGTCTGGGCTCCCTTGGGACTGGAAACTCAGGCTGTGTTCAGGAAGGGGCCCTGGAGCCTTGAGTAGGGCCATCCTACCTCAGCTAAGCCCCAGGCTCCAGGTCAAGCCAGCCCACAATGCCCCCCTCTCATGACCTGGGGCCTGGGGGCACTCTGAAGGCATCCTGGCTGGACTTGGGCAGACTTCACCCAGGTGCTCTTTGTCCCCCGCAGGAGGCCTCTCTCCGCTTCACTCTTCCAGGCTCAGGCACTGAGGGGCCTGCCAAGCAGGAGAACTTCATCCTGGGCAGCTGCGGGTGAGTTGAGGTGGGCAGACACCTGGAGGAGGGGTTCTTTAGTTGGGGGGACTCCTGGGGTACCTGGGGGCAGGAGGCCTGGTCATGGCTCTGTCCTGCAAGCTAATTTGGGTACGCAATGCACAGTATGACAGCCAGGGAGAATGCTGAACAGCAAAGGGTGGCCCACTGGGAGGGTTCCACAGTCGGGAGGACAGTGGGTACCCCCCCACCCGCTGACCCCCACGTGTTGTAGCACAGACCAGGTGAAGGGTGTGCTGACTCTGCAAGGAGATGCCCTCAGCCAGGCGGTGAGTTCCTTGGGCCCTCTCCTCTCCCATACTGTCAGTGTGGAAAAGCTGGGGGGGGGGGGGGGCTCCTGATTTCTTCAGCTGTCCCCCAGCCATCTGTGTGTGTGACTCTGGGCAAGACTCTTGGCCTCTTTAGGCCTGGGCTTACTTGTTTGTAAAATGACAGTACCCCCTGAACCTTCTCCTGGGATTGGCATGTGGATTCAGGGAAGGGCACTACTTTGCCCCCAGCCCTGCCTGGTGTCTGGATCCTATGAAACGTGAGCCTTGGCAGGATTAGGCTGGCCCTGGATCAAAGGTGAATCAGCCAAATGTCTGAGCCTGTCTACGCCCCGCCCTGAACCAGGCACCAAGCCATGGGGGAAGGTCCTTCTCTTCGGTGGCTTCAGTCTATTGCCCTTGACAGATGCTCCCCATTGTCCACTGTCACACAAAGGCCACCTTCTCCTACAGTTCTTCCCCTTTCTCAACCTTTCTTTTCCCTTTTCCTTCTCTCTGAGTCCTCCTGGGCCTGAGTTCCTGTTTTCTGCCTCCCTGTTCAGCCCCCATGGTGAAGATGTTGAGAGGCCCTTCGCCCTGTGGGGCCTGAACCACCAGCTACTCCATTCCTGCCCCTGGCTCCGGGGCACAGGGTGGCCCAAAATAGGATGTTCCTTTGCCCTGCTTATTCCACTCTTGCCCATCAGGATGTGAATCTGAAGATGCCCCGGAACAACCAGCTGCTACACTTGGCCTTCAGAGAGGACAAGCAGTGGAAGCTGCAGCAGGTGACCCGGCCCCTGCCTGGCCAGGGCACAGGCCGCAGGGGCAGGCAGGGACAGGCCCACACGCTGGGCCTCCCTGGGGCTGGCCATGGGGATCTGTGGCCACAGCAAGTCTGGGAGGGAGTTGCCTAGCAGCGAAGCTGAGCTGGGGTGGGCGGTGCCTGAGCCCCAGGGCCTGCTCCACACAGGAAGAAAGAACCTGTCCTGCCTAGGGGCCCTCTGGCGCAGCGGGGTCAGCTGATGGTGCCCCTAAACTAGTCACTCACTCCTCCGGGAACTTCTCATGGCTCTGGGACCAAGATCACGCTTCCTATCAGGGACTAAGCCATGGGCCCAGCCTCTTTCCTGGGCTGTTTTTCTGAGGCTGGGCTGCACCTCAGTGCTTTGGCCTGTGTGTATATCTCCTGCCGGGAGCCCTCCCCCTTGGCCTTGCCCATCACATAGGCCTCAAGCCAGGAGTTGCCTCTCTAGGGGCCTCCTCTGACCCCATCCTCTGCATCCCACCTTGCTGTGCTTGCCCTTCTGGGAGTCCCCCAGCCTTGTCCCCTTGTGGACTTCCTCTGCAATCGTCTGTGCTTTAGAAGGTGAGCTACACAAGGGCAGAGACCTGGCCCACCTGGCCTTGCCCTTGAGGACTCAGCTGGGCAGATTGATGCTGTCTCCTGGGAGGTCAGGTCCCCACCGTGTGCTGGCCCAGCCTCTCCCAGAGATGCAGCTGCTCTGAAGCTGATGACACCCAGCCCCATAACCTCTCATGGATGCTCTTCTCAGATCCAGGATGCGAGGAACCATGTGAGCCAAGCTATTTACCTCCTCGCCAACCGGGATGAGAACTACCAGTTCAAGACAGGCGCTGAAGTCCTCAAGGTGAGCTGCCCTGATCTAGCCAAGGCCCCTGGAGAGCATTGGCCCCCAGGCTCTCAGGGAGCCCTGTGCCTGTGGACCTTGGCCCATATTCTCAGGTGTAACCGAAGATGATCCTTCCCCTCTCAGTGTTCACTTATCTACCTACCACATAGTGGCTCACTCTCTGGGACCCAGAGTTAAGCTTTTAATTAATGACAAAGACAAAGCAAGAGATTTACTTGTGGGAAGAGCTGACTCGAATGCTTTAGCTCTGCCTCTGACTTGCTGTGTGTCTTTGGATGGTTCATCCACCCTTTCTGAACCTCCATGACCAACAGGCTCCATGAATATTAGAAGACATGGAAGGTGGGGCTTTGCTCCCTGGCAAGGGAAGAAAGGGCTCCGAGTGCCTCTACTGTTCACCAGCAGTATGACCTGGCTTACCCCTTTGGAGGGTTAGTTTCCTCACCTGGGAAAACTCAAGATCTCAACTGAGCCTCCTCCAGGAAGCCTTCACTGGCCTCTTGCATCCAAGTGGGGTTAGCCCCTCCTCTTCTCAGCTCCTTCATTGCCTATGCCCCATCCATAAAGCCTGCGCCCTGACTCCCGTGGGCCGGTGCCCAAGATCCCCACACAGCAGATTCTGAGTGGCGGCTGTCCCCAGCCCTGCTCCTGGGCACTGGGACCACCTAGGAGGAGCAGGGCTACGACTGTTGCTCCCTGGTGCTGTTAGGGAGGGTGGGGACCAGACCAGTGGCCCTCACAGCAGCCGTGGCCACCTTCCCCAGCTCATGGACGCTGTGATGCTACAGCTGACCCGAGCCCGCAACCGGCTCACGACCCCTGCCACCCTCACCCTGCCTGAGATCGCCGCCAGCGGCCTCACGGTCAGTGCCTCGGGCAGCCCCCACACCAAGAGAGGGGTCCCACCGACAGGTCCAGCTTGTCCCCTGGAAAGGACACAAGTGCCAACCCCAAATTGCAGGGGTCTGAATTGTGTGTCTGTGGTTTATGGGAACACAGTCGTGACTGTCACCCTGTGTCCCCCCCCCATGTGTTGCTCTGCTCTGGGCCATGGCTCCAAACCCAACAGCACAGGAGGATCCCAGGGCACCTGGGAAAGTCTGGAAACCCTGGTCCCAGGTGCGGGTTTGGGCTGGGTGCTGGGTGCCTAGGTGGCAGCAGGAACTATACCCACCCCACAGGGGTGCACCCTGGGTGGGAGGGGCCTCACCCCCCTTCTTCCCCAGAGGATGTTTGCCCCCAGCCTGCCTCCGGACTTGCTGGTCAACGTCTACATCAACCTCAACAAGCTGTGCCTCACGGTGTACCAGCTGCACGCCCTGCAGCCCAACTCCACCAAGGTGAGCAGACCTTGCCTCCAGAGCGCCAGCCCTGGGCCTCGCCTTGGCCTCACAGGTCCTGGTGTTTCTGCCTAGAATTTCCGCCCAGCTGGAGGCTCCGTGCTCCATAGCCCCGGGGCCATGTTGTAAGTACCGGGAGAGGGGTCCTGGGGCGCCCCCTTGCCACCCCTCTGCCGGGGGCTGGCCAGCCCTCAGGAACCGCACCTCCTCTCCAGCGAGTGGGGCGCCCAGCGCCTGGAGGTGAGCCACGTACACAAGGTGGAGTGTGTGGTCCCCTGGCTCAATGACGCCCTGGTGTACTTCACCGTCTCCCTGCAGCTCTGCCAGCAGCTCAAGGACAAGGTGTGTGGGGTGCTGTGGGGCAAGAGGAGCAGGGCAGAGCCCCTTCTTTTGGGGGAGAGAGCATCCCGAGGGCATGTGGCACACCTCCTAAGTGGCCCACTGTTCCCACACACCAGGCAGCTGGGCCACAGTGCTGCTGGGCCCTCACTTCACACTGTGCCCTCAGGTGACCTGACTCTCACCTGGTCGTGGAGGTTGCAGCAGGGGGCTGGAGCTGAGGGGAGCCCCAGCACCCACTGACCACACACTCCCTCTGCAGATCTCCGTGTTCTCCAGCTACTGGAGCTACAGACCCTTCTGAGCAGGCCGCCCCAGGAGCCTGTCCCCCGAGAGGGTGGCTCCTGCCCAATGGAGGCCCTTCCCCATACACACTCCTCTGTGGTGCCCCCGGAGCGAGCACCTCGTGCTGTTTCTCCCCCTCGCCCCCCCATTTGCACACCGGGATGAACTCTGGCAGCAGGGCTGAGAAGATGGCCCAGGGGTGTCCGCAGCCCAGGCCCAGGGCTGCAGCTTCCTCCGGGTGATGAGAGGCAGCCCAGCCCATTTGGCAGAGGATGGCAGGAAGGAAGGAGGCTCAGCAGGTGGAAGCTGCTCGGGGAATGTGCTTAGTGCCCTGACTTCGCTCTGCCCTGCGGGCAGCCTCCACAAAATAAAGATCCTCAGGCTGCCTGCAGCCCTGGTCTCTGTCTGCGTGGGGCCAGCTGGGGTTCTGGTGGTCAGTGGTTCCCACCCCATTCGCCACACCCATCTGGGGACATGTGGTCCGTCCCCTGGTTGTCCATGAGCCAAGTGGGAAGGGGATGAGCTGTGCTTGGGAGCTGAGGCCCCCTGTCAGAGACCATGAACTGAGTGACCTGGAGGAACGCTCTGCAGCAGGGCTAGGAACAATCAAGACACACGCTCTGGGCAGACATAAGCTTTGTTACCATCACCAGCAGGACACAAACCAAGGGAGAGGCATTAAGGTTCCAGGGCCAAGTTGTCCACTCCCTGAGGTCTCTCCTGTAAGGCAGAGGGGTGCTGTGGGCATCGCTGGGTTCCCAGCCGCCCCTCCAGGCCCTGCCCAGCCCCTTCCTGGATCAGTCCTGGGAAATGGGACCACCGAGGAGGAGGAGAGCTACAACTATTGCCCCACTTGGGCTGCCCCCCCCCTCACCTTCACGTTCCTGGGGGAGGGGCAGCAGCAGTGGCAGCAGCAGTGGGCAGTGACCAGCAGCAGCAGGAACAGGACGGTGCCTGGAGCAGGACGGGTGTGCAGATATGGGCTCCGGCCTGGCCCTGGGATGGGCCTTTAGGGTCCAAGGGCACCGGCCACACTCACCCACGAAGATGAGGAAGACCACAAAGGCAGCAGTGTCCCACTCGGACTGGAACAGGTGGCGGCTCTTCAGTCTCCCCAGCACTTCCTGGGCTGTGACCTCCAGCTCCTGCCTCAGCTCCTCCGCAGACAGGCCCATCTCCGCAGGAACCAGCTGTTCCAGCCCCCAGAGGGTGACCTTAGAACCCTGGGCCAGCTCCGGCCTCCGTGGCCCAGCCCCTCTGCTCCCCCTGTCCCCAGCCGGGGCCACTGCCCAGCTCTCGCCACCTGTCCCTCAGCCGGCCCTGCCTCAGGCCCCGTGCCTCCCACTCCTCTTCTAGCCCCACCCTTCCAGCCCAGACAGCCCCCTGCAGCCCTGTCCTGCTCCCTCTTTCCCCCAGGGCTGCCCCCAGGTGCCACCTGCCTCCAGGAAGCCTTGCTCCCCTGGCCAGGCAGTTCCAGCCTGGAGAGCACAGACTGTTTCCTGCTTCCGGATCCACACCACCTGAGGCCTTGGCAACCAGCCCCGCCCTCCCCAGGGCCAGACGGGGCTGCCAGACCCTGGGGACAGGGGCCGAGGCCCCAGCTGGCCTCTGTACTGCTGGCTCCTTCTTTCGCAAGATCTTATTTTTACCTTTTCTCAACATACCAGACAAGCAACCTGGAACAGGTGGGCACTCAGTGCCCTTTGATTTGGTGGATAGAAGGGGACAGAGAGCCAGAGGAAGAAGAGAGCACAGGCAGAGGGCGGGGGTCAGGAGCTTGGCCAGGGTCCACTCCCTTCTCTGGGCAGCTGGGGTGATGCGGCTGGCCTCACACTACATCTTTCATTCTTAAAAATAACCCTTGCAAGGTGTCGGGTCTGTGGTGGTGACCTAGAACAAAGCAGCCCGAGCAGGAAAGAAACATCGATCAGGCGCAAGACAGAAACGACCGTCAATCAGCGGGATCTCCTGACTGACACCTGTCAATCAGCAGGACCCCCCCTGGCCAATCCTGGAGTTCAGCCAGCTCCCCTGACCAGCTCCAGCAGGACAAGAGACTCTAAAAACACCTTTTCTGGTCCCAAGCCCTTCCCTTCCTGCTGTAAGCCCCATAAAAGTCCAGTCCGGGGCCTGGGGATGTGGCTCAAGCGGTAGGGCGCTCGCCTGGCATGCGTGCGGGCCCGGGTTCGACCCTCAGCACCACATACAAACAAAGATGTTGTGTCCGCCAAAAACTAAAAAAAAAAAAGTCCAGTCAGGCTTCCACTCGGTTTCTCCTCAGACCCTTCTCCTGTCCAGTCTGTGGGTCTGATCGAGTTCCACCTGGGAGTGATATCTCAATAGAGCCTCCTTCGGTGGCTGCCCGCCTGCCTGCCTGCCTCGCCTGATCTTACACAAGGAAGTGGTTATGCTCTCAGATGAGGTCTTTCCCTAGGGCACCGCCCCTGACCTTCACACCTATGACCCTCCCCAGCAGAAGTAGCCCTCACTCCTCCCTGCTTTCCTTGGCCACTGGGGACCAGAGGCAGGACTAAAAACCAGGTGGACACTAGTTCTTGTTCTTGTGGTTCTTAATGTTTAGCAGGAAAGAAGAAAAAAATTAAACCGGGTTTGGTATTGTATATCTGTAATCCTGAGAGACTGGGGGGACTGAAGCAGGAAGATCACAAGTTCGAGGCCAGCCTCAGCAATTTAAGGAGACCCTGTCTCAAAAATTAAAAGGGTTGGAGATGTAGCTCAGTGATAAAGCAATCCTAGGTTTAATCCCTGGTACCGTTCATGCTTGGGCATGTTCCCTGACCCTTCTATACCTACTTCCTCATCTGTAAGATGAGTGCATTAACAGGTCCACCTCTGTGGGTTACCAGGATTCGCAGAAGCATTCTCAACATGAGGGCGGGTACTAAATGGCTGTGTGGGGTCACCTCCCACTTGCAGCTTCTGTGGGCTCCTGTGCAGGCTCCACACAGCTAAGCTCATCCAACCCTCTAGGCACTTCCTGAGGTCAGCACGCTGTCTGCGGCGTTTGCTGGAAGGCTTGGACTACGCCAGCACCGCACAGTCCTTGTCGGTGGCCACCAGGACATTTCCCTCCCGACTTCCGAATTACTCTTCATGCACAGGGGTGAGAGAGTCCTGGAGAAGGCCGGCTGCCCGGGAACACTCTGCCCAGAGGCTCATTTCTTTAGGGGACATCCCCAGACTCAGCCCACAGGTGACTGGATCCATCTGGTCTCTGCTAGCAACTAACCCTAACCCTAGCAAAGTCCCCACTTGCTCTGCTTTGGGAGACCACCCCACCCACTCCTTCAGGAGCCCTGCAGAGGGGCCTCCAGACTTCCTGCTGAGAGGACCCTGGCCCAGGCAGGCTTGGCCTGGTCTTCCTGTTTCTGTGCTTCAAGCCTGTGGTGTCTGAGCACAAGGAAGTGGAGGCCAGGGAACGGAGTGGACACGGAGGACAGTGCTGGGGCAAGTCCAAGGGTAGAGCAGGAGGGCAGACCCCAGGCTGCAGCCTTGCGCACGCAACACGCAGCCCCTCCCAGCCGCCTGCGGTGGGAAGAGCTGAGCAGTCCTTGCAACGGACACCTGAGGACCAGCAAAGCCCCAAATAAGGACTGTCTGCCCCTTTACAGAGAGTCCGCCAGCGCCGGGGTCAGAGGATTGCTGGGGGCTTCCAAAGTCAGCTGCCAGGAAGCAGGAAAGAAAGAACACGGCAGCTTGAGCGAGGCAGGGAGGCTGGACCCTGGCCAGAGAAGTCCCAGGCGGGGTGGGGCTCAGAGGTGGACTCCATCAGCACCGTGGAGGCCGTCTCAATGACAAAGCAAGAGGGTGGACACCTTGGCTTCAGTCCACCACAGCCAGCTGTGGGCCCTCACACCCTCTTTATGTGTCAACTCATAAGCTTCCTGGGCTGTTGACCTCCGCTGATGACCTCCACTGATCCAGGAGCATAGACGCCCCTCCTCTCTCAGAGCCCCGCCCACTTTTGCCCGGCCCTCCCACCACCTTGAAGAGTGCCTCCACTCAGGTCTGGGGACCTTTTCCACCCACCATGTAGAGGGATGCTGGCAGCCGCTGGGACCTGCCCCAGGACCTGCGCCTTGTCTGCCTAGCACCTGTAATTACTCAATAAACCCTTTGATGTCAGAGATCCCTCGGTCTCTAGAGGTTTGGTGTAACACATGATCTGCCTAAAGAGGGCACGACTGGCCAGGGTTCTCATCTCTAAGATGCACATGGAAATCCAGACATTTCCATGAGCAAGAGGGCGGGGTGGGGGGGGGGAAACAGGGGGGGACCCGTGGGTGGCCTTCAGTCCCGCCCCACCCCCTTCCTCAATTCTTTTTGGCCTCCCCCCCCCTTTTTTTTTTTTTTTTTTTGGTACTGGGGAGTGAATCCAGGGGCACTTAGCCACTGAGCCACATGCCCAGCCCTTTGTTATATTTTATTTAGAGACAGGGTCTCGCTGAGTTACTGCGGGCCTCGCTGAATTGCTGAGGCTGGCTTTTAACTCACAATCCTCTGACGGCCTCCCGAGCCACTGGGATTACAGGTGTGCGCCACCACACCCAGCGTGACCTCCCTTATCTGTGAATCAGGGGTGATACTCCAGATCGTTCTGTGAGGTGGCGATTATTTAACAAAGCCGCATCCCAGGGCCCCCAGAGCAATGCCAGGAGCAGGGTAAGTGCCCTTTTCTAGGTTGATCTCTTGGGTTTTTTTTTTTTGTGTGTGTGTGTGTGTGTGTGTGTGGTGCTGGGTGGGGATTGAACCCAGGGCCTTGTGCCTGCCAGGAAGCTCTCCACCAACTGATGCAGTTAAAAACATGATGGTGACAACAACTGATGGACCAAAGAAAATACACGGGCCAGGTGTGGTAATCCCAGCGGCTCAGGAGGCTGAGGAGGAGGCCCACAAGTTCGAGGCCAATATCAGCAACTTAGCGATGAGGCCCTAAGCAACTTAGGGAGATCCTGCCTCAAAGAGCATAAAGGGCTGGGGACGTGGCTCAACAGTGAGGCGCCTGGTTTCAATCCCCAGTCCAGAAGGAAAAGAAAATGCATGGATGTTCTGTTGGGGGTCTGGGTGTGCTTCCCCAGCAGAGTGGTTAAGGGCATGAACTTGGGAAACAAGCCCAGCTGGTGACCTTGGGGACCTCGGCGCACACAGCGGTGGTAGTGGGCTTTGGCCAGCGTCCAGGCATTGCAGGGTAGGGCCGGGAGGACGGCCGCTTCCTTGGCCTCTCCTGCTGCAGGTGGGGGTCGCAGGGCGGAGGCTTGAGCTTGGATTCTGTGGTCAACTGCCACCCTCCCCTCCCCCACCACGTGCACCCGGACCCTGGTGGCTCCCACAGGGACTCCGCCAGGCGCCACCAGAGGCTGATTCTTTCTCTTGCTCCTCTGCTGGGCTGGCCACTGTCCTCTCTCCAAGGCCGTCTTCCCTGGCCCTCGCAGCCTGGGCTTTGGTCAGTCCCTCTGTGTCTGTGTCCCCTTCGCTCTCGGTGTCTCTCTTGCTCTCCAGCTCTGCTCACTCTGCTTATGTGTCCCCCAGGGGAGAGTGGGGCACCTCCTCCAAGAGCCCCCTTCCGGGGTCCCTGCTGGGCGGAGCCCTTTGCTGCATCCCCCACTTCCTGTGGCCCCTTCCAGGACCCCATCCAGCCACAATGTACCCCTGGGCTTTGGCCTGCCTGAGTGCAGAGCCCCTAGACCCAGAGTCACCTGCGCTGGGGGTGGGGAGGGCAGGCCTCTGGGCTGGAGCCTCTGGGTGGGGGTTCAAGTCTCCCCAGCCGTGGACGGTGGGCCTCGGGCAGAGCAAGGGGCACAGAATGCGGCGTCTGTGTTCAGAAACGAGAAGGCCCAGCAACAGGCAGCTTCTCCCTCCACACCAATGACAGGCGCCATCGGCATCTCGGTGCCTTGGCCCCATGGATCCCCTGAGGCGATCCTTCTCCCCGTGCTCGTTGCCACCCTCGAGCCCCAGGACCCCGCCCTGCGAGGCCTCTGACTCTGTGGGCATCGAGGCTGTGCTGGACCAACTGAAGATCAAGGCCATGAAGATGGGGTTTGAGTTCAACATCATGGTGGTGGGTGAGTGAGGGGCTCACAGACAGCAGGACTGAGGGACAAGGACAAGGCCTGTGGACCTGGGAGTGTCGCCTCATCCCTCAGTCTCAGGGTCCCCGTTCGGCAGGGAGCCTGGCCATGGCACCTCATGGGAGTGCTACAGTGGAAAATCTGGGAACCTGTTATTACAGACAAAAATCACCCACCAAGAGGCAAGGAGGGACTGCGGGGAGGGTCAGACTCCTGGACTTGGGACCCCAGTGCAATCTTGATTCGATGTCATGGATGCTGATGTGGCTGGGTTTCATTTGTAAAAACTGGGTGAAATGCCCATCAGTGGGTGGCTGAGCAAGCAAAACTTGGCTTATTCATACAGTGGAATATTATTCAGTCATGAAAAAGAATGAAGCATGGACATGGGCTACAGTATGACTGAACATTATTCTAAGGAAAAGCAAACACAAAAAAGAGCTGGGGATGTGGCTCAGTGGCGGTTGAGTGCCCCCGAGTTCAATCCCTGGTACCAAAAAAAGCAAGATATTGTTTCATCTTGAGACAGAGTCTCACTGAGTTGCCGGAGGCTGGCCTTGAACTGGAGTCCTCTGCCTGTGCCTCTTGAGTACTGCCACTTCACGGTGCACTTGAAAACGATAACAGTTATTTTTGCCACGTCAATTTTACCTCAATAAGCAAAGGGGAGGAAAATGTTGAGCTGGACGCTTGTGACCGTGGGTACTTGACTGCGTTGACACACTCTGCCCAGAAAACAGTCTGCTTTCTGAAACATCTCACGGGGTCACCAGCGGGAGAGGCTGCCTGAGGCGGGCCCGCCCCTGACTGCTGTCCTCTGGTCGCTCCCAGGGCAGAGCGGGCTGGGCAAGTCCACCATGGTGAACACCCTGTTCAAGTCCAAGGTGTGGAAGTCGAGCCTGCCGGGCTTGGGGACGCCCATGCCACAGACGTTGCAGCTGCACTCGGTGACCCACGGTGAGTGAGCCCCGGCCCGCCCCCACCCGCTGGGTCGGATCCCTCCCCTCTGCTCTCCCCACAGTCATCGAGGAGAAGGGCGTGAAGCTGAAGCTCACCGTGACCGACACGCCCGGCTTCGGGGACCAGATCAACAACGACAAGTGGTGGGTCCCCGGGTGGGCCACTAGCTCCCATCCCGGTCCTCCGACCCCTGGGAGATACCCCAGCTCCAGAGAGGCCTGGCCATGCCATCTAAAATTGAAGGCCAGCCAGGCGTGGTGGCACAGGCTGTGATCTCAGCAGCTCGGGAGGCTGAGGCAGGAGGATCACAAGTTCAAGGCCAGCCTCAGCTACTTAGCAAGGCCCAAAGCAGCTCAGTGAGATTCTGTCTCAAAATAAAAAAATAAATAAAAAGGGCCGGGAAGCGGCTCAGTGTAAAACACCCCTGGGTTCCATCCTGATACCAAAAAAAAAAAAAAAAAAGTCAGGGGTGGCTCAGACAAGGGCAGCCAGCTTTCTCGTGCGTGTTCCCTTCCCTACAAAGTAGGTGCTATCAGCCAAGGCTTCAGGGGAGAATGGCAGGGGTCTGTCTGTCTCCCATGATGCAAAGGGCTGACAAAGGGCCATAAGGGGACTGAGCCGCCCTTGGGGGCCAGGGAGGCAGGCGGGCTCTGGGGGTCTGTTCTAAGGGGGCTTTTCTGCCCAGCTGGGACCCGATTCTGGGCTACATCAACGAGCAGTACGAACGGTACCTGCAGGAGGAGATCCTCATCACCCGGCAGCGCCACATCCCCGACACGCGGGTGCACTGCTGCGTGTACTTCGTGCCGCCCACTGGTCACTGGTGAGGTGGCTGGACCAGCCAGGGAGGGCCCCCCACCTAGGGCAGACATGAGGAGGAGGAGTGCCAGTGTGGGCTTCGGGCTGGGTGGCCTCTCACTATTCCCTATCCCCGCCACCACTGTCCCTGCCCTGCCTGGGCAGCCTGCGGCCCCTGGACATCGAGTTCCTGCAGAGACTGTGCCGGACTGTGAATGTGGTGCCCGTGATTGCCCGGGCTGACAGCCTGACCATTGAGGAGCGAGAGGCCTTCAGGAGTAGGGTGATCTGGGTGCTCCAGATCTGGGATTGGTGTGGCAGAGAGCAGGGTGGGCAGGATGGGCTGAGGTCGCCTGTGTTTGGTTGGCAGATCCAGGAAGACCTGAGAAATCACTGCATTGATGTGTACCCACAGAAATGCTTCGACGAGGACATCAATGACAGGATCCTCAACAGCAAGATTCGGGTAAGAAGCTGCAGGGGGCAGAACGTTGGTGGAACTGGGCTCTCTCTCTGCAACTCAGGGAAATGCACGTGTACTTCTAGCAGGTACAAAACTGATCCGTCTACAAATTCAAGGTGAGCAAGAAATGGCTCACATCAGACAATCCACAGAAAAGCAAGAAATGTTGGCAAGTCACATCTCTAAAAAGGGGCTTGTATCCTAAGGACTCTCACAAGTCAACAACAAAAGCCTAAAGGGCAAGGACTAGGGGTGTGGTGCCCGTGATTGCCCGGGCTGACAGCCTGGGGGTGTGACTCGGTGGTAGAGTACTTGGGCTCAACTCCCAGCACTCAAATAAAAGAGCAGGCCAAAGATCTGAGTAGACATTTCCCCAAGAATATATAAAGTGGTCTGGGGACATAGCTCAGTTGGTGGAGTGCTTGCCTTGCACGCACAAGGCCCTGGGTTCAATCCCCAGCACCACCAAAAAAACACATAAAAGCCAGGTGTAGTGGTAAATGCCTGTAACCCCAGCTGATTGAGAGGATGAGGCAGGAGGATGAAAAGTTCAAGGTCATCCTGTGCAACTTAACAAAACTCTGTCTCAAAATAAAAAATAAAAAGGACTGGGGCTGTAGCTCAGTGGTAAAGGGCTTGTGTAAGGCCCTAGGTTCACCCTCCAGAAACGTGTACACACATAAAGATATACAAATGTCTAAGAAACACACACAAAGGTGCCTAACATCATCAGTCGTTAGGGAAATCCAAATCTCAAAACCACAGGGAAAGACCACACCAAATGGGATGGTGTCTTAGTCAGTTTTCATTTGCCGTAATACAACACCTGAGACTGGACAATTTATAAGGTTTGAGATTTATTTAGATCACAGTCCTAGAGGGTAGAGGTCCAAGAGAGGGTGACCATATCAGCGTGGCCTCTAGTGAGGGCCTCAAGTTGCCTCACACAGGATGGAAACTAGGAAGGGTAAGTGGACGTGTCCCAAACGGGATCCCGTGGCTAGAAGGAGGCCAGAATAAAACTGAGGAAGCCCAAGTTGCTTCATGACCACCCTGTGCACACCTGTCTGTTTTAACCCTCATGATGACCCCAGGCGGAGATTACCGTTTCGTTTCACAGGTTGGAGGTTCAATGTCAGCAGGACTGCAGACTTACGTATATAAGGATTACACATGGAATTCAGAATATGTATGGTACATGTGCAATGTGATATATGTTTATAGATCACACATGCTATACTTTTTTTTTTTTGTTTTTTGGTGCTGGGGATCGAACCCAGGGCCTTGTGCATGCAAGGCAAGCACTCTACCAACTGAGCTGTATCCCCAACCCCTTTTATTTCTTATTTTTTTGCAGTGCTGGGGATGGAACCCTTGCACATGCCTAGCATGGTTCTGCCGCTGGGCTACACCCCTGGCCTGAGATTATATTATTACTGTGGTTATTAACCGGACAGTTTCCAAGGCTACTCTGCCAACCTTGAACTATGCTAAATGCTTTGCGAACGTCCAGAGGCCTCCGACCGTCCTGCTGGCGCCCTCATGTGCAGCTGAGGCAGAGCAGGCACGGGTTAGACTCTGTACCTTGGACGCCCCGAACACCGTGCTCCCTCCCACGGAGGACAGTGCCCCAGCCTCCTCCCAGGTGCCTCCTCCTCCCCTCCCCTAGGAGCGGATCCCTTTCGCCGTGGTCGGTGCAGACCGAGAGCACATGGTAAACGGGAGGTGCGTGCTGGGCCGGAAGACCAAGTGGGGCATCGTGGAAGGTCAGTGCGGGGACCCCGGAGACGCACTGAGGAGGGGGCGGGAACCAGAGCCCGGCCTGCACCTTAGGGACCTGGGCTGGGGCGGCAAAGTCCACAGACAGCAGCACACACACCTGAGCGGGAGGCCCAGGCGAGCTGTCTGACTTGGCCTCAGTCTCCTCTAGTCAAATAGGCATCGCAGGAATACCGGGAGGGACAGAGTGCAAGTCCCCACACAGCTGACGAGGCGATCACGGAGGGAGGGACACTGGGGGGCACTAGCTGAGGGAGCCAAAGGGCCCTGCCAAGGACCAGGCTGGGTAGCAGGAGCTACCATGTTGTCGCTAGAAACGTGTGTCCGCCATCGGTGGCACCATGGGCGAAATCTGATGCGGTGAAGGTGGGCTCACTCCCTGGCTCAGCAGCTAGCCGTAGTGGCCACTGCCCCAGGCCCCAGGCCAGACAGCGGATGAACGAATGGCTGAGAGAACCGAGGGAAGGGCAGAGGGGCAAGATGGGCCCGGGGTGGGGCACAGGGCTCGCTCAGTGCCCGCTGGAGCCACGTTCAGGCCCGTGTCTTGCAGTGGAGAATATGGCGCACTGTGAGTTTCCTCTCCTGAGAGATCTGCTCATCCGGTGAGGCCTGGGAGGCCGGGACGGGGTCGCAGGGCCACCGTGGTCAGGGCTGACCTGCCTCTCACCACCCAGCTCCCACCTCCAAGACCTGAAGGACATCACCCACAACGTCCACTATGAGAACTACCGTGTCGTCAGGCTCAACGAGAGCCACCTATTGCCCAGCGGGCCCGGCTGGGTGAACCTGGGCCCGGCCTCCACCCAACAGCTGACCACCCCTGCACCCTTGAAGGTCCGTAGGCGGGTCCAAGAGGATCCCAAGGATGAGTTCTAAGCACTTGCAGGCTCCCCAGGTCCTTGCACCCAACCCCCAATACAATACCTATTAAAGGTGGACACTGCTTTGTATTAGAAACTGTGTTCCTTTTTTTGGGGGGCGGTACCAGGGCTTAAACTGAGGGTACTCCACCACGGAGCCCCATCCCCAGCCCTATTTTGTATTTTATTGAGAGACAGGGTCTCACTGAGTGGCTTAGTGCCACGGCATTGCTGAGGCTGGCTTTGAACTTGAGATCCTCCTACCTCAGCCTCCAGAGCCGCTGGGATTACAGGTGTGTGCCACCACGCCCAGCTCGAAAATGACTTCTTTGAGGTAGCCTCAGAGAAAAGTATGGTTCTGTTTTTCTCCTTTAATAGCATGAGACCCAAGATCCTCGGGAAGTCAATCCCACTGTCCTGCGCCAGAGCCCAGTCACAAATTGGGCTCTCCCGTTTGTCCTGCCCTCTCGCTCTTGGCCTGGGACTAGGCCACGAGCACTCGACTCCCCCACGTCCCTGGTGGCCTGACCTTTGGCTGTCCTCCCTAAGCCACTCTGAGCCACGTGGGCCCTGCCTTCCTTCTTTCCTGCCCTAGCAGACCAACATGGTGAGCAGGAGATTCCAGCGCAGAGTCCCTTGTCCTCCCCTGCCTCAGTCTCTGCAGCTATACAACGGGGGTCGGGGGTGACTGTGTCCCTCTCTGTGGTGTTGGTATTCGGACCAAACTCCACAATTCTTGTTGTGCCTGCCACAACCTGAGAAATGGCACGCGGACAGAGGGGAAGGCAACCGGACGGAGTCAGTCCAGGGAGGAGAACCTGTGGCCGTGTGCGAGTTGTCCTCTCCCAAGATCCTCCAGGAGGGATGGACTTTACGTGATGGGAGCTGAGGCACTCCTCAGTGACAACGGTGAGCAGTTATCCTAGCTACAGGTCAACTCCTCCATGAAGCCTTCCTTGACTTCCCCGGATGATGGAGGCGGATGGAGCTCAGTGGTACAGCACTCAGGGGTGCTCGCCCATCCCAGTGCTTCCCCACTCCCCCTATATACATAGACGATAGGATAAAAAAACCTTTCAATTTTTTTTTTTTTAATCTCAGTATTTGGTCACACCGATGGAGGACTAACACACTCTCTAACAAATGTCTTAGTGGTGGCACATGGCTACACAAAGGACGAAACACTGTCCCATGCCATAGCATGTTCCCCAGTTTGAGATCAGCCTTAGGCAATATGGCAATGGCTACAGTATTTCAAAACCGCATGCTCTTTGGCACCGCAAGTGCATTTCTAGGGATGGATATTACACCAGCCCTGCGAGCCTCTGCTCGGCACTACTGACGTTAGAGGCTGGATCATTCTTTGCTGGAGGAGGCTCTCCTGTGCACTGAAGGAGGTTCAGCAGCATCACTGTTCTCGACCCACTAGATGTCAGTAGCAACTCCCCCACTGTGACAACTATAAATGACCCCAAACCAGTCCCCTGGGGTACACAGTATGTCCAGCTGGGAACCACTGATAGCTGTGCACAGGTGTGCAGAGTATCCTACCAAGGTTCCCAGAGAAGGGTGGGAAACAATGTACCTGTCCACCGGACTCCCATACCACTGTATTAGTTTCCTATGGGTGCTGTAACAAATTAGCACATACTGGAGGCTTGTCAGAGTCTAACATCAGTATCACTGGGCAGAGGAGGGCTCACGCACTGACCTAGCCACCATGTTGCCCCCCTCTGACTCCAACTGCCTCTTCAACTTTTCTTCTGAGCAGCTTTCTTCTGTGGTCACTTTGCATTCCAGGAACCACAGGTCTGAGTGATAAGCATCTTTATGACAAGGGACTGAAACTACCCCCAAGCAACAGTGAGTCTCAGCAGATTACCCCATGATGGGTCTGCCCCCTAAACAGAAGCTGAGGGAGCTTCTGAAGGAGCTGAGGCTGCCCCCCCTAAGCAGGAGCCATCATTCCACAAAGGGGAGCGAATTGCCCTCAAGCCACCATGACCTTCCCAGAACTAGTCCTGAGATAAGGATCGACCAGACAGTGGCACAAACAAGACGACAGATTCCGTCAGCTATGCAACTCCCTCCGGAGCCAAGCAAGAGCCAAGCAAGCCCCCCGCCCCCAGCACTGCCTTGATCCCTTTGTCTTTAAACCTCACAGTGTCCGTCAGCTATTGAAGACAGATCTTTGGCCACTGCACCTCGGTATCTGCTCTTCCCTCGGTGGCCACACTGATCAAAGCTCCTGTCCCACTCTTGGCCACTGCCTGTCTCTTTGATTGTCATATTGGGACAGGTGGAAGAGACTGGTCTGTCAGGACCCCCAGAGCCAGGGTCTTTGCCCTAGAACTCCAGTAAAAGGGCCCAAATCACAATCTGAGAAAGGACATGCTCCAGAGGAGACAACGTCTTTCTTTCCCCAGCTCCTAGAGCTCGGTTCCTCACTTTGTGCCCACTTTCTCTATTTTTTAATACTTTTTTAGATGTGGAGACCTTTATTATATTCATTTGCTTACACGTGGAGAATCGAACCCAGTGCCTCACACATGCTAGGCAAGCGCCCTACCACTGAGCCACAGCCTCAGCCCCCGCTTTCTATACTTTCAAAGCCAGCAGCTTAACCCCTTGTTCCCAGGGCCACACTGCCTTCCCCTGGGTCAAGTCCCCCTCTGCTTCTCTCTTATAAGGACCCTTACTCTTGTGATTATTGGGCCCACCAAAATAATCTTTCATCTCAAAATCCTGAATTCCATCCTGCCAAATCCCTTTTGTCAAATAAGGTAACAACATCTTTAGATTCTAGAGAACTAGAACACAGTGATTCCAGGAGGCATATTAAAAAAAAAAAAAAAATGTTTCCTTGAAAAAAATTTTTTTTTTCTTGGAGCTACTTCCTACTCCTCTCCAAGCCTTACCCTGATCTCTCTTCACATCTTTAACATCCCTCTCTCTGGGGTAGGCTGAATTCCAAAGGCCCTCTGCAATGCCTTTCCTAGCCTCAGTTTAAATAGTAGTGTGTTTATCAAAAAAGAAAATGCAACAGTTGTTGTGTGATCACACCTGTAATCCCAGCCACTTGGGAGGCTGAGTCAGGAGGATCACAAATTCAAGGCTAACCAGGGCAATGTAGTGAGACCCTGTCTCAAAACAATGAAAAGGGCTTAAGGGGGCCTGGGGTTGTGTAGCTCAGTGGTAGAACGTTTGCCTAGCATGTGTGAAGCACTGGGTTGGATCCTCTGCACCCATAAAAATAAATAAATAAAGGTATTGTGTGCATCTACAACTTAAAAAAAAAAGGGGGGGGCTTGAGGTATAGCTCAGTGGCAGAGCACCCCGGAGTTCAATCCCAGTACTGGGAGGGGAAAAAAGCAGATGTGCCCTCTGTAATCCCAGGGACTCACAGGAGGTGAGTTCAAACCCAGCCTCAGGGGCTGGGGATGTCGCTCAAGCGGTAACGGCTCGCCTGCCATGCGTGGGGCTTTGGGTTGGATTCTCAGCACCACTTAAAAATAAAATAAAGATGTTGTGTCCACCGAAAACTAAAATAAATTAATTAATTAAAAATTCTCTCTCTCTTAAAAAAAAAAAAACCCAGCCTCAGCAACTTAGCCCTGAACAACTCAGGAAGACTCTGTCTCCAGTGAAATATAAAAAAGGGCTGGGGATGCTGCCCAGGGTTAGACACCCCTGGTTCAATCCCTGGTACCAAAAAAAAAAAAAGGCAGCTGCTGTTCCCTTTGATGTGACAAGGAAGCAACAGAAACTGGGAGACAAGGAAGCACAACATTTCTTGGAAGAAAAAAAGCCAAGAGCCTTGTGAAATCTGTCTCGTGTCCCACTGCACAGCTTTTCTGTCATGGTGCTTTCAGAGCCCCCCGAGGCCGTGGAGTCGGGGACTTGAGACAGAAAGATTTCCTCTACCTTCCTCAAAGCCGGCTTGAAAACCTGCTGTAGCCTGGTCAGCGAGCCTCCGAGCTTCGCGAAGTCGTTCTCCGGGTCGTACCAAGTGGACGTCTCAACAGCACAAACTACCGGGTCCTTACAGAGAGGAGGCGGTTCTGCAGCCTCCCCGGGTGGGTCCGAGGCCGAGGAAGCGGCCCCTGCCCACTCTACTCCCTTTGCCAGCACTGACCACAGATGTGAGTGAACAATTACGTGCAACTATTTTGTTCACTGTCTGTCTGTCTTGCTGGAACACTTGAAGCAAGCACAGGCTCACAGCTGGGTCACCTCCGCCGGCCCATTCGGGAACACAAGGAGCAGCTTTTAAGCCGGTGAACGAGCTGCAACACCCTGGGCAACCTGCGCTGCGCTGTGTGGACACCGAGGCCAGGGCGTGCAAGGGGCCGGCCCGTTCTCGGAGACAAAGACGCGGCCACCCGGAGGCAGCGTTGACGTCCTCTGGGGACACGACACCCGCCTCTCGCCAAAACCGGCACGAGCTCAGCCCGGGAGCGCCTGGGCCTGCGCGAGGCATCCTGGGAAGTGTAGTCGGCCCGCCTCCCACCCCCCACCTCCAGCGATCGAGACTTCCGCTCCCGGGGGGCACCGTCCTCGCGAGGCTTTGAGAAAGACACGCGAGACAGCTAGGGTGGCTCTGGGCCAAGGGGAGGGGCGCGCGAGTGGAAGGGGCGGGGCCTGAGCAGGTTTCCGTTTTGAGACCCCGCCCCCGGAAGCCGTCGTGGGCAGTGAGCCCCCTGCTACGCCTTTTAGGCGGCCACAAGTTGGAAGCCAGCCTCCGCATTGTAGGGAGACGTCAACAGACACTAGTATGGCAGTATGTAAAAAAGTGGATGTGTAACGGATGTGATTGTGCAATCTGTATGCGGGGTAAAAATGGGAGTTCATAACCCACTTGAATCAAATGTATGAAATATGATATGTCAGGAACTATGTAATGTTTTGAACAACTAATAATAAAAATTAAAAAAAAAAAAGGTCCGGGGGTGTAGCAGGGCAAAGGATATTATTTGGGGAGGAAAGGCATGCATGAGTCGACCTGGGAGACCCTTTTTTCCTGGGCAAAAACATCGGCATGTTTCTTCTTTCTCCCTTCACCTTTTATTATTATTTTTTAAAATGTTTTTTAGTTGTCCGTGGACCTTTATTTTATTTATTCACATGCGGTGCTAAGAATTGAACCCAGTGCCTCATACATGCTAGGCAAGTGCTCTATCACTGAGCCACAACCCCAGCCCATCCTTTTTAGTTTTTTGAGATGGGCGGGGGGGCCTGCTGTTTTCTCTTTTGCCCAGGCTGGTCCTGAACTCCTGGGTTTAGGTGGTCCTCCTGAGTCAGCCTCTCTAGTAGTTAGGACTGCAAGCTTGTGCTTCTGTCCTCAAGCTTCTTATTTTGAACAACTTTTGCTCTTGGAAATGAAGATGGCAGAGTACTTCCTACTTCTTTTTTTTTGGAACGGGTACTGGGGATTGAACTCAGGAGCACTCAACCACTGAGCCACATCCTCATCCCTATATTGTATTTTATTTGGAGATAAGGTCTGAGTTACTGAGTGCCTCGCAATTGCTGAGGCTAGTTGTGAATTCCCCATCCTCCTGCCTCAGCCTCCCGAGCCACTGGACCTGCTTCTTTTCGGTACAGTTTGACCTGCTTTCTCTGATCCCTTAATGGATCAGGTCAGCGCTTGTCCTGGCCTGTGTATTCTGTGCACATGTTCTCTGTAGAACACAGCTACCTGGTTCCCGGATGTTTGCCTTTTAGACCAGTTGTGAAAGCCCTTGGGGGCACATGGAACCACCAGCTGGCAGAGCCCAGTGTTCTGCCCACCTTCCTCCCCAGGCAGCCTCCGGGCCCTGGGCTCATTTCTCTCACATCTGGGCCAGGGCTGCAGTCTTCCCTCTTCCTGGCCCCAGCTGTTCCTGCCCTCAACCTGTGCCACACCTTGGTGGCTTCTCACGCGTTCTCCCTCTGCTCTCCCACTGCTGGGGCTGTCTCCTGCTGCTTCTCACTGTCCCTAGCCATCATCATCTCAGGACGATGTGGATGGGAAATCTCGAGTTCCAGGTGTGTGTACTGTGGGCCTCCATGACTTTCCTTTTATGGGTGGGGAAACAGGTCTAGAGGGGCCCGGTAGCCGAGCTGGCTTAGACAGATCTGAACTCTCCACCTCCTTTTTTTTTTTGCAGTAGTAAATGGACACAATGCCTTTATTTTTATGTGGCGCTGAGGATCGAACCCAGTGCCTCACACAGGCTAGGCAAGCGCTTGCCACTGAGCTACAGCTCCAACCTCCTACCACCTCTTCCTCCAGCTTGTCCTGTCAATAATTCACAGGCAGATTTGAACTTGGATCAAACACTTTATTTTCAAATACTGTGAGACATTCTAAAGGGGAGAAAATGTAGTCATAGAAAAAATAATTGCCTTTGCTCTTGACAGCTAAGTGGCCGTGATGGAGGCTGCGTGGCCATCTGGAAGCCATACTACCGGGTGTTAGGCCTTGCCCCAGAGCCAAGGGGGAGGGGTCCGGCCCAGGCCTGGCTGGAGAGGCTTCCGGTGGCTTTGGTGGAGGCCTGCTTGACATTTGGCTTCTAATAGAAATGTCCCTCATGTTGGGGTGGGAGCTGGTGGTGGGCCTCCAGTGACCAGATGAGTTGGTGTCTGAAGAGCAGGAGTCTGTGGCCCTGGTTGTGGCTGCCTGTAGCTGGTGTCTGTGATGCTGCTGTGGCTGGGCAGGGCCTACCTAGCTTTTGGCCTGGCTCAGGGCTGGATACAAAGAGAACCTTGTGTACCCTCTGTTGTGGCAACTGGCAGAAACCCTCAGTTTGAATGTTTGAACATTTACCCAGATGCCAAGCGCCAGCTTTGCCTCGTGAGCCATGGCATGGAGGAACCCGACTGACATGGTTTCTCTGCTTTTCCACAGGGCAGGCAGGGGCTCTGGGCCCTTGTCCTGGGTACAAGTTGGCAAGAGATCAGGGCCTAGAAAGCAGTTAGTAAAGGGCTCTAAGATGGGGAGCTGGGGGACAAGCTTGTAACAGGATGGGGGGGACAGGCTTCTCCATGGAGGCCAGACCAGGCCCAGCAGGGGACCAGCTGGACCCTGCTTGGTGGTTATCGATGTGGGTGGGCACTGTTCCATTCCAGTGTTCTGTCTAGGTTCACCTTTAGTTTGGAAGGATCCTGGAACCTATGTGAGCTTTTTTATCTTGGGTAGAGAAAAAAAGAAGCGAACTTCAATTGTTACCTTTAAAAAAAAAAATAATAAGTCTGCCTATGTGTGGGTTTGTACAAGCTGTGTTAATTTAGGTTAGTTTGAAATAGCAAGTACTCAGGGGCCCAGAAAAAAGGCTGAAGTCTCTTTCAAACCTGAAATTATATAAATACGTTTTACTTAGTGTCTAAAAAGAACTTGTAAAATGGAAATGATAGATGCTTGATAAAGGGAAAAAAGAATAGAAATGGGAAAGGATGGAAGAGGCTCGCAGTCCCAGAGTCCTGCGGTTTCCTTCCTGGCTCTGCAGAAGCTGGGGTCCACGTGGTTTCCCAGAGTTGCTGTCACACTTCATGTATAAATCTGTGTTTAAGTCTTTGCTGTGTGCATGAAAATGTCAGGACGGTTCTGGTGAAGGCCAGGGTGAGTTCACAGTCAGAGTCCCTACTCCACAAAGCCACCTGCTAATGGACACACGTGGACAGCAAGGGGCCCACCAGTGCATGGAAAAGCAGACCACCCCAACCTGCTCCTCAGATCCCCTCACCTGAAGCACCTATAGTTGGCCTAGAGGAGGCATCAGGACCTCCCTAGCTGACTCTGGCTCAAGAGGGTCCCCCAGGGCCCTAGGATGTCCTCCTTGGAGTCTGGTCTGGGTGCTCTGCCCCTCAGTGCTGAGTTTCACTTGTTCCTTCCTCTCAGTTGCATCTTCAAGGGCTTTCTGGCCACCTGGCCTCTTCCTGGCAGGTACTTGGGGCAGAGCTGTCCCTTTCCGAAATGCTCTCAGCTGCTGGAGAAGCTGACTCTTGCAAGTACAGCTCCTGCAATGCAGTAAAACCAACCTCCGTCAGCGCTACTGAGGCCAGTCCTCTCAGCATGTCACCACTGAAACCAGGCAAAGAAGGAATCTTTAAATTAAGGACATGATTCAGGCAACCTCTGAGAATGTCTGGGATCCTGTTGGGAGTGACGGGTACCGTGGCTTCCCCTTCTCTTCTTGGTGGGCACAGTAAGACTTTACCACGTGGAGATAGGGTTCAGCCCCATCAGTGGCTCTGGACACCCCCAGAGGCTTCCCACCAAATGTCACCATCTATCCTGTCTGTGACATTCTTATGGAAGGAGCTCTGTAGAGGAGTGCACTAATTCCTGCTAGACAAGGGTCTCGCTGAGTTGCCTAGACTGGCCTTGAACTTGAGATCCTCCTGTCGCAGTCTCAAGAGTAGCTGGGATTATACATGTGCCCATTCTTAATGTCTTAAAGCCTGAACCAACAAAATATCTGTTACTGAGGATCATTTATATGCCCAACTTTGAGCTAGGAACTAAAATTATCCCTCCATTTCTGGATGAAGACATTAAAACATGAAGATATTAAAGCTATTTGCCAGAGAAGCAGCCTGATTCCAGAGCTGAGGACCACACAGGAGGTGCTCAATCCTCCTGGGAGGGACCATGCTTCTCAGAACAGGGGAGGGAGCTTGCTTAGTGAGCCAACCAACCGAGACTCCTGCCTTGCAAAGCAAGGCCTTGCCACTGAGGGCTGGGGGGTGGGCTGAGTAGGAGGCTGCACCTCCAGTTCTGCAGTCTGGGTGCATGTTACTATCACAGGCTTCCAACAGGAGGCCTGTTCAACACTTCTCAGGCCCAGTGCTGTCCCCACAGTGCCTAGCCATGTTCCCAGGAGCTGCATGAGGCCCTGCATTGCCAGATGCCATGGCACCTAATTCTCATTTGCCCATGACCACAGGATGGGGCCTCCCTCATGTCCCTGCAAGACACTTCACTTTTTAATTCACCAAGCCTTTAGTTTCTGGAGAACCATCATCACTTCACTCCATCCCTACATGGTCTCTTCACTCCCACTGTCATGAGTGGCAGGGATCAAGGTCAATCAGGGGAGCTATTTTTCAGATAGAAAATGTACAAAGTCCTACTCAAGAGGGAGCTAGGATATCCTTAGTGATGTCCCAGGCCCCGCAGGCCAGACTGAGGTGTGTGCTGGGTCTAGCTGGGCTCTCCCTGGCTTCCTCCCCAGCCCCTACATCCTCCCTGCCCTATGTGTGGGCTCTTAAGGTACAGGTAGTGAGCTGAAGTCCATTATGTCAGATCAACAGATGGAACTTCACCAGGCAGTGCAAGGTCCTTGGGTGGTTACCGAAAATCCTGGGAGAGAGTAGCTGCCTGCTGTGCTGGGCTATGCGGGGCTTTCAGAGCTTCTCTCTCTGACTCATCCTCCTCGCTGTCAGAGGAGCTGTGGCTGGAGCTGGGGAGAGAAGACACGCCATCCCTGGATGTGTCCCAGTGCACTCTGGCAGGCCTCATCCCTACCAGGGACTTGAAGTGCTCCTCTGGGACTGGATGGGACTGGCAGCCAAAGTACAAAAGCTGAGCTAAAAGGGCCACAGGACTTCCTGCCAGCTTCTGGGGAAGGCAGAGGTGATGTAGCCGGCCTAGAGAAGCTTGCCCTTTGCCCCTTTCTTCCCTCCCTATAGGAGGCCAAGACCAGGTGGGACTGGCCAGGCCCATTCCTGGCTAAAAGTGCTTCCCAGCCCAGTCACTCCCCAAGCCATGTGAAGTTCCCCGTTTCTTCCAGCAAGAACTGCAGAAGCCTCATGAAGCCAACAAGCTACTCTGCAAAATGCAGAGTCTGCTGCAGGAATGTCACTGCTCTCTGTACCTTCCTGAGGACTGGTGGTCAGATGGCTCTGGAGACTCTGCCGGCCGCAGATCCATGAAGATGGTGGGAGGCTCCATCCTCAGCCTCATGCCGTCAGCCAGCTTCTGGCAGGGCTCAGCCTGGAAGCCTGGCTTCGTAGAAGCACATCTGTGACAAGAGAAAGGCAGGGTGGCTGAGTCCTTTCTCAGGTGATTACTCAACCTTTGGGCTTGTCCAGTCACACCGCCCATGGCAGGCACTGAAAGCGTGCCCACCAGGTAGAGGTAGGCACTTCTAGTCCCTCTGCTCTTTCATTATCCACAGTCAGACCAAGCAAGGACCATGCTGCCAACAGCACTTGGCATGAATAAGTTGCCATGAGTCCATGCTGTCCAGCGTGGGGCCACTTAACCACAGCTTATTCACATTTACAGTTTTGTAGATTGGGGGATGGAACCCAGGGCCTCACACATGCTGGGCAAGTGCTCTGCCACCAAGCTACATCCCTAGCCCTTTTTATTTTTTGAGACAGGGTCTTGCTAAATTGCTGAGGCAGACCTCAAACTTGCAATCCTCCTGTCTCAGTTTCCTGAGTAACTGGGATTTCAGATATGTATCATGTGCTTAGCTGTTTACATTTAAACTAATTAAATTCAAGTGAATAAAAAATTCAGGGGCTGGGTTGTGGCTCGCCTAGTATGGGTGAGGCCCTGGGTTTGATCCTTAGCACCACATAGAAGTAAACGAATAAAATAAAGGTATTGTGTCCAACTACAACTAAAAAATAAATATTTAAAAATAAAAAGATAAAAAATTCAGTTCTTCAGTCACTCTAAACACATTTCAAGTGCTAAAGAGCCACATGTGGCCAGTGGCTACCATATTAGACTGTCCAGATCTAGCCATGTGATACTTTTGCTTGCCAGGCACAGAAACCTACAACTGGGTTAGGAGGAAAGGGGGATTCATCAGCACCCAGGTTCCTGAAAGAGTGAAACAACCAACGTGTGAGAAGGGCAGGAACACGCTGGGCCTGAGGGGACTGCTGAGCTGTCTCCACCTCCTCCTCTTTCCATCTGCACTCTCTGTCACTGCAGATTGCCATTCTCTGTATGGCATGGCAGGTGGCCTTCCAATGTTACTGATACACAGATGGGGAAATTGCAGGGAAAGGCTCTGAGTGGCCTTGCTGACCACAGGCCAAGGGCTGGACTAATTAACTGTGACAGAGGGACAGGATCATGTGATAACCTTCCTACTCCCAAGAAGGCCATGTGGATAGTGGAGGGAAGGTCTTCCTAGGGATTGGAGAAAGAGCAGGGAAGATGGCCCAGGAGAGGCAGCCTTCCTGAGTCTCAGTTCCCCAGCTATAAATGAGGACACTGGAGCACCTGCCTGATTAGATCCTTGAAATAGAATAAGACAGTGCACATGAAGTGCCCCATGCATAAAAGGCCCAATTAGTACTGCCTCATCATGGACCAGTTCTAAAGAGATGACAGGGGCTGGGTGCAAGGCATATGCCTAGAATCCCAGCAACTCATGAGGCTGAGGTGCTGGAGGAATAGCTCAGTGATAAAGCAACCCTGGGTTCATTCCCCAGTACCCAAAACAAAAAATGATGACGGGGTTATGACCAGCAAGAAATCCTACCTGCTTCTGGCCTCCTGCTCCTCTGTGTCTTGGGGTGTGTCAGCAGGCAGCTTCCGGGCAGGGGCAGGGGCTCCGGACTGTACAGCACACAGGAGAGCCAGCTGTTCCAGGAGCCTGTCCTGGGAGTGTGGTGCAGTATGGGCTGTGAATTGTCAGAGAAGAGGAGGCTGCTTAGTGGGGATTTGGTCCCCTTTGGCTAATAGCAGCTTGAAACTCAGGACCCCTTGGGCTTCTTCTTGCAGTGTGCCTTAGTCTTGAAGGTAGCCCCCAGCCCTTTATCAGGCTTCCAGTGAGCTCAGCAGGGATGAGGGGAGCAGCATCTTAGGGGCAGGGACCACTATATTTGAGTCTCACAAAGTAGGGGCAACTAAGTAATAGAAATTTGCCACTCTCTATCTGCTACATCATGGGTAATCATGATAAATGACTGCCCATGTGTGTTTTTTAAAATAGCAAATGGGATCAGCTCATAGATTAACTCCATTTCTACCTTGCCTTATAGATTACATCTTCCTACATTAGTAAGGATTTTCCTCATTAAAAAGCAGAGCACTCTGGTGTAACTAGCTCAGCTAGACTCTTATTGCATATGGGTGTTTCCAAGTTTTAAACAGCACTGCAACATATATCCTTAAATACCCACTGTGTGCTTAGGAGAGATTTTCAAAATGGAATAGCAATAGCTTGCTCAGTGGATGTGTGCCTTTAAACTAGACTGGATTCAGCTGGGCACTGTAGCACATGCCTGTAATTCCAGCTGGCTGAGAGGCTGTGGCAGAACAATCACAAGTTTGAGGCCAGCCTGGGCTGCGAATGTAGTTCAGTGGTAAAGCGCACTTGAGTTCAACACCCAGTACCATAAGGAATAAATGAGCAAGTAAATACATAAAGCAGGCTAGATTCTGTATGTTGCCCTCCAGAGGGTACAAATTTCACAGATACTCCCAGCCTATAGGAGGGTTTCCCCACATCCTGCATAAAGAGTGTGAATTACAAACAAAGCTGTGTGAAAACAGCATAGAGGCTGTGGGTCTAGTGGAGTCTGATCTGGAACAGAGGCTAGAAATCTGACACCTGCCTCTACTCACTGTTTGGGCCCAAGAGGGTGGAAAGCTTTTGTGTTATTTGCAGAACTTCTCAGAGTAAGGCCACAAGTACTGTGACAAAGATGATATCCTTAGCTTTCTCTGTAAGCAGGAGTGTAAGCATGAGTGTGAGCAGGAGCTGACTGGAGGAGTAAGAGGCAGGATTGGGACTGGGGACATGATCAGTCGTAGAGTGCTTGCCTGATGTGTGTAGGGCCCTGGCTTCAATCCCCAGCAATACACACACACACACACACACACACACACACACACAGCAGGACCAACTTTCCCCCAAGAAGAGAGAGAGGAAGTGGAGGGAGAAGGAAGGAAGCTGTGGGTCTTGGGGCGAGGGCCGGTCTGAAGGCCCCACTTGTGTCTCCAGGGCCTGGACATGCCTGACACATTGCAGGAAGCCATATATATGTTCATTCAATGATGAGTGAAGGACTGGCAACCCGAGTGTTCAGGCTGAGCAAGCACAACAGCTGCAGGGCTGACTATGCCCAGCTTGCAGTCCTCTGTCACTGAGACGCCTGGAAGGAGGGCTTGTGGGGATTCACTTGGGCTCTGATGAAGTTCAAGGACAGACCTTGGCTCTGCTGGAGGTCAGCTGCCCACCATGAAGTTCTGGGTGCACCATTTCCCTGCTTGTCTTCTCGCCCTGGCAGACTCTGAAGGATATAATCCAAATCCCACTCTTCAAGTTGCTGAAACAACGAAGCCAGTGGTTATGAGGCTGCTCAGGGTCCCAGGGGCAGCAGCTCCTGCGGTCACAACTGCCACCACCAGTGCAGCTTGTCATGAGACACTGTAGGGCAGAAACAGGTTTACATGCATGCCAGCGTTTGCTAATGGCCATACCCTCCCTGTAATGGATTAGAGATTAAATCCCTTCATTAAGATGGGACCTGCAGGGCTGGGGCTCAGTAGTAGAGCACTTGCCTAGCATATGTGAGGCACTGCATTCACTTCTCAGCACCACATATAAATAAATAAAATAATGGTCCATCAACAAGTAAAAAAATAATTTCTTAAAAATAATTTTTAGTTGTAAGCGGACACAATACCTTTGTTTTATGTATTTATTTATATGTGGTGCTAAGGATCGAACCCAGTGCCTCACACGTGCAAGACAATGCTCCACCACTGAGCCACAACTTCAGCCCCAACAACTAAAAAAATATTTTTAAAAAAGGAGGAACCTGCATTCCTCAACACCTTCTTCCTAACCTTTTTTGGGTGGGTCAACAGACCTGCATTTGACACATAGATGTTCGATCTCAAGGTAACCCAGTGTCATTTTAAAATTGTTTAGGTTTATAAAGGGTCAAGATGTTTGGAGGTTTAAAAAGCTTTTCTTTTTTGTTTGGCACATCCTGTATTCTCAGCTATATGGGAGGCTGAAGCAGAAGGATCACAAGGCCAGCTTGAGCAAGTTAGACCTCATCTTGAAATAAAATTTAAAAAGGACTCCGATATAGCTCAGTGGCAGAGTACTTGCCTAGCATGTGCTAAGCCCAGAACTGCAGGGGAGAAAAAAAGGAAAAAAAAAAAAGTTGCTCTTTGGCTCTAACTGGAGAACTTGGTCAAGGGGGTTCTGGGGACAGGGTGTGATAGAGGGAGGAAGTTAGCCTGGAATTAATGCTTTGTATGGTTTTGGGGATGGAACCCAGGGCCTCATGCACACTAGGCAAGCGCTCTACCACCGAGCTCCAGCTCCAGCCACAGTGAGTGTTTCCTATCCATGACCTTGCTTCTTGGAGTCCTGCAGTGAGGATGTTGCCAGGGGTCAGCAAAAGGGAAGGATGGGCTTGTTCATCAATGATGAAGAGCTTCTGTGTGTACCTTGCTGCCAGTTTCCTCCGAGTTACTAGGAAAATCGTCAGAACTATGGAGATAGCAGAAAGAGGGCTACAAGGCTTTCCCGTGCCGTGTCGGAGCATCTCCCAGAGGTGACTTGCATGCGCCTGGCTAGGGCCCACACACTTCACGGCCTTGTGAACCTGGGAGACTCAGTGGTTTCTCTTCTGTCCAGTGGATGAGAGTACCCCAAGATCACAGCTGTGCTTCCCTCTATGGTGCTGGCCACCCCACACGTGCTGCATCAGTCTTTTCTCCACTTTCCTTTCTCTCCCCCAGCATCTCATGGAATGTTTCTCCTAATCCCACAAAACTGGCTTTGTCACTCTGCTGGTTTTCTCATTAATACACCCAATCCAAGTTGAATAGGTACTTCTCTTATATGAGAATGTGGGCTTTCCCATTTGGAGGATTTTGCTTTGACAGTATCTGATTTTGTATTTTACAAAAATCTATACACATTTGAATCCTGTACTTGGGATTAGCATTCTGGTTCTAGCCCCAGTGTGCTACAAAGGTGTCCACACTGCAGGGGACAGGCTAGAGGGAGGGCTGGGCAGTGGAGAGGCCCACCTGGAGTGAGAGCACCAGTTGTCCTTCCCGAGGTCCCTCTGATGGTGCCTCTGACCTGAGACCTGGCTCAGTAGACTGACACTGGTCCCTGCAGGCTGGGTCCAGGGCATCCCAGGTTACTTTGTGGAGCATTTCCTTCTCTATCATCTTTCTCCTCTCTCTCCGGAGGGCTCTGCGTTTTGCAGAATCTCGCCAGGCAGCACTCAGAGGCTCTATCCCCACCTCTCCTTCAGGGGATAGGGTGGCTTCTCCCTGTGGGTCCCAGGGAGGACGCTGGAATTGTTTGGTGTTGAAGGACATGGTCCCAAGGTCACCTTCCAGCAACATGGGGGTCTCCTCTGCCATTTGAAGAAAAGTGCTGGTCTCAGCACAGTTCTCAAGAGACCAGCCTTCCTGAGAAGCCAGGCCCAGTGTACTTGCATTCTGTCCACTCCCAGGTTTGGTGGCAAGTCCCACAGGCACCAGAACTGGCTATCAAGAAAATATGCATCCTCTGTTAGCATCTGCAAAAACACACTTTTGTTTTTTGTTTCATAGTAAAATATACATAACATACAATTTCCCATGTTAACCATTAAGTGTACAGTTCACTGGCGTGTATAACAACCCACAATGCTGTACAGCTATCATCACTGTTTCCAAAACTCTGTTGTTGCCCCAAACAGAAACCTGTACCATTAGCAGTCACTCTCCATTCCCCTCAAAGAAGAAAAATTGCATAGAAGAGTAGCCAAAGGGACTCTAGAAACAAAACACAAAGTAAAATCATGTGGAAATTGTGCCACTGGAACTAACCCCAGGGACTAGGCACCCTGGAATTCCTCCCATTGGGTAGACCTACTTCTCAGCATGGCTGGGCTTGGGGGTGATGGTTCTTGTGATGGGTCAGATGATCTAATCCAACCCTCATGCACCCCATTTGCTTGGTGAATGATGCTGGCCAGAACTGAGGTGAGGGAGGTCAAGCTGGAGCGAAGCACCTACTGGATCCTCTCTCCCGCACCCCAGCCCAACCATTTTGGAAGTGGGTTAAGGCCTTTACTGTGTTTTCACTGGAAACAGGACATTTAACCACAACTACATCAAGAAGGGCCAAACCAGTCTGGTTGGTGGAGGACACCCAGGGATGAAAGCAGACAGGTGGCTTTCGTTGTGAAGGCAGCAGTAAGTTTAAGCATTAAGACGTTAGGCTTAGGGACTAGGGGTGTAACTCAGTGGTAGGGCGCTTGCCTGGCCCATGTGAGGCACTGGGTTTGACCCTCGGCACTGCATAAAAATAAATAAATAAAGGTATTGTGTCTATCTACAACTAAAAAAATTTTTTTAAAAGACATTAGGTTTAGATAGAGTTCTTTGTCTTAGCTGGGGACAGAGATGGAAATGCTTTGCTGCTGTTCAGCAACAACCACAACCAGGAAGCTCGAGACGGAGCTGTGGCCTCTTCTGATTGTGTCCTGGGTCTCCACCTGGCCTCCCTGCCAGGGATGCAGCTTGTGCATTTGCTCAGCCATTTATGGAGCACCTCTTGCCTCTCACTAGAGTTATCAGTAATTAAACAAATATTTAAGGAGCTCCTGCTTGCCTGCTAGGTCTGAGCCAGGTGACTATGAAGCCAGCTGGATTAGGAAGAACCAATTATGACATGCAGTTGTGGCAATGGCCAGACAGTGCAGAGTGTTTTGGTAGAAAATAGAGCAGGAGGGATCTGGAGGAAGGACGGGGGTAAAATGAGACAACAAATTAAATGTGCCAGGCACCCAGGGAAAGCTGAGAGCTGTACACACACATACACACACACTTCTGCCTGCAGGGCCTAGAGTCTGTGTTCCACAGACCTCAGGCAAGGACGTTTCAGCCAGAGGGACCCAGATCCTAGAATTATTGTCATCAGCAGGGTCTTCGGCCAGCTCCTCAGCCAGGTCTGGAATCAGGACGGGCTGGTTTCGCTGGAAGATGAATGGCTCTTCGCCGCAATCTGACTGTGGACAAATGAGGGGGCTTTGGGAGATATGGCAGCATCTATGCTGCCCAGCCTGCCCAGGGGTATCCAGGAGACCCAGTTCTCTCTTAAAGGGCTTGCCCTGTGCTGCCTCCTGTGACTGATTTAGAAGTGGGCTTGGCAGCACTACCTCAGGGGGGTGCAACTTGGGGCTCCCCATTCCAGGAGGTGCCATACCTGAGACCTTGCACAGTAAGTGCTGCATTTGTGCCTGGTGCTGAGTAATGAGGGAGCCACTAAGAGCAGAGTCTAGTCCCTCTCCACCTTAAGCATCTATTAAACCAAGAACCTTGGCTTGCCACCTCTAATGAAGGTAGCTTATATGCTCCCGCCACCTTTCAGGGACAGCCTTGAAGACAGGGGCAAAGGAGACTGCAGGTGTGACAAGACTGGAGCACGGAGGCTGGGACTGCTCCACCTACTCCTGGGCCTCACTGTGCAATGGATGATCCCTGAGGTCCCAGAAGCTCTGACATGTCCATTTTTGCAGGTGCCCAGGCAGGCACAAACCATTCTAAAACCTTTGCCCTTGCTCTAAATTCCCAGTGCTAGACTGTATGCTAAGAAGCTCTCTCCCAGTGTGTTCCCTGCAGGGTCACTGTCCAGTTTTATATGTGTGCATATGACTGTTGGTGCTAAACATTTTCCAGGGCCACCTCAGTGACCCCAAACCACCACTGAAGAATCCCTCCAGGGGCTTACCATAATGCACTGGAAAGGTGACCACTCAGAGGTGGTGCTAGCCCCATCCCAGCCCAACAAAGAGTTAACAATACAGCAGCAGAATGAAAAGAGCAGGGCTTCAGCCAAAAGCCAACCTGGGTTCTGGGTAAGGGCCAAGAAGTGGCCTTGAGGATGCTGAGCACCAATATTCACCAATTCTGACAAATGCAGAAGGAAGGATATAGAAGGAAATGGAAAAAAGAACTGGGAACCCAGAGAACACTTTTAATAGGGCTAGATTGAAAGTGAAAACAAAGTCCCCAAATTTGAAGGAGGTCTGCAGAGGGAGCTCCAAAGCTGTCCCTGGTTGGTACCATGCCCATCATGGGGAAAAAGGACTGCTGGCGCCAGAAGAAAGCTCTTGCTTACCAAGGAGGAGTCTGAGTCCAGGGATGGGACCTGGTCTTTGGCAGCCTCAAGGATGGCATCCCAGGGGGAGCTTGGTGTAGGTGCCACATCTTTGTCTTTGGACGTCATGATGGCCAGGCTCATGGGATGTCCTTTCTGTGTGCCATTATCCAAGGAGCCCTATGAAGCACACAGGAGGCTGCCTTTCCAAAGCTTCCACCAGCTGCAGGACATGGAAACACTCATAGATCTCCACCTCCCACCTGTTTCCTTGTGGTTCAGGAAGCCCATTTACTGGGTGCCAGGGCCTGCGTGCATGTGTGTGTACTACATGTAAAGGCTGCAGAGATATGTGTGTCATAATGATGTATGTATATGAAAATGTACACATACAGACACATACGTGGAAATATTCTCTATAACATAGATACTGATTTTCTATTTCATAGAGAAGTTAGTAAATGGCAAAGAGCATTTGAATCAAAATTTTAAAATTTTGCCAGGTGAGCACGGTGGCACCTGCCTGTAATCCCAGAGGTCTGGGAGACTGAGATAGGAGGATCACAAGTTGAAAGCCAGCTTTAGTAATTTAGTGGGACCCTGTCTCTAAATAAAATATAAAATTGGCCTGGGGATGTGGTTCAGTGGTTAAGCACCCCCGGGTTCAATCCCCATTCCAAAATAAATAAATAAAAATAATAAAATTTAAAGTTAGGGGTATTTTCAAGCCTAATTACTTTACTGTCTCTTTTTGGAATCCCCAACAGATCTGGTTTGGTGTCGCCGCTCAAATTGGCCCCTTGGACCCACACACTGATTAGCCTCTTTGTATCCTAGAGCCTAAAAGGGAGACAAGGAGCTTTAGGAATGTGGGTGAAGGTCTGGGGAACCCCTGTGGCTGAGAGCCGGCTGAGCCTAAGAACTGGCCAGAGCAGCGGCAGGAGACTTGGCTGGGGGCTCCTGGCTTCGTCCGCGTCTGCAAAAGAGGGCAGGTGCTCGGTGTGTCCCGAGCCGGGGGCGGCAGACGGGGGAGACTTCTGCAGCACGCCCCAGCTCGGCCATTCAGGGCTCAGCATTTCCGGGGCAAGTGAGTCGCCGAGGTGAAGGGAGCCACCAGAGACCGACACGCTCCTCTGACGGGCAGGCAGAAGGCGTGGGGCATTACGGGCAGAGGTGGGTCGGAGGAGCGGAAAATGCCCAACATGTTTCGGGGGAAGGTGGCAGGTGGGGGGCTCTGTGAAGACCGACCCAACCGTGCGGTCCTGTGTCGAAGTCCCGCTGCGTCTAAGGTGGTTCCCAGCGGCAGCCCGTTAGCCCCGCGAGGCGCCGGTTGCCACGGCGACTAGACGCCGCCGCTCCGCGGGGCCAGCCTTCGCCTTCCGACACCCGCGGCCCGTCCCAGCCGCGTCGGGCCAGCCTGCGCCTGCCCTCCGGTGGCCCTGACCCCGCGGGCAGATCCTCGCATCCGCACCGTCGCGCCGGCACTCGGAGAGCCGGTGGGCGACTAACCGCGTCCCACCCTGCTTCCTGCCCCAGGATTGGCTCCTGGGCCGGCGGAGGGGGCGGAGGAGCCCATCCCAGGACTCGGGGCGTCCCGGCATGCCTCGCGCGCTCCCGCAATTACTTCCGGGGCGAGCCGGGCGCCGGGGCGGCGGTCCGCGAGGAGCGGCTGGGGCCGGCGCAGGTAGGCTCCGCGGCGGCACCTGCAGCTTCGGGGCCCGGTGTTCGGGCGCGGCCGTGCGCTCGCCCGCGGGCAGGCCTTGGTGGCGCGGTGCCTGGCTCTGAGGCGCGGAGTGGGACGGCCCCGCGCGGGGCGGCAGGGTTCGCGCGCCTGCGGGAGGCGTGGAGCAACCCCAGGGCCGCGGGCGCGCGCTGTCGCCGGGTCGCCCCTGGGCTCCTGGACGGACCTCCTCCCGTGGCGTGGCAGCCCCAGCTTCAGGATTTTGAAATTCCTTATTTTAAAAGTAATAGATTTGGGCTGGGGTTGTACTTAGTGGTAGAGTGCCTGCCTAGCACATGTGAGGCGCTGGGTTCGTTCCGCAGCACCACGCAAAAATAAAATAAATAAAGGTATTGTGTCCATCTACCAAAAAAAAAAAAAAAAAAAAAAAAAGTAACAGATTTAAGAATTCTACAAAATGGACAGGCGGAATGAGAGTGAAAGCCAGCGTGGTGGGCACCTGTAGTCCTGGCTTCTCTGAACGCCGAGTGGACGCGATCATCTGCTTGAGCTCAGGAGTTCAGGTCTTGGGGCTCAGGATGTCGCTAGGTGGTAGAATGCGAGCATGGTAGAGGCCTTGAGTGGTTTGATCCCCAGCACTCAAAAGAGGTCCCATCCCCAGTGCTATTTCCTGAAGTTTTGGAATTGAGGTGCAAAAGATTTTCTAGCTGCATACAGATAATTCATGAGAGATATTCCTCAACATTGGGCAGCATCTGTTATGTGTGATATGTTATAAATCATAATAGATTTGTAGTTCTGTGGCTTATGAATTCTGCATAGGCTCCTGGAGACCTTGTTTGTTTCTTATTGTCCATCAGTGCTCTGCACTTCGCAGGTGTCAGATGTGAGTATCCAATAGGGAGACAACAGCCCCCAGCCTGGAGGAAGCTTTTGAGGTAGAAGGAACACACCCAAAGAAGACTGGTGGGATCTATTAAAAGAACTAGCACTTAGCTTTTTGGGATTCTTATCCAGGCTCTGTTGACTAGGTCTGTTCAGGATCAGGATTCTTACTTGCCTGTGAGAGGCCTGTGTGATTTCATGCTGGCTTGTGTGGGGAGGTGGTGGTTCCAGGATAGGACTCATTGCCCCATCACCTTTGCATGTGCTCTTGTCAAGGGCATGCAGGGTCTTTGTACCCCAGATGGGTGGCTTGTTTGTTGTTTGGTCACTGACTTTTGGAAGAAGGCTAGGATGCTTGGGAGTATTCTTCAGTAGAAGCTGAGGTTCTTTTTTTTTTTTTTTTTTGATACTGGCAGTTGAACTCGGGCACTCAACCACTGAGCCACATTGTTTATTTAGTTTTTTTTTTTTTAATGTGGTGCTGCAGTCGAACCCAGTGCCTCACGCATTCTAGGCAAGTGTTCTACCACCAAACCACAACCCCAGCACCCTCAGCCCTATTTTGTATTTTATTTAGACACAGGGTCTCACTGAGTTGCTTAGTGAGGCTGGCTTTGAACTTACGATCCTCCTGTCTCAGCTTCCTGAGCCACTGGGATTACGGGTTTGTGCCACTGCACCTGTCTTAGAAACTGAGGTTCTAATGGCTTCTGTGAGCTGCCATTGTACTTTTAGGACATCTGAAGGTGATATGGCCACCTTTTATCCTTTTCCCCCCCTCACTGAGTTGCTTAGCGCCTCCCTAAGTTGCTGAGGCTGGCTTTGAACTCGCGATCCTTCTGCCTCAGCCTCCCGAGCTGCTGGGATTACAAGTGTGCACCATTGCACCCAGCTTCCATGTGATTTTAATAATAGCCCTTTGACATATCCTGTACTCGTTAGACAGGAATTAGGGACTGGAGATGCCTCATACAGTGCTAAATTTTGCTGTGACCCCAAATACAGAGTTCTTTCCCATCACTCCCAGGAACTGATTGGGTCAAAGGACCCAGCTAAAATTTTTTTTTTTTTTTTTTTAAATAACCCATTCATGAGATTTTCAGGTTTTCTGGAGCTTGCTGGAGAATCCCTTTTAGACTCTGAGTCCTGTGAATTAAAGAGAAAATACACTATAGTTAACCTCATTTTCAGTCTGACAACAGGCTCACCAGTGTCAGCATGTTGGAGCTGCTGGTTAATGAAAGAAAACTAAGTCTTGGGGGTGGTCGCCAGGGCCCTTGGTCTCTCAGGGCAGTGATGTGGCTGGTGGCCTACTGCAGGTAGAAGTAAGACCTAACCCCTGGGCCTCCCTCCACAGCCATGTCCGAACTCAGTGATGAAGCCAGCGAGCCGGAGTTCCTGAACCGCAGCTTGTCCATGTGGCATGGGCTGGGCACACAGGTCAGCCGGGAGGAACTGGATGTCCACTTGGATCTTCACACAGCTGCCTCTATTGGCCAGTATGAGGTGGTGAAGGAGTGTGTGCAGCGGTAAGAGGTCTTGGGGAGTGTTCCTTTGCCTCACCTTTTGAGTAGGGTCCCAGTGGTGTTGGATCCCTCAAAGTGAGGCCTTGTACATGGTGTAGACCTCTGATCCTTGGGGGGCCACCAGCCAGCCTTTGTCAGTGGTAACTTTGCTGGGAGCTGGCAAAAAAGGTAGTTTTGATTTCGATGAAGAAGAAGATGGTTTAAAAGTTTATTGTAGGGTTATGAACATTGATTTATAGCTTACCTGAACCAGAGTAACCTTGGGGTTTTCACTGAATGCAGAAATGCCCAAATAAATAAGAATAAAGATAGAAAGCAATGTCCTTTGGCCTTCTTTTCCCATTTTAATCCATGGGGCCCTCCTCTCCCCTTCTGCACAGAAGAGAGAGGTCAGGCTTTTGGATGCCCTTTGAGGATGGCCTGACTTCACTGCATACAAATATTTCATCCTAGTAACACAGAAAGTCCTTTATAAGGCCCAGGCCTGTGTCTTCCTGTGATTGCTGTGACCCCAAATTACAATGTGATTTTTTTTTTTTTTTTTTTTTGGTACTAGGGACTGAACTCAGGGGCACTCAACCACTGAGCCACATTCCCAGCCCTATTTAGTATTTTATTTAGAGATAGGGTCTCACGGAGTTGCTAAGTGCCTTGCCATTGCTGAGGCTGGCTTTGAACTCACAATCCTCCTGTCTCAGCCTCCCGAGCCTCTGGGATAACAGGCGTGCGCCACTACGCCTGGCCACAGTGTGATTATTATTATTATTATTATTTTTAACATTTTATTTTTTAGTTATAGGTGGGCACAATATCTTTATTTTATTATTATTATTTTTAATGTGGTGCTGAGGATTGAACCCAGTGCCTCATCATGCCAGGCGAACGCTCTACCACTGAGCCCCAGCCCCAGCCCCACAGTGTGATTCTTAAGGTGATTTTTGGAAAAGGGTTCCACCATACTTTATGCTGACTGTTGCCATTTCACCTTTGGCAACTTGGTGAAGTAATAATGTCTGTCCATACCTCCCATGCCTTCTCTAATTCCTGGTGAGTCAGAGCAGAGCCTTGTATGGCCCTAGGTCTTCTGCTCCCGAATCATAGCCATCACTCAGAAATTGCTGGCCAAAGGATTTGTAGGACTCCTTTACTGAGTGGCCTTAGGGATAGGTAGTTGGGTATGTGGTCCGCATGTCCCCTCACAGGGTCACAAAGATCCCTGTTATAATTCTCCTTTGGAAATCTCAAGCACTTAAACCTTTGGGTATCCTGTTAAAAAGTATGTTCCAGAATGACTCCACAGAGGAGAGGAGGGCCAGTGGTGGGACATTGTTTGTGCCGGCTGGTGCTTCACACAAGCTGAGAGGGGGGGCTTGCTCACCATATGCCCTGACTGGGGCCTACAGGCAGGTGGCATTGGAGGGAGAACAGGAGCCAAAGGGGAGGAATGAGATGCTTTGTGGGAGCAGCTTCATCCCTTGCCATGGAATTGCCCCTTCCAAAAGGAGGCAGTGCTTGGCTGGAAAGGTCACTTAAGTCTCACCCCAGAGCAGCTCCACGGGGCTCTCCTGCAGGGTTGCCACTGCATTCCTGCAGTCAGGACCTTCTAGAATGTCTGCCTGGGCATGTGTCCCTCAGTCAGTAGGTGTTGCTAGTGAGTGGGAAATAATCACCTGGTGCAACTTAGTATGTGGATCACACATCATGTGGACTGATTGTGAGTTGTTCCCGTCACTAGAGGCAACAGTTGTGGGAGAGGCTGGGTGCAGTGGTGCACACCTGTTCTCCCAGCTGTTCAGGAGACTGAGGCAGGAGGTTTGCAAGTTCCAGTACAGCCAGGGCAATTTAGCAACACCCTGTCTCAAAAATGAAAAAAAATGGAGGTGACTGGGATGTAGCTCAGAGGTGGAGGCTTGCCTAGCATGGGCAAGGCCCTGGCTTCCATCACCAGCACCACGAAGAGAAAAAAAATTGTGGAAGGGGAAAGGCCCATGGCGTGTTAATGGTACACCTTGCTACTGGGAGTGGGTGGTATTTTAAAACGTCACTCACATAAAGTCTGGACTGGTAAAGTCCACACTATTTCTCCTATAGGGAAATGCATTTTCAGAATATTAGCGGAAAAATAGGATTTTCTGGTCACAGATTTTTCACATGTTTCTGTAGGTTGAAGTGCAGTGGTTCTTATTTGTTGTCTAAGTCCCTTTTTCCTCAAACCCTGTGTGCACCCAGCTCTGCACTAACAGACTGGTTATTGATTTGCTGATAGGTGGTCAGGGTGTCTCAGCTTCAGCTGTATTGACAAACCAGGCCTCTTGTCTTTGCCTTAGAGTTTCCTGTACACCACAGGGTGTTAGCAGCCGCCTGGCCTCCACCTTCTACATGTCAGTAGCTCCTTCCCCAGTCATGATTCCAAAAATGGCTCTTGACCTTGGTGAATGTCCCCTGGTTAAGTACCATCTGTCTAGCTGGTGGTATGAAAGAAGGTAATTGTTGGTCTTGGGCTAGGAGGAGGGGCAGGTGAGAATATGAAGTTAGAGAAGGAAGAGAGTTACTGAGGACTTTGTAACGGTGTGCATACAAGCCACGGGGAACATTTCCCTGCCTGTCTTCCCCAACCCTAGGGATGTCTGGGGGTAGAGGACTTCTGCTTCTGGAATGTCAGCTGATCTGGCCTGGCCTGGCCCCTGGCTCTGGTGAACCCCAAATGTGAGACGGCTGGGTGTGTCTAGCGTATCTTGCGTTTGTTTAGGAGAGAGTTAGATTTGAATAAGAAGAATGGTGGTGGCTGGACCCCGCTGATGTATGCCTCCTACATTGGACACGATACCATCGTGCACCTGCTGCTCGAGGCAGGGGTGAGTGTGAATGTGCCGACCCCAGAAGGGCAGACTCCACTGATGCTGGCCTCCAGCTGTGGCAACGAGAGCATCGCCTACTTTCTCCTCCAGGTGAGCTACGAGGGGGCAAAGGCCCAGAAACCCGAGGGGCTCCCAGGCTGCCCTGGCAGGACATGAGGCACTGCAGGCCACAGTGTTCGTGCACGCGTGTGTAATCACTTTCAATTCTTTCAGCCTGCAGCCTGAAGGGCGCTGCTGTCCGCCCACCCACATGGGGAAATGGTCCATAACCTGCACTCTGTTCTCTCAAAGCAAGGTGCAGAGCTGGAGATGAAAGACATTCATGGCTGGACTGCACTTTTCCACTGTACCAGTGCCGGGCACCAGCAGATGGTCAAGTTCCTCCTGGATAGCGGAGCAAACGCCAACGTAAGGTGATTGTGGCATCTTAACTGAACATAGGAGTAGGCAGGTCTCCTCACTCTAAGGAGGGCAGCCATAGAGGCAGCTAACCAGACATCAGGGCCACCCTGCCTTGGTGTGAGAGGTTAAGATGAAGGGGCAGAATGAGTGGGCCTACCCATATATGTGACTTTACACTTATTTATTGGGACATTTGGTGCATCTTTCTAGGCTCCTGACCTGTTTTTCATTTTTTCTTTTTTGTGGGTACAGGGGATTCAACCCTGGGCTTTGTGCATGCTAGGCAAGCACTTTACCACTGAGTTACACTCCCAGCCCTTTATGTTTTAGACAAGTTTGCATCAAGTTATCCAAGCTGACCTTGAACTTGACAGTCCTCCTGCCTCAGTCTCCCAAGTTCCTGGGATGACAGGTGTGGGCCACTAAGTCCAGCTGTGAGTGGAATTTAAATGGCAAAAATGAAATGCTTATCCTTAGCCGGTATACCTATGGCCCCAGCAGTGCAAGAGCTGAGGAGGAGGACCCATTCCCCTGATGCTGTGCACAGCCCTTTGGCTGCTGCTGTCATCCATTTAAGACACACCATAATTTCTAATGACTTTAATAAATAAAAACTGTGCTAAAATTGAACTTGCCTATTGATTTTAAAACACATTCTGACTTCAGAGATGTTAAAGGGTGAAAAAAATATATGTGTGTTTTAGAATGGATGAGAAGCAGCATTTAGCATGTCTCCTGGCTTCTAGAGCAGCAGGAAGTGTGGGGAGAAGAATGAGCTGCCAGAGGGTGCTAAGCTCAGGGAGGGCAGGTGGGTTATTAGTAGGGGAGCCTTTTGAGCAGCTCAGGAGGGTGCTGAGTGCAGAAGATGGGATTTGGGTGGATGAGAGGGAGACAGCTTTCTGAGGAATGAGGAGCAGGAGCTGCTTGGTGACCATGATTACAGCGGGGTTTAGGAGAAGTGAGTGAGGACGGCCTTAGAGGAGGGAAGTTGAGAGGCAGTAGACTCAGGAGAGTTAATGAAACTCGTGCATCACTCTTTAATCTCACCTCGTTAGTTTTTTGGGGTGTGGGTACTGGGATTAAACCCAGGGGTGCTTAACTACTGAGCCACATCCCAGCCCTTTTTTATATTTATTTAGGAACATGGTCTCACTAAGTTGCTTAGTGCCTCTCTATATTGCTGAGGCTAGCTTCGAACTTGTGATCCTCCTGCCTCAGCTTCCGGAGCTGCTGCGATTACAAGCGTGCACCACTATGCCAGGCCTCTTTTTTTTTTTTTTTTTTTTTTGAGACAGGGTCTCACCAAGTTGCTTAGGGCCTCACTAAGTTGCTGAAGCTGACCTTGAACTTGTGATCTTCCTGCCTCAGCCCCTCGAGTTGCTGGGATTACAGGTGTGCACCATCATACCTAGCCAACCTATTCTTGAGAAAGTGCGTGCATGTGTGCCAGTGAGCACAAGAGGCCGCATGGGCATTAGCATGTACCGCTTTCTACAATCAGGGGTCTTGGCTTGCTTTTGTCTTTGGCAGGGGCACTTCTGCGTGGAGAACATATTTCTACTAATCACCTGCCTGTGCCATCTTGCAGGGAGCCAGTCTATGGATTTACTCCTTTGATGGAAGCAGCTGCTGCTGGCCATGAGATAATTGTGCAGTATTTTCTGAATCACGTAAGTGATCCAGTTTGTTAGCTTATAATTTTGTCACAGCAAATGAGGAATCATCACGGAAATAAGAACTATAACAATTTTCTTTTACACAGATGTAACTTTTCTTTATTTAGTCAATTCATTTTCCTTGTACATCCATTGATGCCAGTTATTGAGTGGTGCCTTGGGCATTAGGGGTACAGTGGTGAGTTAAAATCAACACCTGTTCCTATAATGATTTTGAGTATGCTCTTTAAATATTAAGGGAAAGTTGAGCTGGAATTGTAGCTCAGTGGTAGAGCACTTGCCTTGCAAGTGTGAGGCACTGGATTCGATCCTAGCACCACAAAAAAACAAAGGCATTGAGTCCATACACAATTAAAAAATATATTTAAAAAAATATTAAGAGAAAATGTTTTAAAAAGTGAATAGCACTCATAATTTTATCACTTGGAACTTTTTTTTTGGTACTGGGGACGGGATGGGGGTTAGGGGAACACTTTACCACAGAGCTACATCCCCAGGCTCTCCTCCTACCTCAGCTTTCTGAGTCCGTGGATTACAGGTGTATACCATCACATTTGGCTTCACATTTTAAATTTAATAGGTTCTAATAAAAAAACAAATTAGGGCTGGGGAAGTACCTGGGATTGATCCCCAGCCAGCAAAAAAAGAAAAGAAAAAAATGAAGAGACAGTTAAAAGATGGGCAAAGAAGATGTGCACGTGAAAAAATGATCGACATCAGTAGTCTTCCTTAGACTTCTAAGATGTCTGTGATGAAGAGGGCAATACCAGGGGTTGGGGTGTGGAGAGATGGGGCCCCAGAGGCTGCTGAGGGAGAGCAGGCTGGCAGTTCCTCTTGACAGTTACACCTAGTTAACCAAGGCCAGGCCAGTTCTGCCTGAGACACATACCCGGGAGAATGGGAAACCTGCATCTGCATAGAAGCTCTTTCAGGGAGCTCCTAGGGATCGGGAGTGCCCAGAGCAGTGTTACTCACAGGAGCCCAAAGTGGAAACCCTGGTGTTTTGTTATGTGGTTTTTTTCTTAGCGGTGTTTCGTGCATACCTGTCCATGTTGCTGCACTCTCCCACCTCCTGGGAATGGACAGGAGGTGCTCCATTGTTTGTTCTGATTCAATTCACTGACCTCTGTATGTTCTTTCTGGTTCTCACTATGCTAAATGTTGCAGCAAAAATCCTGAATTTTAGTATGTGTCCTTATTTATTCCCTTAGATTGGATTCCCAAAATGGAATTGCTGGGTCATGGGTTGTAGACTTCTAATGTTCTAAATTCCTCCTGTTCCTTTGCTCTCCAGCTTGGTGGTCAGCTTGCCACCATCAGATGTGAGACTATGGCTGAAGCTCTGGGTGTTTTGTTTTTTTTTTAAATTTTTTTACTTATACATGGGCACAGTGTCTTTATTTTGTTTATTTATTTTTATGTGGTGCTGAGGATCAAACCCAGGGTCTCACACATGCGAGGTAAGCGCTCTACCACTGAGTCCCAGCCCCAGCCCCAGACCCATCTGGGTGGTTTTTTTTTTTTTGAGATAGGGTCGCACTATGTTGCCCAGGCTTGCCTCAAACTGGAGATCCTCCTGACCCAGTCTCTTAAGTAGCTAGGATTGTAAGTATGTGCCACCACGTCTTGACAAGCTTTTATGTGTTTGTTTATTTTATTTATTTATTTTTTAGTTGTTGATGGATCTTGATTTACTTGTATGTGGTGCTGAGAATCGAACCCAGTGCCTCATACATGCTAGGCAAGCACTCTACCACTGAGCCACAACCCCAGCCCTTGACAGGCTTTTAAAGTTGAAAATTTACTGGACTTTCCCAGTTTCTTTTCTTTTCTTTTTTTTTTTTTTAAATTATTTTTTAGTTGGACACAAAACCTTTATTTCTTTTATTTTTTATGTGGTGCTGAGGATTGAACCCAGGGCCTTGCTCGTGCTTGGCAAGCACTCTACCACTGAGCCACAACCTCAGCCTGGACTTTCTCAGTTTCATAAGTAAATAAGGTTATGTAGTTCATTTAGAAAATACAGAAAATTAGGAAGATTGGAAAAATCCCCATCATCTTCCTGCTTTAAAGATGTTAACATTGGGCTGGGGTTGTGGCTCTGCACTAGAGCGCTCACCTAGCACATGCAATGCCCTGGGTTCAAACCTCAGCACCACGTAAAAAAAAGGTAAAAAACAAAAACAAAAGTTAACATTTTTGGCATGTTTCCTCCTGGTGTTGCTTTCTTGCCCTGGCATTGTGTGAGGCTGTGGTTGTGATGCGTGTGTGGTTTCCTGGCCTGGTTCTTGCTGACCTTGGCCAGACCAGCTGTGAGTGTGTGTCTCCACTGAGGGTTGTGACGAGCATTCTCGTCTCTAGGTTCCCATTGCATATCTCTTGTGCTGAGCACTTTGTGCTTCAAACTCTGTATTTAGGGTCCTTAGGATAGTCATACACGTGAAATCTTTGCACTGAAAGACTTTAAGTACATTTTAGAGCTTTGCATAAAAGTGCCAAGTTCAGTTTCAGAGGGTGGTGTCCTTGTTCAGAGAAGTCTCTAAAAGGCTGCTTCTGTGGTGAGAAGTGGAGCAAGCCAGACAGCTAGGTGCAGAGTGGAGGAGGGGTCCTGTGTGGCGGCTGCCGGCCACTCCCTTCTGCTTTGCCACTGAAGTGCAGCAGCCCCTCTCCATTCTGCATTTGCCCAGCACGACTGTGAACCTGGCAGGGAGAGTTGCTGCAGCTGTGAGGTGGCTTGGTGACTACTCCTGGGACATGGCCATAAAGCCTCTCTCTTGTCATTAGGGGAGTGAGGGGCTGGGGTTGTGGCTCAGTGGCGGAGCACTTTGCCTCCCACATGTGAGGGTTCTATAAAAATAGAATAAAGAGGGGCTGGGGCTGGGGCTGGGCTCAGTGGTAGAGCGCTTGCCTTGCAAGCACAAGACCCTGGGTTCAATCCTCAGCACCACATAAAAATAAGTGAAATAAAGGTATTGTGTCCAACTACAATTAAAAAATAAAAAATTTTAAAAAATAGAACAAAGATATTGTGTCCAGGTGTAACTTAAAAAATATTTACAAAAAAAAAAAAAAAAAAAAAAAAGGAGAGTGAGAGCAAAACTTGCTAAGTTGGTCAAATGCACCTCTTTCTCCCTGTCATACGGTGTCTTTCCCACCCTAGGAATGATCAGGAGCCTACAAACCTTGTCTTCTCATCCCTCCTGGGTGGCCCAGGGAGCGTGGGGACTCTGAGGGGGAGCTTCCTAACTCTCCTTTCATTGACCTTCACAGGGAGTCAGAGTGGACATGAGAGATCATAGTGGAGCCACGGCCCGGATGCTGGCCAAGCAATATGGACACATGAAGATTGTGGCCTTGATAGACAGTCACTCGCCTGCTCTGCCTAAGAACCTCTACCGGAGCCCAGGTACCTGTATTTGCTGCTCTGCTTTATGCATTCTGGGTCTCTCTCTGGCTGTGGAGGCATTCAGAAGAAGACAGCTGGCCTCCCTATTGGGAGGCCCTCTCTCCCCCAGCTCTTGCTCTAAGGAGAGAAAGACAGTCAATTAATGTGGAGAGTGGTCCCTGCCGGCCTGCTAATGTGCATAGCACAGGGAGTGTGGAGCCCCTGGGAAGTGGGGTAGGAGGGGAGCCTCACAAAGGCTTCTTTTCTGGGTTTTTTTTTCTTGTGGTGCTGGGGATTGAACCCAGGGCTTTGTGCATGCAAGGCAAACACAACTGAGGTATATCCCCAGCCCTGTTTTTTTTTAATTTTTGATTTATATTTTTGTGGTGCTGGGGATCAAACTCAGGGCCTTTCATGTACTAGCTCTATCATGGAGCTATATCCCCAGTCCTGTTTTTTATTTTTTTATTTTGCTGATAGTGTTCATTGCCATATGTATTGATCTTTATTGCCTGTGGATTTTGAATCAGAAAATTTTTCCCAGTCTGACATGGTTGTGCACATCTGTAATCTCAGCTACTCAGGAGACTGAGACAGGGATTATACGTTCAAGGCCAGCCCAGGCAACTTAGCAGTACCCTGTCTCAAAACCCAAAACACAAAGGACTAGGGTTGTAGCTCAGTGTAAAGCTCCCTGGGGTCCAAACCTCGGTATTGTAAAAACACAGTCTCCCTAGGCCCTAGTTGTATAAAAATTCACCCATGAGTGAGGTACCCTTGTGGTATTTGTAATCCCAGTAACTCTGGAAGCTGAGGCAGGAAGATGGTGAACTCAAGGTTAGCCTCAGCAATTAGCAGGGCCCTAAGCAGCTTAGACCCTTTCTCAAAAAATAAAAAGGGCTGGGAATGTAGTGCAGTGGCACAGTGCCAATGGGTTTGATCCCTAATACCAAGAGGAAAATACCAAGACTTTCCAGGTTTACTGCTAGTCCTTGTGTGTTTGGTGCTGGGTGTCAAACCCAGGGCCTCTCAGAAGTGCTGTGAAGGTGCTTGTCCACTGGAATACAGCCCCAACCCTATGGTTTCATTTTTTACATTTAGATCCCTGATCCATTTATACTTTTTCTTCGCATGTCATGAAGTATGGATCCAGTTTTATCTTTTTATTTTTTTCCTTTTCACTGGGGATTGGACCCAGGGAAGCTCTATCACTGAGCTACTTCTCCAGCTTTTTTGAAAAAATTTTTGTATTGAGATAGGATCTTGCTAAGTAGTCCAAACTGTCCTTAAACTTTGCCTCAGCCTCCCACGTAGCTGGGATTATAGTTGTGCACCACCATGTCCAACAATTTTCTTCTTCCACATTGCACCAGTATCATTTATGTAAAAAGCCAGCTTTGATCTAGTGGCTGGAGATGCGATCTTTGTTATCTACTGAATTTCCATTTTACCTGTGTTCTGTTCCACCCGTCTCTGTATTTGTGCCCACGAGCCACACACTGTTTGACCAGAAGCCTTTTGTAGCTAGTTTCACTCTGGATTAGGGCTATTTCCCCTCACAGCTCAACCTTTTCATGTTTCTCTAGGTTTTGGGTGTGTTTGGTGTGTTTTCCCCCATGTGGATTTGAGTATCAACTTATCCAGCTCCTTGAAAAGTACTATTTTTATTCAGATGGTGATAAATTTGTAGATTTACTATATCTTTATGTGGTTACATCATCCCATCCAAAAGAAAAAGAATGTGTTTGGTTCTCTTGTACTTTTAGGGCTTTCAGAAAGGTTTTAAATTTTTTTTCATATGCATTTTGCCTGTGTTTATTCTAAAGTATTTGACTGTCTTTGTTGCTGTCCTAAATGGGGTTTTTGCTACCATTGTATTTTTTTTTTTTTATATTTATCTTTTAGTTGTAGTTGGACAATACCTTTGTTTTATTTATTTATTTTTATGTGGTGCTGAGGAGTGAACCCAGGGCCTCCCACGTGCTAGGCGAGCGCTCTGCCACTGAGCCCCAGCCCCTCATTGTATTCTTAACTGCTTATTGTCAGTGTGTATGAAGGCAGTTGATGTCTCTGTGCTAATTTTGTACTCTGCCCTTACTGAATTCTTTCATTGTTCAAATTAGTTTATTATTGATTCTCTGGAACTTTCCAGGTTTACTATAGTACAAACTACAAATCAAGATAATCCTCTGCTCTGATTCTCGTGCCTGATCTTGGTGACACCTCTCATCTGTAGTGTTCAAGCATGACAGAGCACTAGTGCATGTCTTCACCTTGGTCCTGGTCTTGGTACAATGCCACATTAAGAGGCTGGCTATGTTAGGGAAGTCTCCATCCATTCCTGTATGTTTCAGGGTTTTTTGTTTTGTTTTGTTTTTAAAAATAGGAATATCCTTTGCATTTTGATAAGGACTTATTCTTTTCTTGGTTTTTGTTTTGGGATGCTGGGGATTAAACCCAGGGGTCTCCATCACTGAGCTACATTCCCAGCCCTTTTTAAAATTTTAAAATTTGAGACAGGGTCTCACTTGAATTGCTGAGGCTGGCCTGGAACTTGTGATCCTGCTGCTTCAGATTCCTGAGTCACTGAGATTATAGGTGTGTACCACTGTGCCTGGCTGTCAAGGACCTTTGTCTGCATCTGTGGAGATGATTGTGAATTTTATCTGTAGCTCTCTTAGTATTTGCATAAATCCCACTTGGTGAAAAAATCCTTTTTTTTTTTTTTTTTTAGTACTGAGGATTGATCCCAGGGGTGTTCTACCATCGAGCTATTTCCACAACTTTTTTAAAAAATATTTATTCTTAAGTTTTAGGTGGACACAATATCTTTATTTTACATTTATGTGGTGCTGAGGATTGAACCCAGTGCCTCATGCATGCTAGGTAAGCACTCTACCACTGAGCCACAACCCCAACCCCACCTTTTTTTTTTTTTTTTTTTAGTTGTAGGTGGACACAATACCTTTATTTTATTTTTTGTGGTGCTGAGGATCAAACTCAGTGCCTCATGCACACTAGGTGAGCACTCTACCACTGAGCCACAACCCCAGCCCTATTTCTACAACCTTTTTATTTAAAAAAATTTTTTATTTTTTAAAATATTTTTTTGGAACTGGGTATTGAATCCAGGGACACTTAGCCACCGAGCCACATCTTTAGCCCTTCTTTATTTTTTATTTTGAGACAGGGTCTAACTAAGTTGCCCAGGCTAGTCTTTAACTTGCGATCCTCCTGCCTCAGCCTCCTGAGTAGCTGGGAGTACAGGCGTGCACCAGCAGGCCCGACTTGGCCTAATTTTAATCTGATGGCATGATTCCACCCTGGCTTCTTTTTTCCATTGGCCTGCTCCCCACTTGCCCATTCATTTATTTTGAACCATTCTGAGAATGTGTGGGATGTTCCATTTCCTATAGCCACTTTACGTCACTCACCTCCTCCTTGTTTCTGTTTTCACATAACTTCCTTTATCTGCTCAGATGGAACCATATTTTCCTCGCAGTGTAGGTCTTTGCACGTACAGGAAAGAGTGGCCTCCCTGGTCTCTCGCTCTGTGATTCACTTACGCCAGCAGTTCACATCTGAAGGGGCTGGTCTGCCTCCTCCCAGAGCCAGGCACACAGCCAGCCACCTTTCCTGCTCGGGATCATCTATAGTAAATACTACATCATAGAGTATTTATAGTATACTATAATATCCATATTTATAGTAAATACCAGCTCAAATAATCTTGCCAGTTCCTCTTTTACATGCCTCAGTTGTCTCTCAAAAGAAGAATCAAACTGGCGGTGGTAGTGCACACCTGTAATCCTAGTGGCTCAGGAGGCTGAGGCAGGAGGACCACAAGTTCAAGGCCAGCCTCAGAAATTTAGTGAGGCCCTAAGCAACTTAGCAAGACCCTGTCTCTAAATAAAACATAAAAACGGCCAGGCGCAGTGGTGTATATCTATAATCCCAGCAGCTTGAGGGGCTGAGGAAGGAGGATTGTGAGTTCAAAGCCAGCCTCAGCAGATTAGAGTCACTTAGCAACTTAGTGAGATCCTGTTTCTAAATAAAATATGAAAAAGGATGTATCTCAGTGATTAAGCACCCCTAGGTTCAATCTCTACTACCAAAAAATAAAATAACAAACAGGTTTTGGGGGCTGGGGTTGTGGCTCAGCAGTAGAGTGCTTGCCTAGCGCATGTGAGGCCCTGGGTTCAATCCTTAGCACCACATAAAAATAAGTTTTTAAGGAAGGGCAGCAGAATAGAATAGACAATATGATTGATGTATATACATTCCATGTATGTATTATATATCAAAATGCATTCTACTGTCATGACTAAAAAATAAATAAATAAAAATTTAAAAAAAATAAGTTTTTAAAAAAGGTATTAAAAAAATGGGTTTGGGATGTGGCTTAGTGATTACGCACCCCAAGTTCAATCTCTGGTACTAAAAGAAAAAGAAATAGTATCAATGATCAAGGGGAGCCCTATACAACTAAATCCCCAAATTTTGTGTTAAAGGTACATGATTAAACCGGGCATGGTGGTGTACACCTGTAGTCCCAGCAGCTCAGGAGGCTGAGGCAGGAGGATCACGAGTTCAAAGCCAGCCTCAGCAAAAGCCAGTCGCTAAGCAACTCAGTGAGACCCTGTCTCTAAATGAAATACAACATAGGGCTGGGGATGTGGCTCAGTGGTTGAGTATCCCTGAGTTCAAACCCTGGTACCAAAAAAAATAAAAAAGTTGTGTCTGATATTAGTATATTTTTATGAAGAAATGTATTTACTTATCCCTTTAACTTAGAATGAAATTTTGTTCCTTTTTGAAATACTGGGGACTGAACCCAGGACCTCTTACATGCTAGGCAAACCCTTCACCATTGAGGTCCACCCTCAAAATTTCTAATTACAAACAATACAGACTTGTTATAAAAAATTTTGTAAACCCAAACAGTGGAGTAAGAACTCAAGTCCCCTGTCACAGCTAACTTAACAGCTCCTTGTGGCCCGAGCAGGGACTGGCCAGTCCTGGCATTTGTCACTAGTCAAGTTCTGGTAAACACACTTCCCTTCTTTATTTAGGAATATTAGTTATGGTTGTTTTTCCCATTTTACTGTAAAGACTAGTGAATCAGTCCATCATGGAACAGATCATCTTAACTTTGTGTTTGGCCCACAGAAAAATATGAAGATCTGAGCTCTTCTGATGAGTCTTACCCTGTTGCTCAGAGACAGAGGCCCTGTCGCAAGAAGGGCCTCAGCATCCACGAGGGGCCTCGCGCCTTGGCCAGGATCACAGCAATTGGACTTGGAGGCGAGGCCCCGCAGCCCCATGGTGGTGAGCAGTCCATACTTCCAGAGGGCCCTTTGGTGTTGCATCTCAGGATTCTCTCCTGACAGAGAGGGGACAACACTCAGACCCTGGCCTCAGGCTGCGGTGGGACAGCCTTTGATGCTCAGGGAGATTCAGAACTGATCCCAGTGATGAGGGTGTGAGTTGCTGGTTAGCTCTTGGGTATGGATTTATCTCCTTTTCATTGGGTAAAACTAGCAGTTTTTCTTCTGCTGTGGAAATGAAGCTAGCCCCTGATTTCCTTCAGTGAGTGGGTGGGTCCACATTGGGGACATGTAAAGGGCCTTCCCTGGCTCTGCCCACATCCCCTGGGCAGAGACACATTCGCCTCCAGGCCGCGAAGGCTCTGCCTCTGCTCCTCTTGAGGTATTGATTTTTTTTTTCTTTTTAAATATTTATTTTTTAGCTGTAGTTGTCACAATACCTTTATATTATTTATTTGTATGTGGTGCTGAGGGTCGAACCCAGGGCCTCGCACATGCTAGGTGAGTGCTGTACCGCTGAGCCACAACCCCAGCCCTGAGGTGTTTTTTTTGTGGTGGTGGTTTTTGAGATGGGCTCTTGTTATGCTGCCCAGGCTGGCCCTCAGCCCCTGGGCTCAAGTGACCTTCTGGTGCTCCGGCCTACAGGTGAGCACCAGCGGGCCTGGCTGTACTTGTTTTCCGTGGGCCAGTGTATTCAAGGGTCATGTTTTGCATTGCTACTGTTAGTTTTTAGCTCAGGGCCTTTTTCTTTTTTAACCAGGTATCCTTTTAGCTGGACTTGATCGGTTCAGGGGAACTGATGACTTCTAAATGCCCATGTTTAAAAAAGCCACAGGGGATACACACCTGGTGTACGGGGGTGGGTATGAGGGGGAAGTAGGTGTTCCCAGCTAGCAGGAGCACCTTGTGGGTGGCTTCTTTGGCTTAGGTGCCTGTAAATCTGGCTGGCTGTTCTCACTTTTCCCCTTGAAGAAGCAGCAGTGAGGACTGGGGTTGTGGCTCAGTGGTAGTGCACTTGCCCAGCACGCGTGAGGCCCCGGGTTTGATTTTCCAGCACCGCATATAAGTGAGTGAAATAAAGGTCCATCAACAACTAAAAGATATAAAAATAAAAATTTTTTTAAAAGTGAGGGGACTGTAGAGGCCCTGGCCACTGGCTCCGCCCTGCCAGGCTCTTACTGAGACAGGCTGGTCTCTAAAACCCTCACAGCCTCTTTCCTCACCTGCCAACTACAGATGACAGCCATGGCCAGGGGCCACAAGGTTCCCCGCCTGCTGCCTGCGTCCTGGTCCCCTCACCTGAGAACCCCCGAGGCTGGTGCCCCTAGAACAAGGGCCTGTCTTTACTCTCATATTCTGTGGGTCTGTTGCCCCATTGTATACACAGAGCAGCTGCCTCCACGGGGCTACATGACCTTCACCAGCAGTGATGAGAACCCCCTGGAAGGTGAAGGCCTCTGCTACCGGGACGTCACCTCCCCCATCAATGAGCGGGACGTGGAGAGCAGCAGCAGCAGCAGCCGGGGTATGCCTCCTGCCCGTCCTGCTGGGCTCCCCTGAGCAGGAGAGATTACAGAAGGCCCTGGTTCTTGGGAGGAAAACCAGAGTCTGCTGTGGGGCAGGTGAGGAGGGCTTCTGGGCCAGAGCCCCATGCAGGCCGGTCTAGAAGGCCCTCACAGCCATTCTGTGGAGGGAGACGTGTTTAGTTTGGTGCTGTTCTCGGTGCTTGGGATTTATCAGTGCACAGAAAGGACGAGTACCCTGCCCACCTTACTGGGGGGCTCTAGGACATACAGCAGGAAGCTGAAGCAGCGCTCAGCTTGGAAGGAGTTGCGGAAAGCTGGCTAACCAGGCCCAGGCACAGGCTCTGGGGCACCCCCTCTGCCCTCCCCGGTGAGGCCTCTCAGGCATCCTGTCTTCTGTTCCCAGAGGAGCCTGTTTTCTGTGCCAGCCTCGGGGCTGTGCGAAGCAGCAGCAGTGAGGGCCTGGTGAGAGCCCAGGGGCTCAGCAGTGAAGCCTCCCTGGAGAGCAATGAGGTGATGTCTCCCCTCTCCCATCTCACTCCCCTCCCTTCGTGTATTGGGGCTGCCTCACAGTTCACTGGGAATGAGCCAGTCTGATAATAAGTATCTGGTGCAGTCTACACTGTGCTCAGAACACACCAGAGGCACCGTTGGGGGCTCACCCTGGCGTTACCAAGGAGGCCTCTGTGGCTGGTGGGGGGTGTTTGATCAGTGCTTCAGGTCTCACCGTCCTACAAGGGCAACAGCACAGCTAAGCCCGGAGCTGGGAGCAGGGCAGGGCTGCAGCCCGCAGTCGCATTGCTCCCAACACACACCTCTTGCCACAGGATTCAGATCATGTCCGTAAAAGCTCCGTTCGCAGACAAACCAAGAGTTACGTGAAGACCAAGAATCGTTCCAGCACCAGTGATGGCCAGTGGCCTCCCAGCTCCGGGACTTGTGGAACAGCCTGTTCCCCAAGATGTGTGCCCCAAGCTGAGAGGTCATCCTACACAGGACCCCAGGTAAGACCGCTTGTCAATCTGGTGATTATACTCTTGGAAAGATGGTGCTTTTGTGATTTGAGAGGCACTTCTTTTTTTTTTTTTAACAATAGAAAAATATTGTTCACTGGTTTATTTTTCCAAATGAGCAATAGGCTATTTACAAATAAGCAGATCTCCAATGATGTGTATTAAAATGGCAAGCCTATTACCTGTTTGAAATCTAAATGAAAAAAACTTAAGGCACATTTGATCTATGAGTTAAAAACAAACATTCTGGTGTAACAACAAAGTCATTTCACTTTTGTCCCCAAAACACATGAGCACCAAAATTGTCCAAGAACACTTAATATTTAGTAAAACAGGAATGTGAAAATTAAGAAAGGGGTAAAGTCTCTTCAAAAGGAAATCTTTGGAGATCGGTTTACTGCAAATAAAACATACTAACCACACTCCTAGTACACATAAATACTAATACTACCAGGTACTCAAGAAATGGCAGAACTCAAAACAATGGATATTAAATAAATTAAAGGTATTCAGATGCCAAGGATAAAATAAACAGTAATTAAAGAATGAAGTAACCATCTCCACAACAGACAGGACAAAGTGAATGAAACCAAATACACCTCCCCCCATGTTTTCATTAGGGTGTTTTTGTTTGTTTAGCTTGCATACATTAGAATTATTACAGTAATTAAGAGAGGCGCTTCTTACGTACGTGTAACAGGCCAGGCACTGTTGAGGACAGAGTGCTGGTGGGTTTTCTAGATGAACTCCCTAACAGTCAGCGGCCTAGATGGAGCGGTTTTCACCTCCTCACGGACGGGATTGCACTCTGTCCCCTTACTGTCCACGTCAAGTTGGCCTCCTCAGCCTTAGGGAACAGATTTCAGAGCTGCCTCCAGAAGTCAGTGATGAGATGCTTATGAAGTGGGGACAGCATGATAGCACATGATGAAAGGTGCAGCAGCCCCTTCCTTGTGGCAGGCCACCCTGTGGAGCAAGCTGGGGGTTACCAGTGTAGTTCTGGTGCTCTCCTGCCCTGTGGCAGCATGAACGGTACAAATATGTAAGCATTGCTGGCTCCATTGAGAGTCCCCTCTCGGGCCTGTGGGCAGGTGCACCTTCAGTTCCTCAAACACAAGTTGATTGGAGAGTTTATGGTCCTGTGGAATTGTGAAGCAACCACCTTGGAAAATTTGGTCCTTCATTCAAAGCAACAAAAACTTGCACAATAGAAATTCCAAAGTTGAAAAATGCTACTGAAATAAAAATTTCAGTAGCTGAGTCCAAGAGCAGATTAGAGCAGGCAGAAGAATTAGCAAATTGACTTGGGCTATCTGAGGGTGTCTGGTCTGAGAAACACAGAATGAAGAGATGTGAGCAGAAACTGTGATGTGCCACCAGACACCAACGTGCAAGGAGGGAGGGACAGAGGAAGCATGTAAGGAGCAGCCTGGCCTTCCCAGGTCCCACCAAGAGCATGGGTCTGCACACCAGGGCTTGGTGCTTTGCAAGTAGGAGATGTGCATGTAGACAAGCAGGCATGAAACCCTCCAAGAGGAGACTCCCAAAAGGAACCAGAGCCAGGACTCATCACCAGGGATTCTTAAATTAAAGGCTCCATTGTCACCTTTGTGGAATTGAGCAGTTGCCACACGCAGCAGTCAAATGTCCAAGGGAATATGAGAGAAGAGTAACAGCAGTGAGCAAGAAGTCTTGGAATGTGCCCCTTCTTGGCCTCCTCAGCCCCGGTTGTACATCCAGACTCCCTGTTCTGCCTGATGTACTGCAGGCAGAGGGGTGGCATGGAGCCTCTACCCACAGGCAAATTGTCCTGGAGCTGAGCTTGGGGATTCAGTGGGCTCATACCAGGTTGCACCTTGAGGAAGGGGGTGTTAGGAGAGGAGGAGCCTGGTTCTGCTCAGCAGCCGCCGCTCCTGCCCCAGCTTCCGGCTCCTGCATGTCTCTTGGGCCCTCTAGGATCTTGCAACACTGCTGGAGCAGATTGGCTGCCTGAAGTACCTGCAGGTGTTTGAGGAGCAGGATGTGGACCTCCGCATCTTCCTGACCCTCACTGAGAGTGACCTGAAGGAAATCGGTATCACGTAAGTCCCAAGGGCCACCTCCGGCCTCACCCCGTTTCAACCAAACATTCTGGGGCCAGATTACATCTTGTTTCCTGGCACTCAGCCCAGCAGGCAGAGAACTGCCATCAGCTAGACTTGCTCTATCCAGCGTCCTCTGTCCCTCTTGCTCAAACAGAGGGCCCCTCAATGGCCCTCTGACACCACTACATTCGAGGCCCTTGGACATTATCTGCCAGTTTTTTGGGTTTTTTTTTTTTTTTTTTTTTTTTTGGGGTTTTTTTTTTTTTTTTACTTTTCTCATGATCAGAACATTAAGAATTGTACAGATTGGGCTGGGGCTGGGGTTCAGTGGTAGAGTGCTTGCCTAGCACGTGCAAGGCTCTGGGTTTGATCCTCAGCACCACATAAAAATAAATAAATAAAGGTATTGTGTCCAACTACAACTAAAAAAATATTAAAAAAAAAAAAAAGAATTGTACAGGTAATCGTCACATTTCCACCAGAGGTAGTAATTCACAGCATGGGCTTATTTTTCAAGAGCTTGAATGTGAAATGTTTTAACATAAAAACAAAATAAGTATAGGTCTTTTGTCTTGAAACATCCCCTTTGCATCCAATTGAAGTTAATGTCGTTAATGCTCCTTCCTTGTGAGTGAAGGGCTCTCCCTCCTTACCCTGCTTGCCATCAGGCCCTGGCTCCGGCTCCTGTGTCCTCAGGAGGCGTCCAGACACTGCCTCGCATCCTTGGTTTTCTGCACGACTCCCTGAGTCTTCCTTGCAGGAAGGTCCCTCCACTTTTACTATCTTGGAATGTCTTAAAATTTTTCCCTCATTTTTTTTTAATATTTATTTTTTTTTAGTTTTAGGTGGATACAATATCTTTATTTTTATGTGGTACTGAGGATCGAATCCAGTGCCTCATGTGTGCTGGGCGAGTGCTCTACCGCTGAGCCCCAGCCCCGGCCTCCCTCACTTCCAGTTAGAGGGTTCTTGCTGCCTACTTTCTCCTGGGCACTGCGGTGGATGGGCCTCATGGCCCCCGGGCCTGTGGTGAGAGCCCTGCTGGCCTTCCCTGTGTGCTCTCACGCATGGTGAGCTGCTTTCCTTGTGCTGCCTCAAGGGTCCGTCTTCTGGAAGTCGGGTGGGTGTGCCCTGGTGTCGCTGAGGGCGTCGTGTGGAGGTTCGCGGGTGTTACTCACGTCTTTGATCAAGTTTGGACTATCTCAGCCATTCGTTCTTCAGTGCTCTCCTGGCGCCTTCCCGTCCGTCTCCTGGGATTCCCACAGTGTGGAGTGGGCACCCTGGTGGTGCCCCACAGCTTCTTCAGTCTTTTTTGTTTCTCAGACTAGATAATTTCCATTGCTCAAATCTGCCTTTGAATCTCTCCAGTGATTTCTTTTTTTTTTAGTTATTGTACTTTTCGGCTCAAGTTGCTTTGGTTTCTTTTTCAGTTTCTCTGTTAATAGTTCTACTTTGTTTTCACCTTCTCCACATCTTTTAGTTCTCTGAGCACTTCTAAGATAGTTGTTTTAAAGTCTTTGTCTAGTAGAGATGTGTCAGGTTTTATTCCAGGATGGTATCTTGTTTTTTATTGACTCTTTGTCCTATAGTTTTTTTGGTGTTGGAAACAGGACATTTGTCTCATAACGCAGTCACTTTGGAAATCAGGGTCTCTACCTTCCTCAGGGTTGGCTGTGTTTTATTTTTTGCTGTGGGCTTCTTGGGCTTTTTCTGAGCCTGTGCCTTTGTCTGGGCGTGTGGTGATTTTCTGTAGTTGCTTTTGAATGTCCTGGTCATAACTGGCCAACAGAAAGACGAAGAAAAGGCACCACCCTTTAAAACCCCTCAGGAGCCACTGCAGCCAGCATTCAGGTCAGGGCTTGCAGCATGGTCACGGCCTCCGTTTCTCTGATCTTTGGAGGACAAGATCTTCACTGCCCACCCTGGTTGCCATAAGCTGCAGGGCTGAGAGACTGGGCCTGGGTAATTCCACTGTGCTGGGAGATGAACTTAGACTGACTGCACCTGCCACCAAGGTCTTCTGTAGACTCTAGAATGCAGACTCACATTCTGCCAGTGCAGGTGTCTGGGTGGTGGGGAGACAGATTCCTGGTGATATGGAATCCTCTGTGGACTCATGAGCAGGCAGACACTGTTGTCCATAGCCCTGGGGCCAGCAGCAGAGGCTTTTAGCAGCTGTTTCTGTCCTTGCCCCAGGATCCCAGGTGATCCTTTAGAGCCAAGGGTTCCCCAGGGCACAGCCTTGGTGGCGGGATGGCTCATGGAGTCCCTATGCACGTAGCACATGCTGACAGGCATCCTTCTCTGACCCCTGCAGGTTGTTTGGGCCTAAAAGGAAGATGACCTCTGCCATTGCCCGCTGGCACAGCAGTGCCCGTCCCCCAAGTGATGCCCTGGAGCTGGCCTATGCTGACCGACTGGAGGCCGAGATGCAGGAGCTTGCCATCCAGCTGCACAAGGCAAGTGGGGGAGAGGGAAGGAGTGTGTGCCAGTGTGGCTTAGCAGTACCTGGAGTTGTACCTCGGCATGGGCAGGGGACGGGGCAAGACCCAGAGTCAGCCAGGGAAACAGCCAGACACACAAGTGGATGCTGCCACACAAGGCGGGAGGCTCAGAGGGGACATGAGGAAGGCAGGAGGTCAGGTGGACGCGAGAGAAGAGCCACTGAGGGTGAGGACCAGAGAACAACAGCTGTGGAGGAACTGGGTTGTAAAGGACAGGGGACCAGGGGAGCAACACCCAGTAGCTCAAGGATGGGGACGGTGTCAGGTGGGGCAGACTCCAGGCTCCTTAGGGAAGCCCAGCCCCAGGGGACTCTGCTCCCTCTTGCTTTGCTCCCTCCAGCCCAGCCTCTCTCCCTGCAGCGCTGTGAGGAGGTGGAGGCCATGCGTGGCCAGGTGTCCCAGGAGCAGGAGTTGCGGGCTGTGGTGGAGAGCTGCCTGTTGGAGCAGGATGGCGCTCGCAAGAACGTCCACACCCAGCTTCAGGAGACCTGGGCCCTGGCCCAGGGTGCCACCCTTGTCCTGGAGCAGCTACGGTGAGTGGGCTCAAAGCTTTCCAGGGGCAGATGCATTAGTCTGTCTGCCAAACTGCAGAGGAACTTGCTTTTGTGGGGACTCACTGCCATCACCCCCCACCAATTCTTCAAGCAAGGTGTGGGTTCAGGCCTGGTTCTCAGTGCCCCACCCGTTCTGCCTTGGCCCTGGCTCCAGCAGGGTAGACCCAGGCAGCAGTAAGGACCGTTTCTCTCCTGCTTCTCAGTGGGGCTTTCCTGGGGTGCTTGCCAGCAGCTGTGGGGACAAAACAGCTCTCCTTACCCTTGGGGGCATGGGCAGAAAGGCTTTTGGGGAGGCTTCTGCCTCACTAGCACTTGGTTTTGCATCTGGCAGAGCCTGTCAAGCTGAACTGTCAGCCCGAGTGAGGCAGGACCAGCCCTACAGTGCGACCACCCTGGGCCCAGGCCACCCATTGGCAGGTAAGGAGACAGTAGCCTCTGGAGGGGCAGAGGGGTAGGAAAGGAATCCCCCAAACCGAGCTTCATCCAGAGTCTTTTGGTGGCTTTCACGTCAGCACCTTACCCACCCAGGTCCCTATATCATTCTCAGGTCCTGGGAAAGGTTCCCCAGAGAACCAAGCTTGCTTTCTCACCAGTGAGGGGAGATGCCATCCCTGGTGGTGGGAGGTACAGTCCCTACAGTGTTGAGAAGACCCCTTTGTGGCCAACTGTGCTGTTCAAAACCTCTAGTGACTTTTGCACTCCACCTGGGTGGTAAGCTGGGGCCACTTCCCAACCAGTAATTAGAACTTTGGTCAGCAAGTAGGAGGTCATGGGTCTTTCTAGAAAGCCTCATAGACTCCCAACTAGAGAGGTCAGGACAGGCACAGGCCACCCCTGCCTCAGCCTCTGGGGATTGCTGTGGTACCAGTAGTTAGGTAAGGAGGGTCTCCTGGTCATTAGAGCTTAGGACAAAGGTAGGGCCCCGGGCGGGGAAACACCCCAGAACAGCACAGCCCTCTGTACTACAGACTCCAAAGGCTGGCATGCATCCCTGCAGGCCATGAGCCTCCCTGAGCTGTCGGGAGCCCTGGAAGACTGTGTCCATGAGATGGGTGAGTCTTCAGAAGGGCAGCAAGGCCTTGCCCCACCTGGGCACCAGATTTTGGTGGGAGGGAGGCAGGGGGAGCCCTTCCCAGGGACAGCAGGTTTGAGTGTTTCCACCCTTAAGTTGGCCTTGTGGCTGGGGCCATTCCTGCTCTGGGGCAGGCCCTGAGCCCAGGAAGAGAGACTCAAGATTATCCATTCCCAGTTCCCTTCCTCCCTGCTGCAGAGCACAGACTGTCCTGTCACCTCCTTAGGACGAGCACTGTGCTCAGTGACCCAGAGCCTGGAGAAGCTGCAGGTGCTCAACGGGAAGGAGAAGTGGCGGGATCCCTAACCAGGAAGGATGGTGAGAGTCTGCCCAGGGCTGCGTCTGTGCCCGGCCACAAGCCTGCCGCATCAGGGACCTGCTCTAGCAACCTTGGTGCAGTGGGTGTTGCGGTCCTCAATCTTCCTCTCCTCTCTCACCAGGGCCTTTCTGTTTTTCAGAATCTGACGTTGGGTGATCGATCCACCCTGAAGTTGTGTGCCAGGAAGACCAGAGGGCAGGCCAGGCCCAAGGTGGGGCTGAGAATCAGGCCCCAGGGAGCAATCTGCAGACAGAGGCGGAACTGGGGCTGTGGCCCCTGCCAGGCAGCAAAGTCAGCACTGAGGAAAGGATGAGGGCTTCTCACCCAGAATCCGGTGGTAAGGCCCTGAGCTCATGGGCTGCCATGTCCAGACCAGGCAGGCCCTGGAGAGACGGTATCCCACACAAGTAGGCACCTCACCAAGGTCTGACCTCAAGGTGAGGACCAGGATGCCTAGAAAATGTGCCATTTGTTGGAGAATAAAATTTACATCGGCTGATAAGGGCTCAGTTCTGGTCATGTGTGCAGTACTGGCCTACACACCAGCAGGTCAGTGAGGGGCAGTCCCTACCAGAATCTTAGCCCCAGTGAACTGGGGCTCTGGGCGAATGTCCCTGCCTGTTCCCATCCCTTGTAGCAAGAGCCTAAGTGGTTCCGTGGAATCCAGCTTACAGCAGACTACTAGGAAAGCTAAAGCGTAAACCAGGCACAGTGGTGCACACCTGTAATCTCAGCGACTCAGGAGGCTGAGGCAGGAGGATTCACCAAGCTTGAGGCCAGCCTGGACATCTTAGACCCTGTCTCAAAAATAAAAAGGGCTGGGGATGTGGCTCAGTTGACACTACATAGCAAAGTGCTTTACTCCCCACCTGACAAGCCTTAGTGCACTTGAAGGTGGAAGCTGGCTGCAGCCTTCCTTGCCAGGCTGGATGTGGGCTCTGGGGGTTTCCCAGCTGTAGCACTGGAATCTTTCTAGGTGTGGGGCCCTAGAGACTGCCAGTGGTGGCCTTCCTTCCCATGGTGGCTGTTGTCCTTCAGAACATTAAGCCTGTGCTCCAGGTCACTCCCTGGAGCTGCATGCATTGTGCTGAGAATGGAGAAAGGCCGCCTTTCAAAGCAGAGGTTAAAGGAGCTTGATGCAACTCCCACAGGAGGGTCTGAGCCTTGGGACAGGGCACAACATCCTGAGCTGAAGAGCCATGTGCAGGCCCCCTTTTAACTGACCAACCGGATAGGGTAGCTGCCTGCTGGTCCCAGGCTGATGATATAGCTCAGTTGGTAGAGTGCTTACCTCGCATGCCCAAGGCCCTGGATTCAATCCCCAGCACCACCAAAAACAAAGTTGGGGACACTTCCGACTTGGTCTTTCTGGGACCTGCACAAGGCCCAGGACCTGCATGGGCAGTCGGCCATAGAGCCCTAGCAGGATGAACCTGTTAGCCCCTAGATTAGGAACAGCAGCCGGTTTTGCCAAAAACATGAGCCGAGCAGTGTCTGTCTGGTGAGGCAGGAATGGCCAGCCGCCTTGGAGCAGTGCAGCGCTCTCCCCTCAAGCAGGCTTTGCCACCAATCCTGTGCACCCCCCACCTTCTGCCTCATTCCCAGCAGGAAGTGTCTCCTTACCCACATCCCATGCTCCTCAGCCTCTGAGCCTTTCCAGACCACAGTCCCAGGAGCCCTCAGACTTCATAAGTTGACCAAGTGTGGGGAGTCACTCCACATGTACGCACCTTGAAGTCCTGATGCACCACACGGATCTGAAGGATCACTGTAGTCTGGCGCAGTAGTGCCATGACTTGGGATTGGGCATTTCCGTTGGGATAACAAGGTGTGGCCCTAGGAGTAGGCAGCAGCCAGAAGGGTTGAGCTACACTCACCTGTTCCTTTGTAATCCTACCTCTTGCCTGGTTTGAATGGCTTCTTCCTAATAAAAGGATTCAGCAGGTGCTCCTCTCTTTTTCCACTTACCGGTCAGAGAAGCGGACACAGGACCCAAAGAAAAAGTTATTTCTCTGCCTCTCAGTGATTATTTCGTGCAGCCCAGTTCACCTGGAGTGACCTTGAGAGTTTAAGTTGTGGGACGACAAAGAGGCCCCGCATAAAAGTCCCCTTCTCCATTTTCCACCTCCCCAAGCAGACACTGCTTCTTCATCCAATTTTCCCCATCCCACTCCCCAGATTGGCAACAGCAGGCAGCAAGGCGATGGAACGCAACCCTGAGGGGAGACCCATCCCGCGACTCGGAACCCCTTTCCCCACCCTGCGAACCACGGCCAACCAGGAGGCGGGCCGGGCGCAGCCCCACCTCCAGGCCAGGAGGTGCACTGCGGGCACCTGCTCCAGCGTCAGCTGCCCCTACAGGTGCGCCACGACGCGCTGCGGGCCCTCGGTCAAGTGCGAGCTCAGATTCGGTGAAGCGTAGGCGGCCCAGGCCCTGCATCCAGTTCGGCCGGTCCTACAGCGACCAGAAGCGCCAGGGGCCGGTCCAAGCGCATCTCCAAGGGGCGCGGCGCCACAGCCTACGCCCGCCGCCTCCTACCAGCACCAAGAAGCGCATGGGGATGCGGCCCAAGAACTGCCTGGAGTTGGCAGCGTACAGCGGCGCGGCGTCGCACGAGCAGATGCAGCCCGGCGCCAGCCTCCTCCTGGCAGATCCCCAGCTCCGAACCAGTGTGCACACTCGGATGTTGACGTCTAGGCGCACGCGCAGGCCCGCCCCCGACGGGACCCACCAATCGAAAGGCAGCCGCGGACGTGAGCCTCGCTGCCACCAATCGCTGCTGTGCCTCCAGCGAGCCCACCTCTCCCCAACACTGGACATTAATAAGTGTGCAAAGTAGGGGCGGGCGACCCTCGAAAACTACGACTCCCGGGCGCCTCGCGGCGAACCGAGGCAGCCCCCAGGGACGCGCGGAGATGCCGTCACCTCGCCTCGAGGTTGACCCGACCCCTCCCGCGACAGCACCCCGCCTCTCCGGAGCGCGAGGACAGCAGGGCCCGGCATGGTGCCTATGCAGCCCTGGGTTCAGCCTCTGGGGCTGCAAGTGGCTTAAATTCAGGGGGTGGGGCGTGCTTCCCAGCCTAGCGCCCCAAATACCCTGCAGGCCGGGACTTGCCACGAGAGGCCCGAAGTCGGGAACAATCGAATCCCCGACCCAGTATCCTGCAGAGGTGGAGCCGTTAGTATTTACCCTGCGTTGTCAGAACTAAGTCCCGAGGCCTCGGAAGCAAGCATCCAGCACCCATCTGCTGCGCCGAACTCAATCAACGGCAGGGCCCAAGTGCCACGCCCCACAGTGGGCGTGGGTTTTGGGGAAAAGAACCCCCACCCGCACTCTCAGGATGAGTACCCCGGGCTGGGGCCATTGCTTGGTGGAATTGAGCAAAGGGGTGGGGGCACAGTTGGCAGGATCTGATGGAAAAGCATCACGTTAGTTTTATGGTGGCATCAGGAAATTGGAGGAAATAAGGACCCAGAAAGGGACTCTGTTCCCTGCTGTGGGCATCACTTGGGTCAGGGATCACACAAGGCAGCCATAGGTTTAAGGGAAGCCAGACTCTAAGTGTGTGATTATGTCTTAAGAGCACAGGGCAGCAAGTGAAGGGTGACTCCTCTGTCCAGAGGCCCCCCCTGCAGGCAGCCACCATACCTGAGCCCAGGTCTGTGGGCACAGGGGCACAGGGAGAAGGCTCCCCTACCCTCACCTCTCCCCAACACTGGACATTAATAAGGAGCTGGGTCTGTGGGGAAGTGAGGAGGGGGTCCAGTTTGGCCCACACAGAACTCCCCTGACACCTCTGTCTACCCACAGGGACTGTGTAAGACCCAGGTGTAGCTGCAGGGCCACGGGGATAGGCACCCCCAGGAACACCGGAAGCAGCCTCCACCGTATTAGCTAAGGAGCTGTGGGCTGTATGTGGCGAGTTCCCTGAACACCAGACGCCCCCTACTGGAAGGCCACTCCTGGGCAGTGGAGCATGGGCTCAGGAAGGCTTCCACTTCCAAATCCATATTCTCTGGGCAGCCAAACCTATTGCTCCAATCCATTAAGTCCACCTAACAGCTGCAGGGTATTGCTCCCTTGCTTAAAAAGCTCATCATTCTCAAAACTCAGACTACTCCCAGCCGGGTGCAGTGGTGCACACCTGTGATCCCGGCGACTCAGAAGGCAGAGGCAGGAGGATCGCAAGTTCCAAGCCAGCCTTGGCAATGTAGCAAGACACTCAAAATTTTTAAAAAGGGGCTGGGGTATAGGTCAGTGGTACAGCACACCTGGATTCAGTCCCCATACCAAACACAACACACACACACACACACACTCAAACCCAACCAAAAAGAAAAAATAACCATAAAGACCCTTTCTGACTGTTCCTTATTTAAAAAAACTCCAACCAGCTGGGCACAGTGGTGCACTGTGGAGGCTGAGGCAGGAGGATCACAACTTTGAAGCCAAGTTGGGCAACTCAGCAAGACCCTGTTTCACAAAATTTTTAAAAAGGGCTGGGGGTGTAGATCAGTACTGCAGCACCAGAGCTCAGTCCCTATTACCAAAAAAACAAACTCCAATTATTTCACAGGGTCTTTGGTGTCTGTCCCCATCTCCTGACTCTCCCAGCAGCTGCACCAGGCTCTGTCTGCCAGGCCTTTGCACCTGCTGTGCTGTTGCCTGAAGCACTATTTCAGGCCATCTCTTCATCCTTAAGGACTCAGTTTAAATGTGTCCTCAGAGAAGCCCTCCCTGACCACCAGGTTAAATTCAGTTCCCCATGTGACTCCATCCTATCACCACTGACTTAACAGTAACCAAACCCTGAAAGCCTATCTGGCAAATGCAAGTGCCCCAGGGTCCGGGCCACGTCAGTACTGCCCTCCTCTGGCACAAGGAGTGTCCAATGAACATGTGTGGCATGAATCAGGGATGGGGATGGGCACTGGAGCAACAGCCCACACACCTGGGGCCAGGATTCCTTCCCTGTCAAGTCTGCTCTTGCTCCAGCCAGGGCTAGCAATGACAGGACGGTGCGCGGGAGCGCTGTCACTGCTGCCTTACATGAAGAAACACAGCAGGGTCACAGCCATCAGCAGCTGCCACTCACCACCAGTGTCTTGCCACAGGCCCAGAGTGCTGTGCCCTGAGGAAGGTGTGGACAGGATATTGCTGCATGATTTTATTACTATAAATATACAGTAAAAACGAACAAAAAACTAGCCAATCAGAGTACATCAAATAATAGCACACTGAGGCCAAGATGGGCCAGTGTGCATCCCATCCTTCAAATAACTGGCACCAATATCAACAGCCAGAGACCAGGACGCTGGTGGGTGAGAGGAGGGGTACGTGTGCATGCGCTCACCTGCGTGCGTGTGCTCACCTGTGTGCACATGTGAGCAAACAGCAGGCAGGAGAGAGCAGGATTGATGGTGCTCTGCTCACAGGCTCGCTGGACAGACTGAACCAGCCACTGCTAGGTTGCTCCCCAAGGTGCCCTGTGGGGCACTGCCCTGGCTCGAGCACCCCTGAGCCTCAGAGCAGGCTCTGTGCCACCCCACGGCCATCCCTCCCTCAGGGGACAGGAGCAGGGCGGCTCTCTGGGCAGGGACCCCTCCACCTCCCTGGGCCAGGCAGGCAGCAACAGCACCGGCTCCAGGTCCCGCTGGCAGCTCTGCTCTGGGCACCAGCACCAGGCACCCATCTCTGCTGCCAGCTGCCTTGCCAGCACAGGGCCCCGGCTGGGCCTCCATGCCCTCCTTTCCCAGAGCCCACTACGCAAGTCTCGCAGATGCAGAGGAATATTTAAATGGTGATGGACAGCCAAGGGAGCAGCTCAGGTCCCCACCCCCCGGGAAGGTGAGCGGGCAGTGCACTGGCTGAGCAGGAAGGCCCCCACTTGGAGACATCTGATGGGAGCAAAGCTGGGACCTGTGAGAAGGCACAGGGCATGGTGACCAGGCCACTACCCCACGGCTAGGCCAGCCCTTGCCTTGCCCACGGCCGCCCTGGCTGCCAGGGGAAGGGCTGCACGCTGGGGCAGGCACTCAGTGCCAGAGGGCCCAGAGCAGGGGGGCCACTCACGGCCACAGTGACCACCAGTGGGCAAAGGTGGCACTGAGAACCAGGCTGCTATGGGGCCACGCGCGAGTGAGCAGACAGGCTCTGCTCCCCCAGAACGTCTGTGAAGCTGGACTTCACGATCCGTCCTCTTCTGCTGGTCTGCTAAGTTCTCAGGGACCCTGACCCCGGCATCTGGGGAACTCCCAGGGCCAGTGCCCAGGTAGAAAGTCACTGTCCTTCATCTTGTACCATTTACAAACATATCGACCATAGAAAAAGAGGGTTTGAAGAGTGGACAGGTCACTGTGCTCTTTGATCGAGGGTCACCATGGCCCCTGAGAGCCTGGTGGCCACGAGTCATGCCGACAGCAGAGACTGGAATCACACTGGGGTCCAGGGCAGCCCCTTGGCCAAGTCTGAGGGGCTGAGGGTTCCATGCTGTCAGTTTGGCCTAACTCTCAGAGTGGGGTCAGGTCAGTGGCCCCAGGGTCAGGACTGGAGCCACCAAGCGGAGGCCAGGGGGGGCCAGTGGTGCCGAGGCTGCAGGGTGTCTCCAAGGACGTGGACCATCCTGTGGGCAAGAGCAGAGGGAGGTGTGGTCACAGGCTGGTGCCCCTCATCACCTGCTGCCATCCTTAAGTCACCAAAGGGCAGGGCCTTCAGTTGTCCCCAATGCAGTCTGATGGGAACAGCAGATTTACCCCAAGTGGCCATACCAGGGACCTGGGGACCCTTCAGCCCCAGCTAGTGGGTGAGGTCTGGCCCCTCAGAATATCACCCTTCAGTGCCCAGCAGTGGGTCTCCTGACCTCGCCCTGGCTGGCTCATCCCAGATCTGGAGTGGCCACTGTCCTGCTAGGTTTACAACTGAGCTAGGCTGGAACCCAGCCAAGCCCTCAGAACGTGGAGCAGCGAGCAGCCCATGAGCAGCTTCCCCAAGGTGCAGCAAGGCCATGGGGTCTGCGGCCTCCTGCAGAGGCTGCTGCTCACTCCTGGCATGTCACCTCCACTGTGCTGGGACGCACTCTGCCCCTAGACTGGCTGCCCCATGGGTGCCTGTGACTGGCTGCCTCAGGACTCATGGTCTCCTGCAGGACATGGCTCTGCCACGCAGGCCCAGGCAGTGCACCGCTGACCCAGGCGGGTCACCTGGGTGGCAGCGGCCTGCTTCTGCAGTCTGACCCCAGCTGCAGCACCCAGCTAGTGTCTCCAGGGGTGGTGCTGGGATGTGGCTCCATGGTTAAGCACCCCTGGTTTCAGTCCGTGGTACCAAAAAAATAAAACAGAAGCACGGTGGCGCTGAGAGGTCCTTTCCAACCAGAGTGTGTCACAACTGCCTGAGGCCCTGGTTGTGGTGACCCTGGAAGACTGAGCCATACAGGTTCTGGGCCAGGCAGGGGGCAGATGGGCTTCCCTGCTATGTGAAGGGACCCAGGTTCCTTAAAGCAACTCCTCCAAGGTCACAGCTCTGAAGGCAATATGGCCATTTATGTCAGAAGCCCAGAAGCTTTAGAGCCTCCCCTGCACCCCAATTCTGGAGCTCTGGTCTGAAGCGGACCCCAGCAGAGCAGAACTGACCTGAGGGCCTGGGCCTGAGCCTGAGCCTGAGCCTAGGAAAAGGAGAGGGCAGAGTCTGCCCCTGCCATGGGCCTTTCCGGTGCCCAGGGCACTCTGCCTGCTCTCTGCCCTGGCTGGAGACGTGCTGTGTCATCTGGGCAGGTGGCCCAGTCACCCCTGAGGCAGGGGAGGCCCGTGGCTGCCCTGGCTTTCTGGTTGGATCCCTGCACCAGCATGACCTTGGGTCCTGCATTCTTGCTTTCTGCTTGCAGCTTACGGGGCAGAGGTTCTGCCAATGGCTCCCCCAGCACCAGGCCTGGGCCTGCTGTGCCCTTGGGAAGGACCAGTGATGACCACCTGGTCCCCAGCAGGAGGTAGACAGAAAAGGACTGTGTCCACTCACTCCAGAGTGCTCTGACAGGGGCCTCAGGTGAAGGCTCTGCTCCAAAGAGCTGAGCTTGCAGGATACCAAGCAGACCTGGGCTTGGCCAGAGTCATGCTGTGGGACTGGTAGGCCCCCACCTCCCTGGGGACAGAGTCAGGACACACCCCCAGCCCTGCCATTACCTGGCAGGTAGATGTCAGCAGGAGGGCCTGGCTGGCTGCAGCCATGGTGCTCAGGACTGCTGTCCTGCAGGACGTCCTCGATGGAAGGCACCCGGCTCCCTGCACAGTGGAGGGCAAGGTCAGGACCACTGCAAATCCTAGGCCTGTGCTCCAGCTGACGCCGCCCCATCCCCGCATTCTCCAAAGACCCAAAGGTGGACACTTCCTTTCTTTTCCCTCCCTCTCTCCCACTAGCATGGGTGTTTTATTTGTATTATGAACATTACAGACCCATGTTTCAAAAACAAGGTCAGCTGGTAACAGGTGTTAGCTGTCCCCTGCTCAACCCTGCCGAAAAGCAGGTGCCAGGGCCATGGCCCTGCTGCCCAGAGCAGTTACCACAGATCCTGGCCCTTGTGAGGGAATCTGAGGCACATGCCACACAACAGCTCTCAGTTCCTCAGTTTGGGACCTGCACTTCTGAGGGTGGCCCTTCTCTGATAAAAAAAAAAGGGCTCGTCCCCAGATTGTCTGTCCCTGCACACACTGTATCCCACAGCCGAGGTCACATCCCTTTGGGACTGGTTCCTCATTGTCTGCTCAGACCAGCAGCTTGCAAAGCACAGACGCAGGGAGGCAAGGCCCGGGGCTGGGTGAGGCACTGCCCCTGGGGACTCGCAGCCTGGGGCCCAGCTTCTCAGGGCTGGGGGCTGCCAGCAGCCTGCAGGGGGGCCTCCCTGAGGGTGGGTGGCTTCCTGGGAGGCACTTGGGTCAGCCCAGGGGTGGCTGCGATCTATTCTGGGATCTTCACCATACTTGGCCACGGCCACGGGCCTCTCTGGTGCCAGCGGAGCCTCCCTTTCCCCTTGTGTTGAGCAGCAAGGCTGGGGAGGAACGGCCAGCTATGGAGGGAGGCTAGGGAGGCCTCAGCACAGGTGCCGCCACGCTGCCTCCCCACAGGGCCCGGCTCACAGGAGGCCCCCGGGAGGCCCTCATGTGCTTAAGGCCTCCACTAGAGGAGGTGAGGAGACACACGCCAGCCCTGCTCTTGTTCTGAAGGAGGAGACGGCTGGCTGGGCGGCCGGGGGCTAGCTGGCCAGAAGACCCAGGCTGGAAACGGGGGCTGCTCCTACAGTCTGGGGGGGAGGTGGGAAAACTGAGCAGCAGGGCCTGGTCGGCACCCGTGTGGCAAAGCTCCTGGTGAGACTCAATCTCCAGGCGGCCGGGGCTGGGCTGCCAAGGGAGGAGGGCTCACCTTGCTTCAGCGAGGATGCATCCACCTCTTCTGCTGTGAAGCTCTAGGAGACAAAGGAAAACTGCCTGGGACTTGGTGGCAGGGCTGGGGCCGACAGCCAGGGCACTGACACCAGGCGGAGGAGAGTGGGCAGCAGGGAGGGCAGTTGCAGCCACCCAGGGACACAAGACATCATGGGTGCAGGATTCTCATGTGGCCTTTCCTGCCACCCTGGTCAAGTCACCATGCAGCACCCTGTCCCAGAGGCTGGGACCGCAGCCTGGAGAGCCTCACAGCGTGGCAGTGCCCAGGTGGGCGGGGGCTCGGGCCTGGTGGGTGTGGCTGGAGGAAGCCAGGCAGGGTCTCACCTCGGGGGAGCTCTCCTGCAGCGCCAGCTCCACCACAGGGGGCGGGAGAGGAGCATCCGAGTCCTCGGAGAGCTTCTCCTCATCCTCCTCGTGGATTGGGGATGTCGGAGACCTCAGGGTGCTGGGGAGAGAGGGAAGGGAAGGGAAGGTGGGGCCCGGAGGGCAGCTGGATCAGGTATGCTGAGCAGCAAAGCCACACTGGCTGGCAGATGCCCCACCCTGACACCCACTGGGTGAGGCCAAGAGGTGGGGAGACACTCCTGGAGAAGCACCTCCTAGCAAAGCCCTTGTGGCCGATGCCGACAGGCCACCCGAGACTTTTGGAGGGACATGAGCAGAGAGAGGAGAAGAGAAACCGGCAGGGGCAGGAAGCAGCAAGAGGGCGTGGGCCTGCTTCTCCACTGAGAGCACCAAGCCCGTCAGTGGGGCCAGGAGGTGGGCAGGCGGCCACTCCCTGCCAGTCTCCACGGGAGCCCACTGACCCTGGCACCCAAGGAACGCAGCTGCTGGAGGCCCTCTGTGCCCTGTGACTGCGGAGGCTGTCAAGCCTGGGAAGGGACATGACCACTGGCTCAGCAGTGATGTGCGCCAGCTGCATCCCAAGCTCTAGCTGCCATCACTCATCACTGTGCTGGGACATGCCCATGGGACTGGCTGCTGAACAGCCCCGTGGCTGAGGACAGGAGGGCACGGGAACCTCTGGCCTCGGCCTTGGCACGGCTCCACGGCTCTGCTCTCTGCCGTGATGAGCTGCTGCTGAGTCTGACCTGCTACTGGCTCTGTGCCCTGGCGGTCACTAACCAGACGTCAGAAAACCCTGAGACGCCACACATCAGCCTCACGTCCTCACGTGCTGCCACGCACACTCACATGCACACGCCCTCTCGAGAGGAAGGCCGGGTCTGGCCTCACCTGTCTGGAGACTTGCTCCTGGGCTTGCCCTGGTGGCTGCTCTCCATGACTCGCTCGATCCCAGCAAGAGGACAGCTGGCCTGAGAGAGGCCGTCTGAAACCCCCGAGTAGGTGATTTCTTCATAAAGTGGGGCTGAAGGGATGGCCGGGGACACAGCACGAAGGCCATTGAGTGCCTCGAGCAGGGAGATGGGCTCGTAGCCAGATGGGATGCTGTCCGAGCTCTGCAGGGACAAGCACAGGTGAAGAGAGGCCAGCCAGGACCCCTGCCCACAGCCATAAAGCCCCTGACACTGGGCTTCTCCCAGGGACATGCTGCTCCCACTCCTTCTTTGCTGACCATCTCCTGGCTGCTCCACCTTTAGGGACTTGAGGTCCCCCCTCCCTCACAGCCTTAAAGCCCAGAGCTCCCTCGGCCATCGGCTATAGCTAGCGCACACCCTGGACATGCAGATGCCCACATTAGTGGCCAAGATGAAGGGCGGAGGGCACCCACAAGGGTTCCCACCCTGTCCTCGGCCAGCCCCTACCTGGCTTCCTGTTCCTGCCTCGAGGGGGAGAATGAGGGATTAGTGACAGGAAGGCTGGCGGGTGGGGAGAGCAGGGTGGGCCATGCCAAAAGCAGAGGGCCACTGCACATACGTGTGCCCCAGCCCGGGAAGTCTGCTCCAGGAGCTCCGACCTGGCTGGCAGCTGGGGCACGAGGGAGAAGCCACTGTCGCCCCCTATTGGAAGCGGGCAGAACCCACAAGGTGGATGGAGGAGAAAGCCACCCAGGGACCCAGGAACAGCAGTCAGGCCACCAGGCTGCTCAGAGGTGGGCAGTGCTGCCCTGCCTCACTCTCCCAGGACCAGGCCAAGGGGCAAAGAGCCTCGGGCTCTGGCCTGCAGAGAGCGAGGCCCTGAGAGGAAGGACCACAGGTGGGTGCCAGGCCTGCGTTGCGTCTTGGACCTCTGTCCCCCCCTGCTCCCACCTGCCTTCAACTTAAAGGTGAAGGATGGCCTGAGCCCCTCCCTCCTTGAAAAATGAAAAAGTCTCTCTGGGTTGCTTCTCTCCGCCTCTCTAAGCCACCCGCTGGGTACACGGGGCTTTGACTGGGTCTGCCCAGGTACATGAAGGCTCTGGGTAGAGGCCTGGTCCAGCTGCCACCCACTACCCATCCCCCTGCCTGTCCCCTAGGGTGCAAGGAAAATGCCAGAAAACCAGAGTCCTAGGCCCAAAAAGCCAGACCCAAGGGGTAGAGAGCAAGGGAACGCAAGACCCAGAAGCACGCGCAGGGAAAACTGTCTGCAAACTCAGCAGCAGCGACAGTCCACCTCCAACGTCCATTCCACTGCCAGCAAGAAAAAAAAAAAGGGAAACGGGCCTGGGGCCCAGGCGGGGCAAAGCTGGCAGAGGGGCACTGCCTGGCCGGCCGTCACCAGGGCAGACGAGACTGGCTTTTTGCCAACAGACCTTGAGCTTTGTTTGTTCCACAAAACTCCCTTCCTGGGCAGGGACTCCGGGACTGGGGAGAGCAGATGGACAGACTGCGTTAATAAACATTAGCCTGGGGTGGACGGACGTCCCACGCTGCTGGTTTAGAGCGAAGTGCGGGCAGAAAGGTCGCAAGGACCAAGCACACTTACTGTTTCCCTTTTAGGGTTCTTGCTGGCCAGGGAGGCAGGGTGCGACTTTGATTTTTTAAAGGGACACTGTCAAGATAAAAATTATATGTTTTACAACCACCACCCCTGAATGGCACTGGGCTGGCGGGCGGGGCTCTGGTTTGCTGTCCTCCAGGCGCCAGGCACCCTGCGCTTCACAGGACCCTCGGGACCACATGCAATGCGAGTCCTGGCTGAGGGCTCTGGACAGGCTGCCGGCCCGCCTGGCCAGGGCCCAGGAGCCATACAGCTGGCCCTCTCAGAGCAGCAAGGGGTGGGGCCTGTCCCTGCCCCAACACCAACCCACCCTAGGTCACCCAGAGCAGCAGGGCTTGGTCAAGGGCTCTCCGCCCATGAAAGACAGGAGACGGCTGCAGCCCTGCACTGTGGGAAGCGTCTTGGCTCATGAAACGTAAGAGAGAACAGGAAGGGACCCGCCTGAGCCTAGGCCACCAGGGCAGAACTGGGGAGGGCAAAACCAAACACCAAGCCACTGCCACTGGGCATCCATCAGCCCTCTGACACACAGAGACCAGCCTCTCGCAACCAAACAGCCAGTGGTTGATGGAAGGTACCAGGGTCCCCCAAAGCCCATGCCGAACAAGTTGGAGGCAGAACTGCCAGGCAAGCCCAAGGTGGCTGGGTGGCCTTCGGTGACACAGGCCCCTCTAGGACAGCCACACTTCTGCTGCAGCTGCCAAAACACTTCCAATTTTAAAAGAGAAGCCCAAAACCTGGGGTTCAAGGGGAGTTTCCAAGCTTCCAAATACTGGCCCAATTTTCAGGAACGTGAACAAATACACCTGGCCTCCTGCTAGGGACGGCAGGGTCCGGCCATAGCCCAGTGCAGATCCAGGAGGCTGGCGAGGACCCTCCCACGCAGAGGCTGCACCTGTGGGTGTGCGGGCCCACTGGGTTTATTCCAATAGGGGGGCCTTCAAGGCCACTGGACATGGCAGCCTCAGCGGGGAGCCAGGAAAGGAGCTCAAGCCAACAGGGAGCCCGGGCAGGCTCTGCCTGGCAGCCCTCTCTCCTGGGCTCCTTCCCAGCCCTTCCTGCCTCTGCGTCCCTCCCACCTGCTAGAGTCGCTCTGCACCGGCTTTGGTCTCCCGGCCCTGCCCTTTCCTCATGTCCCTGTCTCCTCCTCAGGCCTGAAGCGACAGGACCTGCCCTGCCTGCCTAAAGCAAGCCCCACCTGTGTGGCCCAGTGCAGGGGACCTGGTGGCCACTTGCTAAGGCCCCTCAGAGCGATGCTATGCTGCCCTGTGGAGTCTTGTGAGGAAACAGCACGGCTCACTCACGGAGAAGCAGACGGAGGGCCGACTCGTCCACTGGGGGTGAACCCAGAAGAGGGGGCAGCTGCCTCGCGTACATGGCCGCCCTGGCCCCCATCCACACTCAGCCTCCTGCAGGGCCACATGGACCACGGATAGGAGGGTGCAAGAGGCACTTACCGAGTGCTCATCGTGGTCCATGCTCTGGGCCAGGACAGGACTGAAGGAGATAGGGGACAGGGCCCCTGGCTTCTTACGCACAGCCCGGATCTGCAGGAGGGCCCGGAACGCTGTGCAGAGGGAGGGACTCAGGTAAGCAGGCAGCATCCGAGCAGCATGGGGAGCCCACCCAGCCAGAGACACTGGGCACCCCACTGGGATACCCTAGAGGAGTCCCAGAACTGGGCAGAGCAGAGCCTTAGCAGCTCTAGGCAGGGAGGAAATACAAGGTCAAGATGGCACTGGCCCAGGGTGAGGGCCAGCGGAGCTGGGCAGCAGGGGACAAGACCCACCCAGTGCTCCAGACCACACGGCCAGGATGAGAGGAGCCCCTTCAGGCTGCAGGAAGGTTTACCAGGTCCCAAGGGGAGTCCAGGGGCAGAGTCTGGCCACCCAGAGCAGGGAGACCAAACCAGGCTCATCCCTCTCCCCACAAAATGGCCCAGAGGCCATGGCATACTCTTCCAGGAAAGGGCAGGTGAAGAGTGCAGCCCAGGTGACCAGGCCAAGCAGAAGCAAATGGGGCGGGACAAGAGGCTCCTCCTCAGCCTCCTCAGAGATGTGTCCTGGCAACATGGTCACAGACGAGGTGCATCCATCAATCCTTCTCCTCTCTCTATGTCCTGTCCAGCCCACGATGGACACAGGCCTCGTGCAGGGAGGAGACCTCTTTTGCACTGACTCCTGACCCCATGGTGTCCGGGCCTCCTACCTCACATCCTCACCCAAGGCTCAGTAGCCCAGGGGAGGAAGGACTCAGGCTGTGAGCTGGAATGGGGTTCACAGAGCTCCACGTGAGGCAGGACTGGCCCCTTGAACCAGGACCCTGCCCAGCTCACCCAGCGCAGGCCACCACCCACCTGGCTCACTCCCTCCTTCCTGACCCCCATAAAGTCTAGCTAGGCTAGTGCTGCTCTCCTGTCTCAGCCACAGAGGACACCTGGCCCGGAACTGCTGTGGTGTGGGCCGCCCGCATCTCCACAACCCCATGTGCAGGCCCTGGGTGGCACTCACGCAGCCGGCAGATGGGACAGTTGTTGGCCTGGTACCGCAGCGTGTCAGCACAGGAGGTGCAGAGGCACAGGTGGCGGCAGGGCAGGATCAGTGTGTCCCGCAGGTCCGACAGGCACACCACACACTCGTTGCTGTTGTCACTGTTCTCGTCATCTGCGGGCTACAGGGATGAGGGCCTGCCGGTCAGTGGCCTCTGTAGGCCCTCCCGGGCCACCAGCTGTCCTTCATTACCCCAGGGGCCACCATGGCCAAGGGAGACCCAGAGGCAGGGGCAGTTGTGGAGGCTACAGCTGGCACCATGCTCACTAAGGGGACACTGGGGACTCAAGAACTGGCTCTTTCTGCTTCTCAGATTCAAAGAGAAACTCCAAAGAGCTCCCCTGCTAAGCAGTGCCTGGAAGCTGGGGGACCGTCCCTGTAGTGGGAACAATCACAGAGATCTAACTTGTTGGCAATGCTTTCACTAAATCAATAATCAATTTTAAGAAAAGCAGCACGTGGGCTGAGAGCATGGGGTCCCAGCAGGACCAGGCAGGCTGACCCAGTTGTTTCTGTGGAGCTTCATTAGAGCACAGTCTGCCCACTGTCCCTGGCTGTCCACAGCGCCAAGCAGCTACCCTGAGGGATGCCAGCCAGCCCCTGGTGTAAGAGCTGAGCAGAGTGCATGCTCGGCTGAGCCGGGCCTGGCCAGACTACTTTGTCCTCCTAGCTCCTGGAGGTTCCCACTGTCCCAGACCCAGCCAGTCTCTGCCTTTCAGAGAGGTTCTAAAAAACAGGCCAGGGCCGGGGCTCAGTGCAGAGCGCTTGCCTAGCATGTGTGAGGCACTGGGTTCAATTCTCAGCACCACATTCAATAAATGAATAAAATAAAGATCAATCGACATCTAAAAGAAATTTAAAAAACAAAAACAAAACAGGCAGCCATTTCATTCATGCCATACTCTTTTAAAAAACAATAAATCTGAGCGCAGTGGTACATGCCTGTAATCCTAGGGGCTTGGGAGGCTAAGGCAGGAGGATCATGAGTTCAAGGCCAGCCTCAGCAAAAATCAAGGTGCTACGCAACTCAGTGAGACCCTGTCTCTAAATAAAATGCAAAATAGGGTGGGGATGTGGCTCAGTGGTTGAGTGCCCCTGAGTTCAATCCCCAGTACCAAAAAAAAAAAAAGAAAGAAACCAATAAAAAGAGCCAGGCACAGTAGTACACGCCTGTAATCCCAGCAGTTTGGAAGACTGAGGCAGGAGGATCACAAGTTCCAAGTCAGCCTCAGTAACTTGGCAAGACTAAGAAACTTAGTGAGATCTTGTCTTAAAATAAAAAATAAAAAGGGGTAGGAATGTGACTTAGTAGGCTCAATCCCCAGCACCAAAAACATAAAATAAGAATAACAAAAAATAAGAAATAACAAAAAGGCAACCAGGTCCCAAGTTCAAGCTCCTCAGCCCTTCCCTGGCCACCTGGGCCACTGCTTTAGCAGCTACCAGAGCTGCCTCTACCTTGGATGTGTCCTCTGGTGTGCAGGACACACTGTCGAGGCGTGAAGCCAGCAGCAGGGGGCAGCCTCGCTCACGGCTGGCTATGAGGGAAAAACCCAAAGGCAGCACTCACTGCCAGGCCCAGGCCGCAGGAGGGGCAGGTCCCTGGATCCCAGGCTGCCCTGGAGGACCAGATGGTGAATTACACAAGCCAGCAAACTTGCTGGAAAAAGGACACCATGTCTTGTAAACCTCAGGACTCTATGGCTGAAAGTGCCCAGGCTCACCAGGGGAAGGCAGAAAGGACTGGCCCTTTTCCATCAGCCCTCAGCCAGGCCTGGGAGACCCTGCAAGTCGTCCACAGTGAGTGGGCTTCCGGCAAGGTAGGTAGCACAGTTCCACCCACGGGGACACACCTTGGTCTCCTGGTTGTTCTTGTTCTCAATGCCATAGATCTCCTGCAGCAGGTAGCTGACACGGTCCACCTGGGGAGCAGAGAAGGTGCACTGGGCCTTGCCAGCCCCATCCAGGGCTCCTTTGTACCCACCTGGGCCTACACTGCCTCCATGGCTCAGATCCCAGAGGCAGGCGCAGCTGTGGGGCCTGTCCCCACCTGCCCCTGGGGAGTGGGCTGATGCCAGGAGAGGGAAGGAAACATGCTCTGTGCCCAGGGAGCAGAGCTGAGGGTCTTGGGCCCAGCTAACCCACTGACCAACCCACCACCAGAGAAAAGCCACTCTGACTCACTCATCCGTCCCCAGCCCACAAGAGCAACCAGAGTCAAGGCCTGTAGCGAGCAGACGGCAGCCTGCGTGGCTATTGCTCTCTAATATCTCTGCTCTAAGACACAAACAGACCTGCCCTCCTGTTGCTCACCAGTGCCAGGGCACTGGCAGCCAGCTCACCCAAGATAAGGACCCTGACCCCCACTGGATCTTGGACCCACCCAGCACCTTCAGGCTGGGGACTTGACAAGGATCATTCTACCTTCTAGAAGCTAATAAACCCCATTTCCACACTGCGGCTTAAACAGGCCCTGGTACCTACACACTGCTAACTATAGCCTTGGAAAACAGACCCCAACCGTGGCCCAAGTCTCAGGGTGGGCACAGTGGCACATGCCTGTAAAACCAGCACACTGGTAGGCTGAGGCAGGAGGATCAGGAGTTCAAAGCCAGCCTCAGCAACTCAGCGAGACCCTGTCTCTAAATAAAATATCAAAAGGGCTGGCAGGGGCTGGGGTTGTGGCTCAGTGGTAGAGCTCTTGCCTAGTGTGTGTGAGGCACTGGATTTGGTCCTCAGCACCACACAAAAATAAATAAAATAAAGGCATACTGTCCATCTACAACTAAAAAAGTTTTAAAAATAAAATAAAAATATATTTTAAAAAAGGGGTGTGGGGATGTGGCTCTGTGATTAAGCACCCTGGAGTTCGATCCCCAGTACAAAAAAAAAAAAGTGTCAGAATCAAGTCTCATGCAGCTCCGGTTAAGGGACCTCCCCTGCTCCATTAAATCCTCACAGTGCCTAAGTATGATGGGACCAGCATAGGACCACAGAATTAATGACCCCAAAGAGAAGCCGCATTGGTCCACAGCATTTGATCTAGGATTCTCCATCTTCCTGTCAGGCGCTGATGGAGTCAGTCCAGGTCTCTGCCCGATGTGGCCCATCTCTCGCAGTGTGTAAAGAAAGGAGGCTGCAGTCGCCCGTCTCCGCCCCCTCCACCCCTCCATCCAGAAGGTCTGCTGAGACTACTGCATCACAGGCCCCACGCTCAACTCCACCAGACTTAGGGCTATGGCAGTGGCCATGGGGTGGGGGTCATGGCTAGTGGCTGAGCCCTTGCCAGGCACACCTGAGGACTGGGTTCAATCCCAGCACCACCACCAAAAAAAAAAAAAAAAAAAGAATGGCTTTGGTAGGTGGTGAGTGTGCACACACCCCTCAAAAGACACGCATGACCCGAGTTCCTGGAGCAGAGAGCCCAGTAGTGGGGAACTCAAGGCCACTGTGGCCCAGGAAGAACCGCCCACAACCCCTGGATGGCAGCGAGCGCATGTGTGCACGCCTCTCAAGTCAAAGGGGCTGTGACAGCCCGACACTTACGATTTGCTTCTGCTTCAAAGGCTTCACGGAGAAGCTGCCATCCATGTGCTGCAGGGGAACACACAGGTTACCTGGCCAGCTGCAGGCCTCCCCGATAACCCACATCCACAGCCAAAAACAAGACAGATGTGACCACCATGGAGCCAAGCCAAGACCTCCCAACTGCAGCCCTCAGGACTAGCTTCAAAGGTACCTGGATAACCTTCTAAAAATAGCCCCCTGGGCCCTGCCCTGCCCTACAGACCCCAACTCTCCCACATTGACCTCTCAGCCAAGGCCCAGTGATCACGCGCCTCCCCAACATCCAGAAAGCACTCAGACACCAGAATCAAGACAGGCTCTTGCTTTCAAAGGGCCTGGAATAGTCTGGAAGTCACATAGGCATAGGCACCCAGGACCACTGGGAGCACCAAAAGTTCAAAGGGAACAATGAGATCCTCAGCATCCAGGGAGACACTCCCTTCAGCTTGGACAATGCTCATTAGGGCATCAGATCTGAGATCCTGAAACCACACTGATGACCACTTCCAAGCCAAGGAAGATGGCACTGTCCAACTGTCTGGTAAGGCTGGTGGTCCTTGCAGAAACGTCCACAGTGCAGGATTACAGCATTATGAGCTGTTCTTATTGGGTTCTAAACTGGAAGCTCAAAATGGAACATTTGCCCGAGATGGTTCTCTGCCTCAGCCAGAGAAGGCAGATGCATAAACAGTGTCCACCTCTTATGTAGAAGCTGAGCTCAGGAGCATGGCTAGCCAGCAAGCACTGGAGATGAAGGAGGCCAACCTCTGTCCAGGCACTCACATGGGCATCCTGTGCCCCTAGGCCCAGGAGGGCAGATCCAACCCCTCCATGGGATGAACAAGTCTGAGGGGTCCCCGGCCCAGCTGTGCAGAGCACCAGGGACCTTGGTAAAGGGCCAGGTCACAGGAGCTGGGCTCTGCATAAAAGCAGGCAGGGGTTGCAGGGGCACTCATGAGGACCCAGAAGGGAGCAAGCAGTTCACAGGTGTGGTGGCAAAGCACAAGGGCCCCAGGCGCTTGCTGAAACCCTCCAGAGTACTGACAAATATTCAAGGGCATGGAGGAGGGCGGGGTCTGCATGGTCATTATCAAACAAGGACACACCCTCTACCTGCAGGAACCATGCAGGCCAGATAGCAGGGGGCAGGTCCTGGTCCACCCTTCAGGCTCCAGAGCTTCACTAGGTGCTGTGCATGGAACCCAGCCCCGAGGCTAACCACAAACCACTGCTCTGTCTCACAGACATCAATCAAGTAAGGACAGAAGGGCTGCCCTGAGCCAGTCAGGATCAAGGCCTGCCCAGCCCAGTAGGGTCAGGGTAAATACAAGCCAGGCAGGAAGGGGCAGTGCATCAGCTGGGATGTGACAGGTACCAGGTGACACCTGAGGTACCCTGGGGCTGGTGGAAAATGGCCAGGGCAACAATTTCTCCACATCCTAGTGGGAAGTGAGGGTTGGCCCTGCCACTCCAAATCCCTTTGAAAAGCCTGCCAATGGGACGCTCAGCCTCAGAACGAGTGTCCTGGTCATCTCCATCTCCCTGCCCCAGCTCTGACCCTTGGCCCCCTGCACCAAGCCCTGATCCCCCAGTCAGGCTTCTGATTTCACAAGGCCATCCCAACCCCAGCTCCCAGGTCACTGGGGTCGGCAGCTGGGATGGCACTTACCTTTTCAAAGGCAGCCAGGAGCACGTGGGCATGGCCAGTCACTTCTACCACTGAAGCCAGGAGAAGGGAGACAGAAGAGAGGACAGAGCAGTCAGGGTCAAGTGCCCCCCCCCCCATGGTGCCCATTCCAACCAGCCCCCTTCCAGGTATGCACCTGGAGACCTGCACCTGGCCCCACCCTTCTCTGCCAGGGGCTTTGCCGCTCCCCCAGCAGCTCCCGAGCCTCCTGTACTTGGAGCTCCCCATGTCCTGGGCCTGCACGTAGAGGCATGGACCACTGTCACCTCTGGAAGGACATCTCTCACTGACTGGGTAGAAGGACCTCAGGAAGCAGCCTCCTCCCTGCAGGACCCACATGCTAGGACAGGAGGAAGAGGAAAAGCCAACCAACCCCACTCACCATCTCCTTCGTCCACCACGGCCTGAATGACCACTGGAAACATGCCCCGGTCCAGGTCAAAGTTCAACTGAGGAGGAAAGGAGGCGAGAACTGTCAGGACTTCGGCCAGGGAGTCAGAGAAGAGTATGAGATCATGGGGTCATCCTCAGTGTCCCCAATTTCCTGCTAGATGAAAGATGCAAAAGATGTGGCCCTGCCTACCAAGTCTCCATGACCCCCTCAGTGTCTGGCACAGAGGAGCAGCAGACACATGCATTTTTAAATTCATTCTCAATAAAGAGTGACCAAAGAATAGACATTGACTGCATAGCACTAAATACTCTAAACCCATTGGCCTGTGTATTTAGAATGAGCAAACTACAAGGCACATGAATCATATCACAATAAAACTGCTGAGAAACAGAAGAAAATAATGGGTGGAAACCTAATGGGGCCCACTGACAGCAGAGGCCCGCGGCCTCCAGTACCCGAAGAGTCAGCTTCCCTTAGCCAGGACTACCCACAGGGAGTAGGGGAAGGCCCGACAGTCAGCCTGCAGTGACCACCTGCCCCACAGGATGTCCAGCAGAGCCGCTCCTGGGGGGGCACACTGCAATCCTGAGTCCAAAGGAGTCCAAGGCTATGTGAACCCTGAGTTCACACCCTGTAAACAGAGACATTCAGGAACGTTCTGGCTGAGAAGCACCCGTAGAGCCCAAAGTGCAGGCCACACAGGTCTGTATTCCTTGCCAGTGTTCCCCCCGGGAAGCTGGCAGCAGAAGCCGAGCTTGGGAACGTGTTCCTGCCCAATGGCCCAGGATAACTTCCATCTTCAGCCTTTCTACCTCTCAGCCTCAGTTTCCCGTGCTGTGAAATGGGTCACTATAGCCCAACCACACAGGTTCAACACAGTGCAAGTGAAGTCCTCCCACAGGCCACACATGAGGACACGGCTGCGGAGTGAATGTTGATGCTATTTAAGAAACAGAGGGGAACACTTTTTCCTAAAATTCACTAACACAGGGAGCCTCCTACTGAAGATTCAGATGGGGAGAAAGAAATCACAGACCACAAGAGCAGCCAAGGTAGGGAACCCAGAGACACCAGGTACCCGGAGGTCTGCTGCCACCTGTGGGGGAGGCTGACTGCCCAGGCCACCCAACATGCTGACAGGCGATGACTCCATTTGAGCAGGTGGCCCGGCTGCCCCTGCCCCAGGCCACTAGCCTGCCTTAGCACATGGCTAACACAGGGTTCCCTGCATTGGAGGCTGAGCTCCCCACTAAACTGCCTGTCCATGTGAGAAACCCTGGGAAGGCAGCCCTCAGCTGGACAAACCCATAACTGCCCCCAAGCCCACACAGGCCTGATCTCCACCTTGCTTCCAAGGGAGCCATGGCTCTGGCCACATGGAGCTGATGGGACATGGACAGATACATTCATAGACAGAGGCAACCAGGCAGAGACACAGGCGCCAGGAGCTGCTGTGGGAGGTGATGGGGCACTGGGGCCAGCTCACATCAGCAGGGACAGGCCCAGAGACAGCAGGTGCTGGCACAGGGCCACACTCAGGAGGTGGGTCCTCACTTGCTCACTGTGAACAAGCCTCAGTTTCCCTTCTGCAAGGGGACAGATGCCAGGCCTAATGCAGAAGTTCTGAGCAGGGCTGTGGACAGTAGGCTCAACCAGCAACAAGAGCCCAGGAGAAGCCTCTGATCAGGGAGGATTGGACCAGCCTCACAGGTGGCATAGAGTGAAAAGGAAAAGGAGTGGCAGTTGGCCAAAGAGGATGGCACAGGAAGAGGCTGGGCAGGGGCATCGTAGAAACAACTGCATATCTGAAAGCTGCAAGCCAGGAGTGGACATAGTCCAGGAGTGGACATGGTCACACACCCAGGCCCAGCCAGGCTGGCAGCTCCTGGGAAACTGGGCTGAGTCGAAGGGACCTTCCTTCCCGGGCTCCTGCCTTGCTCTGGGGTGATGAGCCATGACAGGAGGCCCCATGGGGAGCCTGTTTCAGTGCACAAGAGCTACTGTACCAGAGCTGCCCCATAGCAAGGCCCTTACAGGATATGATTAAGCCCAGGAGAGGGGAGTTCAAAGGTCAGCAGCTGTTTGTTAAGGTGATGGAGCCAGAAAGAAGAACAGAGCTTTGTGGACAAGGCCCTGTGCTCACCCCTGGGCTGGAGTCCAGTCGAGTACCAGCACCTGGGGCTGAGGGGCCCTCGTGCTCTGAGGAGCCTCCATGCAACTTTTGTCTCTGTAACCTAAGTGTGCACAGCCACGCAGCGCTGGTGTCCAGGTGAGATCCAACCATGGGGGAGCACAAGAGATCACCTTGGCCCTCTTCCCGCCTCCTGCTGGCCAACTGGAGCTTTCAGGCACTGTGCATGCCACCAAAGGCTCCTCACAGCGATACTGGCCACACTGTCCCCCCAGAAACTCCCACTGCCCCAAGCTCGGCACACAGCTGGGGGTCACCTACAAGACACTCCCAAATCCTGGGACCAGACATGATGGTGGCAGGACAGCCTTCCCCCATCTGCATGAGTCTGAGAGACATTTAATTTTAAGGACAAGAGGTCTTTCTTAGGGAAAGTGGCCACCCAGAGAGAACAGAGCCAGACAGTGACCACTAGCAGGAGTCAGGTTGCAGTTCTCAGGCTCAAGCAGCCCTGGTGGGGGCCTCAAAGTCCCACCCCACAGAAGCCCTCAGACAAGGGTATCAGCAATCCCCAGGCCACATGGTCACCAGGAAATAAGGCAAAAGGTGAGGAGGAAGCCCAAAGGGGTGGGGCAGGAACACCAGCAGGGAAGCCACCAGAGCTACTACCCACAAAGACCCTAGAGGAGACAGTCAGTGAGGCCAGGGGAAGATGTTCACAGCACGATTTAGAAACAAACCCAGGTGGAAGGGATGCCAGCCAGTGTCAACAGATGCACTGTTCCAGGACTATGCAGGGGGCACCATCTTCGTGCCTCCCCGAAGTCCAGCAAGGGAACTTCCTCAACTGCTGCTCTTGGCTTGGCCTCCGCTCCCCCAGGCTGCAGACCTCGGCTACACCGAGATACCTGAGGTCCCCGGGCGTGTTCCACAGAGAACAGGGCCCAGCAGCCATTCCCAGTTCTCAGCGCCCACCGAGGTGTGGGAGAAGTGAGGGGAAGGGTGGGTCTCCATGGGAGTATTACCTCATCATCCTTCCACTCGGAGAAGTCGATCTTGAAGGAAGGCAGAGAGAAGTGCTGGCTCACGCCTCTCTTGTAATGGACGGTCTCGGACTGCAGAAGAGGGCTCTTGGGGTTGTACCTGGGTAGCAGAGAGGGCGGGCTATCAAGGAGCCAGGGGCGCCAGGCTGCCTTCCCTCCCCGACAGCACACAGGGACTGCCCACTTGTCCTTTAGGGCTCCACCCTCTGGTGGGCAGGAGGCAGCCCACCTGGCCAGGCGGCCCCTGCCCCTCCCGAGGCTCCCCGGCCTCACTCTGCTCACTGTGCAGCTCTATCTAGTCACACCTGTCTAGTCACACACTCTTCCAGAGCCCACCCTGCCTGAGACCTCTGCCACCTTCCCAGACATGGGACACCTGGCCACTGGGTTTTGGTTTCTCCACGGTTTCCTGAATGAACAAGGATTGCAGAGCTCCTCCCCGCCCAGCACCCCGCCCTTCACCCAGAAGCTGCCAGTGTGTGGCTCTGAAATCACACACTCAGGTGCATGCTGGGTGCAGGTCTCCCCTAAATGTCCACCTACACTCCACCACCATCACACTGAAGGCGCTGGGTTCCCTGAACCAGCCCAAAGTTTTGCCACGATTTTACTCCGAGTGGCTCGGAGGCCCTGGGGACACCAGGTGGTCTCCACTATCTTGCTACTCCTCCCAGCACTGCTTTAAGTACCACCTTCCTGCACAAGTCTCAGCCCCACAGAGTCCGTTCCCAGGGCAGTCTCCCAGGAGAGCATGTCTGGGTCCCAGGGCACATGCACTTCCAATCCTGATAGACCGGTGTCTCCCTCTCCTCGGCTCCTCTCTCCACCCTTGCCCATGCTCACTGCCCCAGGGGGTTCCCTGGGTCTCTGAGACAAAGGACACTCCTGAGGGCCTGGGAGGCTGGGGTAGGGCCTGACCTTGCCACCAGAGCCAGCAAGGGAGAGAACTCCACCGGGAGGCCCACCTGGGATGCAGTGGAAGGACTGGCCCAGGACACTGTTCAGGTGGACCTGGGCCTTCTCTTTGGACTGTGGGACCCTGGACCCACCCCTCTGAGTCTCGGGTTTCCTTGTCAAGAAGAGGGAAGGGGACAGGGAAGGCGTGGGAGGGCACCTGTCCTGCTATTTGGGACAGAGCTTTCTGGATGGCAGGTCTATGTGCCCAGCCTGGTCCTGGGGATCTGGTTCTGGCACCACTCAGCCAGCGCTCCAGGAGGGGAAGCAGGCCTTGTGCCAGGTCTCAGCAAGGGGGACTGGGCACTTCTGCTGCCACCTGGTCCCCAGGGACAGGGCTCAGGGCAGCTGTGTGGGCCACACCAGCCACGCCTGGATGGTTATCCTTGGCTTTCCCAGCTCTTGTGATGGCAGCAGGACCCTCTCCTCAAGCACATTCACAGTATGTGACAGCACAGAGCTGAGAGGGCTGGGGAGTGTGGGGAGGCCTACCACTCACCACACCACGCCCATCTGTCCTTGGCAGCCCTGGGTACTCCCCAGACTCTGGCTCCTCTGCTGTGGTGGCTAAGCCTAAGGACAACTCAGGAGCCACAATCTCCCAGCCATCAGAATGTATCACACAGGAGGCACCAGGGCCCCGAACATCCTGCTGGCTCTCTGGTTGCAGCAGGTCACCATGCGTGCCCCAGGCCTCATGGGGTGTGAGGAGAGGAGAGGGAGCTGGAACTGCCATCCAGATACTCCTGCACCTCCAAATCCCCTGCTGATGATAAGTATGTACTCAGGCATCACTAGGAATCACTAGAAGAAGAACCAAGTGTTGGGGTCAAAGTGGAGCCTCAAGGTGAACGGTCTGGAACAAGGCACCTCTTTCCCCTGGAAAGCTGCCCAGGGAGACTGCTGGCTGCCCGGAGCCCAGGCCCCAAGTCCCTGGGGGAAAGAAGGGTGTCCAAGTCCTTGCCTGATAGAGCACTCCTGCTGAGCTCACGACGGGCTGCTTACGGCACCCGTGGGCATGAGGGATAGTGCACGGGGGACCCTAGACTTAAGGGAGCAGCTCAGCCACCCTCATTCCCAGAAAGAGTGAGCCTCAAGCCCAAGGTCTGAGACCCCACTCTGTGCCCAATCCAAACCTGGCCTTATCGGGTCTTCCCTGAGGTGTCAGCATGTTTCTGCCTGTCCACAAGGTCACTAAGGCCCAGGGTGGCCTTGCAGGCTGGGGCCACTCTGCCACAGCTGCAGTTAAGTTGCAGGTTGCAAATCCCTGGGACCAGCAGAACTCTTACTTTAAAACAAAAATCCCCGAAAGTTCAAATTTGTCATTGTGACATGATAAAAAATATATATTTGGACCAGTGCAGTAGTGCACACCTATAATCCCAACATCTGGGAGGCTGAGGCAGGAAGATGGCAAGTGGCCAGCCTCAGCAACTTAGGGAGACCCTGTCTCAAAAAATAAAAAGTGCTGGGATATGGCTCAGTCATTAAGCTCTCCTGGGTTCAATCCCTGGTACCAAAAATATATATATGTCTATGTACCTGGTCTCTGCCCAGGTTCCCAGCTTGGAGTTCTCCCTCCCTTGGAACCTGCTGGGTGACAGAGAGTCTTTGTTCTAAGGAGGTGACTCTGGGTGGGCTCCTGGAGGCAGCTGGTCACCAGAAAGACCAAGCCTGACCAGAGTCTGGACTTTCATTCCCACTCCAGGAGGCAGAGAGGTTGTGTCCTGCACTCATTAGTAACCTCCAGGTACCAAAACAGGTCTGAGGCGCAGCGCAGGGGTGGAGCCTGCCTAAGGCCTCACCAAAGGAAGGAAGCAAACAAAACGTAACCAAGTGCTGAGAGCACAGGGGACGCCCACAGATCCCCCTGTGGTCAGTAAGAGACGAGGCCATGTGGGTCAGCTGCACCCAGGGACTCACACTGCCATGCCATTCAGGAACTCCTCCACGGCCTGGCAGTAGATGGTGATGGCCACACGGGCGTCGGCATCAAAGGTGAACTCCAGGCTGTACAGCACGCGGGGCTTCTCACCGTCCTCAGCGGGGCTGTCGGCGTCGTCTTTGTACCTACCCAAGGGGCAGAGGGAGGGAGCGCAGGGTCAGCTGCTTGGACATGTCTGTTCCTGCTGCACTTGTGGAGGCCACCCCTGGCGGGATGCTGGGACCCAACAACCAGGCTCTACTTCCCTTTCTTCCTGCCCTGGAAACAGGGACCATCTCTTGGCTAGAGACAGCCCAGATACCTTGGGACCTCCAGTAGCGTCTGGACCTGCATCATCTGGAGCTGGGTAACAACTGACTGTGGGGTGCCCTGCACACGGTGGAAACTGAGCAGCCTCCCTGATCGCCACCCATCAAATGCCAGTGGCACTCAGCCTCAGGTGTCTCCAGACACTGCCCCTGGTCCCCAAGAGACGGGGGGGGGTACAGGCAGCTGACTTAAAGGATCAAGTTCCTACAAACTCTTGTTTGTGCCCCCTCACTCCACATAGAGGATGGAACCTGGCCCACCCAGCACCCTCCTCTTCCCAAGCCACAGGCCTAGGATGCCAGCCAGCAGGCAGGACAACAGCTTACCTCACAAGCCGGAGGGAGTCTTTGCGTATGTTCACCAGGCTCCTCAGCGTCTTCACCGGCTCATGGGGGGCAGGAGTGACGTAGGGGAACTAGGAGAGAAAACCCACAGTAATCCCAGGTGAGTCCCTGGGGAGGGCACAGGACAGGAGCAGGAGTCCCGGCTCCAACAGGCTCCTGGGCTCTGGTCTCTGAAGGGCTGTGCCAGACCCTGGCTTGTCACTTTTGTCACTCTTGTTTACCCTGAAGGAAACCACAGTCACACAACCAGCACTCAGGCTAAGCCTGGCACTGCCCCAAGTGACCTGGGTACTCAGGAAAGACCTTCAGCAACTCGACCTGGCCAGATGGATCCCCAGGGGAGGCCACCAAGGCTGGGCTCTCAGGCTTCACTCCTGCAGGACATGAAGAAGGTAGCAGACCACAACACCTGAGCACAGACATAGGTGCATGTGAGGCCGGTGGAGTTGGAACCGCAGGCACGATGCTGCCCTGGGGAAACACGGAGGCACACACACACTCCATGCTACTTTCACAACTGAGGGAGCATCCACAGTGGTCTCAAAAAAGTAAAGTTAAAACACATCTGCAGGAGGCCTGCGTGAGCCCAGCCTGGGCAGGAGCTCCTGTTGTGCCTGCAGGTCCCACAGATAGGAGGGCAGCACTCGGCCCTGCCCTTCACCTGCAAGGCATCCCATGACCAAGGTTTCACATCAACCAGATGCTGTGTTTCTAAAGCAGTCTGGAGAGCCCTGGTCTAGAGGATGCATGCCAGGCCCCAGACATGCCCAGGAGGCAGCAGCCTTAGGGGGACAGGGTTCAGGGTCTTGCCTGGCCCTTCTCCATCATTTAAAAACTCAGACTCAGCTGGGCACAGTAATGCATGCCTGTAATCCCAGCAGCTGGGCAGGCTGCGGGGGTAGGACGATTGCAAGCTCAAGGCCAGTCTCAGCAATTTAGCAAGGCCCTAAGCAACTCAGCAAGACCCTGTCTCAATATAAAAAATAAAAAAGGGGGCTGGGGCTGGGGCTCAGTGGCAGACCGCTTACCTAGCATGTGTGAGGCACTGGGTTCGATCCTTAGCACAACATACAAAAATAAGCAAATAAAATAAAGGCATGCTGTCCATCTACAACTGTGAAAACAAAATTTTTTTTTTTTTTTTTAATTTTTAAAACATAAAAAGGGCTGGGGATATAGCTCAGTGGTAAATTGTCCTTGGGTTCAATACCCAGTAAGCAAACCATTTTTTGTTTTGGTACTGGGGACTGAACCCAGGGGCAACTTAACCACTGAGCCACATCCTTGGTCCTTTTTAAAGATTTATTTATTTTGAAACAGGGTCTCCCTAAGTTGCTTAGCTAAGTTGCTCAGGCTGACCTTGAAGTTGGGATCCTTCTGCCTCAGCCCTCCGAATCATTGGGGTTATAGGTGTGTGCCACCACTCTTGGCCCTATAACCAAACCACACCAAGCAAACAGACAAAAACCTGGGCTCAGGTATTTCCTTCCTAGTCATCACACCCAGGCCTGCCCAGCCTCACGGCCTTGACCATCTCAGTTAGCCCTCTGCCTCCCAAGGACTCCTTCTTGTACACCCTCAGAACTGCTGCCCCAACGCAGCTTTTCCCAGAGTTTCCACGTGAGCCAACGGCTCCTGGCTCCTTGTACCTTCCTTGGCTCCACCCTCTGTCCTCAGAGATTTCCACAACACACCAGGATGCCTCTCTTGCCCCAGGAGGACCTTCCCTCATTTCCTGAGGGTTTGCTGCAACACCCACCTGCCCTCCTTGCCACTGGCCCCTGGACACCTACACCCATTCACCTCCTCTGCCCAAGTCAGCCTACAGAGCCCTGCTGGACTCCCAGATGCACCGCCTGTCAGGAGCCTGGTCCAGGCCACTCCAGTGCCCCTGCCACCCTGCTCTTCCTAGGGGACTCTGTCCCACCCATTACAACTCAACTCAGCTATGGCTTCTGCAGCAGGCCCTCCCCTCCCGTCACACACACTCTCTCTCTTTTTTTCTTTTTTTAATATTTTTTAGTTGTATGGACACGATATCTTTATTTTATTTATTTTTATGCTGAGGATCAAACCCAGTGCCTCACACATGCCAGGCAAGCGCTCTACCACCGAGACACCCATCACTCTCTCTTCTGACCACCCTTTGGTCCAATGTTTTTTCTTCTCCTCCTCCTTCCCCTCCTTTCCTTCTTTTTTTGTACTCAGATTGAATTCAGGAGCACTTATCCACAGAACCACATCTCCAGCCCTTATTTTTTATTTTGAGACAAGGTCTCACTAAGTTGCTTCGGGTCTTGCTAAATTGCTCAGGCTGTCCTTGAACTTGGGATCCTCCTGCCTCAACCTCCTGAGCTAATAGGATTACAGGTGTGTACCACTGCGCTCCAAATCAAATGTTCTCTTCTTTATGATCTGGAACACACCCACACTAGGGAACAGGGGAAGGATCTGACTTCTGCCCCCAGCCCCAAAAGACCCCTAGGCACACAACAGGTGCCACATGTGTGCACAGCTATGTACATGCACTTCTCTGCTGCCTAGTGAGAAATATCTAGAAGCCATATTCCCTTCTTGGGATCATATCTCTTGCGTGCTATTCTACGGAATGGGGTTGCTGAACACCTCCCCATTGAATACCAGTTCAATAATGGCTACTCATCCCACAGGGACCCACCCGGCTGGCTGACCTCCTGAAGCAGTGTAGGGATGCACCCCATCACCCACACCCCACTTCATTCAGCTGTAGCCTCGCAGGAACTCTGCCCACTTGGGGTGACTCAGTGCTTGCTCATCCTCACAGCAGGGCCGCCCACCCCACGGCCATAAGAGCCAGTCCCACTGGGATCTACCTGGACTGGGCGGCTGCCCAGGAAGTTCAAATCCATGTTCTCTCCAAAAAGGTAGCCTTCAGGGTGGGGGGTGTCAAATTTCTCACCTCCCATGAAGAAGTGTGAGGCAAAGTAGTTTCCTGTTTAAAAAAGGAAACAGGAGTTGCAGGTTATGATGCTCAAGAAGCCTGGCCCTGGGGCAGGATCCATCCTGAGGAAGCCAGTGCGCCTGGCCCACAGCCATCCTCCAGCCTCACTCCTTCCAAGGCTGCCCACCAGCCTCTGGCCCCTCCGCTCCAGGCCCACCAGCCATTCTAAACTCCCACATGGGTTCCTTCTGTAGTGGACCGAGCCGTATACCTGGCAAGGACACGCCCAGGTAACACCCTACCCTTGCGCGTGACCTCGTTTAGAAACAGTCTCTGCAGACACAGGCAGCAAGTGAGGATGAGGTCCTAACTAGGCTGGGATGATCCTCAGTCCAGTGCCTGTTCTGCTCCAGGAGAAAGGAGAGGTGTGGACAAAGAAGCACACAAATGTGACGACAGGGCAGGGATTAAAGGGACAGAAGCCCAGGAGTGACCAGGGACACAGGGCCTCCAGGGGGAGGACAGCCCCACTGAGGCCTCGACTTCTGGGTTCCAGAACCACACAAACACTGCTGTTGTTTCAAGCCACTCTTAGTGGTCATCTGTCATAGCTGCCCCAGGAAACAGACATTCCCTGACCTCAGACCAAGGCAGAGCCCAAAAACAGGAGGCCCAAAGACATCCCCTCAGTTATGACCATGGCTGACAACTACATGGATCTGGTCACTTCAGTCGTGCCCGGCTTTCCACAAAAACTGAGGCTACAGCAGTTCCTGCCCGTCCCTGGCACTCAGATGCCGAACACACGCTCCTCTTGGGAGGTGTCAGATACCCGTCCACCTAAAAGAACTCAGCTACCAGCTCTGTTGGAGAACCAGGAGAGTGACTCTACAAGCTTCCTGCCCCGACGCCTGCCCACCCTGCTGCAGCACAGAGGACCTAATAGGAGGGTCCAGGTGACCTCGGGGCCTCTGAATTGGGGGATGCTCAGATAGTGCATCCCTGGGCTCATGAGCAGCAGGGACTTCTATATCCAGGAGCCCATATGGGTCCTTCCTGGGGCCCCCAGGGAGAATTCTGTGGCCCTCAAGTAACCAGGGGCACCTTGAGGGATATGTGACCTTCCTGAGAACTGCAGCCTGTTATGGGAGTCATGACCACAAAGGCTGGCCAGGCCTGAGTGATGAGGCCACAGCTCCTCCCCAGCAACCGCAGGAAGGGGCCTAACCTCAACTCAGCCCTAGGCCACACAGACCAGGAATTGAGACAAGTGCAGCCCAACACAAAGAATAGAATAGTGGTGCTCGGTTAACCAAACACGACCCCTGGATTTTGTGGACCACCACCCAGTGTTCCACAAAACAGGTCAGCACACAATGAGCCATGTGGGAAAAAACACCCTTTCCAGCAAGGCCTTCCTGGGCTATTCCTCTTCAGTTTGTGACCTCCAGTCTGGCATGGTGGTGCACGCCTGTAATCCCAGTGGCTCGGGAAGCTGAGACAGGAGGACCTCAAATTCAAAGCCAGTCTCAGCAATTCAGCAGGGCCCTATGTAATTTAGTGAGTCCCTGTCTCAAAATAAAAAATAGAAAGGGTTGGGGAGATGGCTCAGGGGTAAAATATCCCTGAGTTGAACACCCATTACCCAAAATAAATAAATGTATGTCTGCAGGCTGCACCCTGTATCTGCTTGGCGCGCACTGCTTGGCTAGTACTCTCCCTCCACACGCTCGCTGCCTCACCCTACACGTTCTGATGGCCTATACCCCAGGGGCTCCAAAGTCACGGTAGTTTTAGGCCTTCTGCTCTTCAGCAGAACAAATGCTACAAACTCATATCTCTGGATCAAGATGCAATAGGCAATTACTACTTCTTGTTTGCTTTAAGTATTTTTTATGAGTTGTCTACATCTAACATACATTACTTGCAAACAACAAACTATTTTTAAAAGATCTGGACCTGAGCCAGTGGTACATGCCTGTAATCCCAGCAGCTCAGGAGGCTGAGGCATGAGGATTGTGAGTTCAAACCCAGCTTCAGCAACAGTGAGGCGCTAAGAAACTCAGCAAGACCCTGACTCTAAATAAAATACCAAAAAGGGCTAGGGATGTGACTTAGTGATTGAGTGCCCCTGAGTTCAATCCCAGTACCCCCTACCCTGACAAAAAAGATCTGAGACCTGGGACAGGAGGACTGTTGGCAGTGGTTACAATAATACAGAATTGGAACCACTTTCCAGGATAAGAAGGATGGAGGTCACCTGAAGTACAAGACACAAAGGTAGACCTAATGCTGTGAGCATACACCTCAACAGAAGCATTCAGAAGGGGAAGGGCCTGATCTCGCACTGTCGGCTGGTATACCCTCACTGTTTTTGTTTTCTACCTGTTTTTATTGGTGCATTGTAGTCGCACATACCAATGGGATTCATCATTACATATTCACACATGCCACATGAAATTTGGCCAATATCATGCCCCAGCAGTCTCCCTCTTTACCACCCCCCGACCCTGGTCCCTTTCCTATTTTTTTTTAAACTTTAATTTCTTTCTTTTTTTTTTTTAGTTGTAGTTGACACAATACCTTTATTTATTTTTATGTGGTGCTGAGGATCAAACCCAGGGCCTCACACGTGCTAGGTGCGTGCTCTACCGCTGAGCCCCAGCCCCAGCCCCACTTTCCTCTTTCAATCTCCCTTTGATTCTCATGAGATCTCCGGCCCCCACGCCCATCTTTTCCTTTTTTCTCTCCAGCTTCCATGTGAGTGAAGACACATGACTCTCTCTAGTTCCATCCATTTTCTTGCAAATGACATAATTTCATTTTTTCTTTACAGCTGAATGAAACTCCATTATGTTTGTGTGAATGTGTATCTCCCCCTTTTTTTTGGGGGGGGGGTATCATGATTGAAACCAAGGTTAGCCACTGAGCTGCACCCCCAGCCCTTTTTATTTTTTGAGACAGGGTCTCCTTAGGTTGCTTACAACCACACTAAATTGTTGAGGCTGGCTTCGAAACTGCAACCCTCCTTGCTCAGCCTCCAGAGCCACTGGGATTACATGCCTGGCTATATCACATTCTCTTTATCCATTCATCTGCTAACAGACACCTACTCTGGTTCCATAGTTTGGCTATTGTGAATTGTGCTGCTATAAACAAGGGTGTGTGTATCACTGTAGTATACAATGACCTCAATTCTTTAGGATAAAACTGAGGAGTGGTATAGCTGGGTCATATGGTAGTTCCATATGTTGTCTTTTGAGGAGCTTCCAAATTGACTTCTATAGTAGTTGTATTGATTTTCAGTCCCACCAACAGTGTAAAAGTGTTTCTTTTTCTCCGCATCCTCTCCAGCATTTATCATTGTTTGCATTTTTAAAATATATTTTTTGGTTGTTGATGGACCTTTATATTTTTTGTAATGTGTTGCTGAGAATCAAACCCAGTGCCTCACACATGCTAAGCAAGGGCTCCACCACTGAGTCACAACCCTAGCCCCTTCACTGTTTGAATTTTGATGACTGCCATTCTGACTGGAGTGAGATGAAATCTCAGTGTAGTTTTTTTGTTGTTGTTGTTTTGGTTTTTTGGTACCAGGGATTGAACTCAGGGGCACTCAACCACTGAGCCACATCCCCAGCCCTATTTTGTATTTTAGAGACAGAGTCTCACTGATTTGCTTAGTGCCTTGCTTTTGCTGGCACCATCCTCCTGCCTCAGCCTCCTGAGCTGCTGGGATTACAGGCATGCACCCGCAACCCGCCTCAATGTAGTTTTGATTTACATTTCCCTAACTGCTAAGGATGTTGAACATTTTTTCATGTATTTGTTGACCATTTGTATTTCTTCTTTTGAAAAGTGTCTAGTTCATTCTCCCATTTATTAACTGGGTTACCTGAATTTTTGAGGTACAGTGTTTTTTTTTTAAATATTCTATGTATTAATCCTCTGACAGAAAAGTACCTACCAAAGATTTTTCCCCCATTCTGTGGGTTCTCTCTTCACATTCCTAATGTTTCCTTTGCTGTACAGAAGCTTCTCAATTTGATGTCATTGAATTTCTTAACTCTTGGCATTATTTCCTGAGCTGTAGGGTCCTTCAATTTGTTTTGGGGTTTTTTTTTGTTTGTTTGTTTTTGGTACCAGGGATTGAACCCAGGGATGCTTAGCCACCAAGCCACATCCCCAGCCCTTTTTTGTAATTTTATTAGAGACAGGGTCTCACTTAGTTGCTGAAACTGGGTTTGAACTCACAATCCTCCTGCCTCAGCCTCCCAAGTCGCTGGGATTACAGGGTGTGCCACCGCACCCAGCTTTCGACTTGTTTTGATACTAGGTCTATATCAGGATTTTTGCCAAGTAACTTGGAATTAGATGCTATGGATTATCAAAACCTTGTTAATTCTCATTTACTTATTTATGGGATCACGGTTTCTCTACATAAAAAATAGTACTAGGGGACACGGTCGTGCATGCCTGTAATCCCAGTTACTTGGGAGGCTGAGGCAGGAAGAAGCCAGCCTGGACAATTTGGACAGATTCTGTCTCAAAATGAAAACTAAAAAAGGCTGGGCCTGTTACCTCGGAGATGGAGTCTTGCCTTAGCAAGTGCAAGGCTCTGGATCCAATCCCCAGAACGCAGAAAGAATAAAAAGAGCTAGAATTGGGGCTGGGGATGTGGCTCAAGTGGTAGTGCGCTCGCCTGGCATGCGTGCGGCCCGGGTTCGATCCTCAGCACCACATACAAAGATGTTGTGTCCGCCGAAAACTAAGAAATAAATATTAAAAAAAAAAAAAAAAAGAGCTAGAATTGATGCTGAAATGTGTACTGTTCCAGAACTAGGTTATATTTAACTGTCAGGACATGAATGAACTGAATTAACCAAGGGGGGAAGTAGCCCAACCACTTCAGAAATATGTTGTCAACATATTTTGGCATTTTTGCTTGCTATTGGTAAAAATGGTAGCTATTTGTGTTAATTGGTTGGCAATTTGTAACAGCCACTGAAGCTATAAGTTAAATTCTCTCAGAGCATTATTGATTTTTTCAG